GCCACCGTCCGAACTGCCGAAACCGCCGGCGACACAAACCCCCTCGCACTCTCCGGCACCGCGCTGGACGTTGACAATCTTGCCGAGGAGGAAACAGGAGTACTGGCCACGAAATGCCTGAAGAGCATCTTCATCGTCCCTAACAGGGCCCAGATCTACGGAGCCACCAATGCATTGCTCAAGTTTGTCTCCACGAGGATTGCAGAAGGGGAGACTCCCGTCACCGTTGACAGAGGAAGTGGCCGCGACTCTGGTTGGGCTATTCAGCTTTACGACATCATCTCCCGTTGGACACCCGTGCAGGATCGATACGTCATTCTTCTCGCGACTCTTGACATGTTGAATAAAACGCCCATGCGGGAGGAGAGCTTGCCGCAGCATTTGGCCTTCACGGCCATGATGCAGTCCCTGCTTCGCTCAGATGTCAACTTGATTGGCCTCAGTGTCATGGACGTCCTTCTTGGGCTCGTCAAACAGATTAAAAAGCTGTTTCAGTTACACAATGGATCCGGTCATGACAGTAGCCAGAGTGAAGAGAAGACTGAGATGGAGCTGGACAGTGCTACTCGCACCCAGCAAAACGAACTCCTCGAGAGGCTAGAGGATTGCACAAGTGATCTTGCCAATCACGTTTACTATGCCGACCAAGTCTCTGACATGATTGCGGCCCTGGTTGGCCGTATCAAACACAGCCGAGCTGCAAGTGTGGCATCCTTGACGCATCTCATGGAAAAGGGAGATGCTGGGGCTGATGCCAACGCCGCTTCTGTCGTTGACCTGTCGGGAAGCCAGACCTTGCAAGAGACCTACTTTGCCCACTCATCCGGTCGATTGTCCGCGTTGAAGATCATCAAAGCTATCCTACTTGTCGCTAGCCCTAAGACGGGCCTCAGTGGCAACATGGATCTGACCAGAAACCGAGTTCCCATTCAAGTATGGGAAGGGACGCAATGGCTCCTCCGAGACCCGAATGGGAACGTTCGCAAAGCATACGTGGATGCATTGAGCGTCTGGCTAGATCGCGAAATTGCGTACACGGACTTGATTGCTACCGATGATGTCATTGTTTCGCATCGCAATAGCAAGATTGGCCGTGATGTCCCGAGCGCTCGCAGGGCCGTCTCCAACACATCAAACCGTGAACGCCACCACAAGGTTCATCGTTGTCAGTTCCTGCCTCTTCTTCACCTCGCAATTTATGACAGCGCATTGCAGTTCGTGGATTATGACAACGATATTGTTCTCCTGCATAGCTTGCTCACCAAGCTTGTCTTCAAGCTCGGAGTCAATGCGGCTCGATGCGGTATTCCCATGGTGTACAGACTGCAGGAGGACATCCAAGAGCTGGTACAGCCGATTCACAAAGTGCGCATCGCCTCGCTCTGTCACGGCTACTTTTGGGCCTTGACTGAGAAGTTTGATTTTGAGTCGTCGGTGGTTGGTCGCGCAGTGTACAACGAAATCTCCAGGCGGAAGAGCAAGGGATTCTGGGTAGAGGGTGTACATGTCCCGGCTCCTACACCCAGTCAGGTTGGCACTCCCGGAGAAGCAAGGCCGCACCCGAACTGGGACCTCAGTGCCCTAGAAACCGAAGAGATCCTGCCATTTGACGATCGATCCTCAATGGTTGAGTGCATCATCACTAGCTACGAGGACACCGACTTGTCACCACCCACCAGCCCCACGGCCTCACCCAGCCGGAACCTCAACGGGCCTATTCTTAGTTCTAACGCTGGAGCTGAATCATCTCCCGAGAAGTTTTCGGAGCTGCCACCCGAATTTAGGGCGCAGATGGTGGCTGACTGGTCCAGGGATTCTGCTCTGGCTGCCATCACTGCCGCTGGCAAGTCTGAATCGCTTAATGGATCAAAGACTGGCACCACTGGTACGACGCAGAACCGTCTCACCATCAATACTGCTGGCGCCGCCCTCAATGGCAATGGCCACTTGCCCGCCCCTGCCTCCCCGCGCGGAAGCCATCAGAACGTGCGGCCCCATACCTCGTACACGCAACGTGACCGCTTGACGTCCGTGTCCAAACTGCGAAAGTCGAGCGCTACCGGAGGAGTATCACCGGCAGGCTCGACGTCGGGAAGAGCAGGCATAGCATCCGTAGAGCAGTTAAAGATGGTATTAGCAGGCAAGACAACCCCACAGGCTGCTGGTATTCCCGGCACGGAGGACGATAGCGACGAGAGCATGATCAGCTGCGAGTACAGCGTGTCTGAGAACAGTTTTAACCCTGCTGCTTCGCAAGCAGATGCTCCTGCCACAACAGGCGAGGCGCTTGCACGATCACTCTCTGCCTCGGCGTCCCTTAAGGGGGGACCGCTGTCATCCAATCCGGCCTCCCAAGACGGCGGCGGGCTACCCGTATTCCACAGACACGGGGAAGATGACGACGAAGTGCCTCCCGTCCCACCATTACCCAACCTGAGCTCGCTATCAAGCAGGGTGGGCATGCAATCCATTGAGTCTCCCTCGAGCAGGCGCACGCTTGCCAGCCGCGGAGGTGAAAGTCTACGATCGCATTCCATGCGGGTTCGGGAAGAGAGCAGCAGTAAGGGCATAGACTTGCAGGAACTTTTAAGGGGAATAGATAGCCGATCAGGCGAAGGAAGCTTGGGCAATCTTACGAAACCGCCGTATTAGGTAACGCGGCTAAAGAAAAATGTAATTCACTTATTATACCACCTGTACGACAAGCATGGTACAGAATAGCCAATGAATGGCTGGAAGAGATGGCGGAGCAAATGTATTTACAGCAGGGAGTAATATCGCAGTATCTAGGTTACGGAGGGTGATGTGTACCAGGGAAGAAGGAAGTTATCAAGTATGAGAAAAGATATCTTGGGCGAGACATTGGTGGTTGGAAGGGGTCAGCGTATTAAAGGCAGCATAGCACCGCACAGCAGACACAGCAAAGCACAGCAGCATGTCACCGCAGAACAAAGCATGCATGGTAAGCTCGGAGCGCTGTGAGCGTTAGACAAAAGCGACAGCGAATACATATTCCCCGTTTGAATGACAGTTTTGGACATGTGTGATGACGAGAATGTGCCGCCTTGGCGATGTGATGTCAGCTGCATGGGCTGATATGACTGTACTGTGCTACACGGGGACGGGCGAAAAGAAAAAAAAAAAAAAAAAGGAGAGAGGCTTAGTTTGCTGACGACTTGATTGGGGAGTACCTCGACAAGTATATGTTGATGGTGACGGCATTTTTTTCACTCGACACCAGGGAGATACGTGACTGTACTCTGTACGGTGTACCTGGCAGCGCATGCAACTGACAATTGCTGTCTGGAGCACGTGGTTGATTCAATGACTCGTCAATCTGTTCCGGGCACCACCCTGGCCTGGCTACAGTCAAGCAGTACCTTGTGTGTCAAGTCAAGTGTTTTGTTTGCAACATGGACGTATGATGATGCTCTCTACGGAATACCTAGCCAACCAAAAAAACCCAGTGAGTGGCGTCGATGACTTTCCGGATGGCGTCTGCCTTCCACGTGGAGCACCGAGAGAGCTGCCCACCCCCGTGAAAATCACCTTGACGGCGAGAAATTGAGTTTAAAAAAGCTCCGCGGGTGGGTGCCATTGGCGAGTGTTGCGTATTTGGCCTGCTCGTGGGGAGGGGGTTTGCCCACGAGCGGTGCTAGCAGCGCCGAGGCTTGCGCATATGATGTCTGGTGTTTTGCAGTGGGAAGTCGGTGCTGCTGGCGAGGGATGCTTGGCGGACCAGATGGCTATTCCTGGCCGCCTGGGCGTCAGTCGGATACGGGCACCGCTGAGGTTGACTGGGTCCAGTCGTGTCTGGTGGGTGACAGGTGTGGATCGAGTCAATCGTCTTGTGGTCAATTGATGGATGATGTTTGTCGTCTGCGGCTGCCCAGTTGTTGACGGAGAGGCGGGGAGGCGGGGGGAATGAGGGGAAAGGGTTGCTGCTAGCCAGCGGAATCATCGTGGACTGTCATCAACTAACGGCATGTGGTCCATGTGTAAAGCACTTAAGTAGTTGGGTCTCGACACGGAGCGTTGGAGAGTGGAATCAATTGCTTGCAAGACGTCTGGTCTGGTCTGGTTCAAAGACGCGCAATGCTTGACGGGAGGCGGAAGGCGGCACTGGGGCTGTGCCGATCGGGGCAATGCCAACCCGCCAGGCAGCACACACAGCGCGGGCAAGACCGCCGAGACCTTTGAACATTGAATTAACTGGACAATGGAGGCTGCGCTGCCAAACTGCCGGGGCGGGGCGACTGGAGTCGAGATTGGCCGTGGGGCAAACGGCATGCATACCAGGAACAAACTGGTCCCGTTGTACGTACATGTACCATCTACGGAGTGTCCCGTACAATCAGTCCCCTTCCATTGAAAACCCCGGCACTCTTTGTTTGTTGGCGTGAGGCCCTGTAGTAGTAGTAGCAGTAGCCAGCGGTCCGTGTCCGAGTTGGATGGTTGTCTTCGCCCTGCCCGAGCCTTCCCTTTTGACGACTTGCCATTTTCTCCTGGGCTAATCCACGACTCCAAAAGCCTCAAGGTTCTTCGCAGCAGTCTCTTTCCCGGATTACTGCATTGAATCGATTCCAGATGCCGCCCACGTCCAAGTAAAGACGGCAGCTCCGACGAGAGCCTTTGTTCCGAATCGGCGCCTGGAGCCAGCCAAGACCGCCTGGGGACACAAACGACGGAACCGTCAGGGTTTGAAATTTCGCATCAACCTGGACCTGGATCGCGCACTGCCTGGCCCAGTGCTCTCACCTATCGACCTGGGAGGAACCTAGCTGCTGCGGCATACGTACCGTTATTTTGAAAGAGGCCGACTTCACCACCGTGCTTGAAACCGGCGCCCTTTGGCCGAAAGCAACATCGTCGAGATCTTGCTGGCAAAGGTCCGTGATTAGCTTGGGACGCCAGATCCTCGAAATCTCTCCCAACACAACAACCCGGGCCCGGCACAACTGGGCTCTGTTCAGTTACCTGGACTTTCCAATCTTGCCATCATGAGCAGCACATGGCAGGATCTCGCACCGCCTCAAGAAAGCCCTGACCATCCGTCGCAGTCTATACCAAACGCCGCCTATCCTGAGGCCCCGTACCAGCCGGGGAGTGGATTCCATGGAGATGCCAGCACACCGGCATCGACAAGCCTCGCAACTTCTGTAACCGGAAACAACACCACGTCCTATTCGGCATCATCGACTGCCTCTCCAAACCAATCGGCTGCCCACACTGGGCCGTCGTCGTGGCACCAAACTGCAGTGCTGTCCACTTCTATGCCAGACAGCCCGCCGCCGCCCTATGTTCGTGACCAACATTCAAGTCCTTACATAACGGCACAGACACGGCCAGCATCCCATTGGACCGGCACGCAGAGCAACCGGCGGGTTGAGCAACCGGATTCTGTCCCATTGCAAAGACTACCACCAGCAGCATCATCCCAGTGTTACCGGGAACGATCAGCAGCATCCATAGCACAACACGATCAACTGCCGTCGGCTTATACTACTGGAAGTGGTAGCATCACTGCATCGACGCGAACCGTAAAACTTGGCTCGGTAGCGGAGGCACGGCGGCGTCGAAGACGACGTGTTATCATCTGCCTCGTCCTCCTGGCCGCCGTCATCGTCTTCGTGCTGGCCCTGACCATAGGAATCGCTCTAGGGGTCTTAAAAAACACGGCACGGGACGATAGGAATAACGGCCCGGTCGTGAAATAGGTGCTCGTGTATGGAGTGTCGGTGGCATTTGAAACCACCGGACCGCGTTGCCATGCAGGCATATGCCATGAATCGATTGACTGGCAGGGTTCTGCACTGACCTAGCCTCGCCACGCCATCACTGCACTGCACTGCATTCTAGGTTTCGGACTTGGGTTGTTTCCTGCATTTATCTGTGGCGGGCATGTGGTTGGGGCCAGGGCCAGGGCCATGGAACATGAAATGCTGGCTGGTGATAAAAGTCACGCTTGTTGTATACATAGGGTGGCCGGCGCAAATTGGGGACTACTTGGGACAGCGAATTGGTATTGTGTATTGGCATTACTGCACTGAGCCTATCATGCACTTGCAGCGTTTGAATTAAGTTTGACATACAATTGATTCAAGGGTGAAAAAAAGTAAGACTTAACCGAGAGCCCGAGGACCTTTGCCCAATTCAATATTCTTGGCTTCTGGGCTTCGTAGCTCCCACAGGGAAGGTGCGCTCACTCAGCCGCGCTACGTGGAAGTCGCGACCTGCACCAGCAATTGAGCCTTGCTACGGAGTACGGAGTACTACTCCATGCATTTCCCTGCATCTGCCTTCAACTGCACTGGGACCGTTGACCGTAGACGACACCTGATCTCTGTTTGTGTAACGCCACCCTCTGACTGATCAGCAAGCATCCGCATCTTCACCGGTCTACGACCAAAGCATTTTCAACCCAACATCAACATGGCAGACATGATAAACGTCAAATTCATGATGCTGTGATGGCGTTGGAGAGGGAGGACTCTCGCGTTGGCTGTCCACGTGCCCTTCCCCTGCATTCACTAACCAGGCATTAGGAGAAAAGGCGGCTGCGGCTTGTGCATCATCCACCCTTTGCCCAACACTTGAAGTTTTGGTGCAAAGCAACAACGGACTTGGCGTTTGATATCACCGGGATCGGTACCGCCCGCTCCGAATGGTGTTTTCTCCGTTCCCAATGGCAAGCCTACATGGTATCCGCGGCGTTTGCTTGGTCCCTTCTTGCGAGCTTCCCTTGACATACGATGGCACTAGTAGGCACGTCGCCTGCATACTCTGGTGACAATGTCAACTGCCGAGATGTGGGCTATGGGACTGTCACGGCTATTATTGCGAGATGGAGACCTGCACGGAGCAACTACATACGATTTCTTCCTTGTTTTGTTTCAACTGACAGAGAATCCTATCGACCTTCCGTCAGCTGCCTCTGGAAATACTACGAATTTGTTGGGGAAACCAAGCGCAGTAAAATACAATCATGGCAACAGCTTGTCTGGTTGCTCTGCGATACCGAGTCTCGTGCTGACTTCCCTCACCTTATACATGCAACAGGTCTGGTGGGACATGTAGCACTACCGCCCCCCATGGATCGCTGAAGGAAGCATACCAGACATTGTAGGGTCGGTGTTGCAATGACTTGCGTTGCCCGAGTTGACCCACCGTGGCGCCATCGCAAGAGTCAACTGATGTGTGGTATTCAGACGCCACCGTGTTCATGGTGCGCGCCTCAAATTCAATTCTCAATCTTGCAATATAAGAGACTAACAGGTCTATACGGAGTACCGCAAGGGCAGCGCCCGATTGCATCACGTCCTATGGATGAGGAATCCTTGAGTCATAACCCCTATCATATTGCCAAGCTAGAAAAGAGTGCATGACTACCGAGTACTGCGTGAGGGTTGGCATGGTGGCATTGCATGGTGGTGGACATTTATCCAAATGGAGGTTACTGATGCCCAGGATCGACGGCGCCACCGGCACAGGCGCCCGTGTTTCTGGAAGTCGAGACCCTTGTAGAGATTGATTTTAGGGCATCAATCAAAGCGGAAGCAGTGGCCACGGCTCCGGGCATCGTCGAAGCGTGGTGTTGGCGACGAACTCCGGTCCCGTGGGATAACTCGATAGGCCTCAGCTAATGACGAGTTGACCAGAGAGGACTGCAGCTCGGCACCCGCCACCGAACGCTGGGACAGCGCCGCATGGCCCAATAATTTACCGTCTTTGGATCCAGGAATAAGCCGCCGTACCTGATTATCCCGTCGGTGCTTGCCTACTAGGCATCGATATGCAGCTAATTCACCCAGCAGCATGGAGAGAGAGCAGGGGCTTGCCAGCAACTGCTGCTGTGTAATACCAACGACGCTTGGACTTGGCGGCGAATATTAACGAGGATGCCTGTGGCATTGGCCGATACACCAGCTTTGGGCGACCTAACATTCGACTGACAAGGAGGGCAGCTCGCAGAACAAAGTACATACGCAACTGACAACACACCATTCTGACTAAGGCTGTGCCTCGTACTCGTCCGTCAAAGCCGCTGCTGCGCAGTGCAATATTACGGAATCGATTTCTCTTTTCACTCTGCCTGCGTTCCCTTGGACAAGGTTTCGATGACAAGTTGTACTTTGGGTTGCCTCTCTTTCCGTCCCGTCTTTGCCCTTCGCATGGACCAGGTCTGCATCAACCAAACATCCCCACCTTCTGGTTAGGGGCTGACATGGCTCGAATTTTTGGGCTGAATGGAGAATTGTATTCTGTACAATACAAGACGTGGAGAGGAGGACATGGCACATCCACAGTTTGCCAGATGTCGGTCCAGGTTGACTGAAAGTTGCTTCTGAGGCCTTATCTGGACATCGGGCGACTTATTTATGACGGTTTGGCGCTTCATGTGGGAGCTTTAGGCCCCGCCTTCCGGAGCCTCCCCGGGCTGAGACTTGTAAGAAGCAACTAAATAATCATTTTTCTCGGCCAAGGGCATGTGTCCAAAGGTTACTGGGCTCACTCGCGCCTCTTTTGAATCAAAATAGGTGACGTGCCTTCAACCTTTGGTGGCATTGGTTTAGGACTCTCTTCCCCCGGACGGCGTATGGAGTATGGAGTACGGAGTACGGAGTACACCACAGAAAGCCATACGAGAGATAACTTAGCGACGCCGTCGACAAGTCAGTTGTGCTCTGACGAGACGCAACCATTTTCTCTCTCCTCCCCCTTTCAGCACATGGCGCCCCACCGCGGCTCCATCGTTGGCCTCTCCGTGCCGCCCTTGTTGTCGCGAGAGATTGGGTTCAGCATTCTGCGTTATATGCCACTCCAGGCCCGAGTAGTATAACTATGCTGGCTGCGCCAGCGCCAACGGACGCCTCTGCCTTGACGTGTTGACTCGTTGCGACATCGACTCAAGCCACTCCCACATAGCCGCCTCGAGTCTTGGCACTCCAGGAAACACGGCCATTGCCCCTCGCAAGGGACCCCAAGCCGCACCGACACGGACGACAGACTCACCGAGGCATACACAAGTGTTCTCGGGCGCTCCCACCAACAAGTCGTACCGGTCCTGGACTGGCTTGTTCACAAGACAAGGGCAGCAAGGCACGACTCAAAACGTTGTCTTCGTCTCCTTCCCCCCACCCGCCACTTGAAAGGCGATCCAGACCTGCAGCTCCAACCATCTCTGTCTTAGCAGGCTGCAACTCAGGAACTGCGAGAACCAAGAAATCTTCAGTCCCTCGCAGGCCCTAGCACACCCAGCAGACCCTAGTAATAACCCTTTGCGCCTCCAGTGTCTTCATAGTCCCGCAACCCCCCATCCGCCTGTGGTTCTTATCCCCCCTTCACCGCCCTCGGATACCACCAGAAACGTACACAGAGCCTGCCTGGGCAATTGCTTGTCTGCCTGGAACGCCATCAATTGAAACCTTACTTCAACCTCCAAACTTCGGCCGAGCTCTTCATTGACTCCAAGGGAGGACGCGGTCTTGCGCCCGTGTTGTTGCAGGACAACTCCAGCCCGCCTGATAACTACGACCCGCTGCTGAGGCTTTGTAGACCTTGCGGCGCGCATTGTCGGATCATCCAGGCTTGCTACCAGTTCATTGCCGCGCAGCTCTGCGCTTCCGCACACTGAGCCAATTCCGAGAATCCAGATTTAGTTCTGAGCATGGCACCGCGGTATCAGTATCCAGCCAGGTATTTTTGACATAGCAATTGGTCTTTCCTGCAAAGGCTCACTCGAGTTTCAATCATCCAACTAACTAGCCTCTCTGGTGTAGTCGCGAGCTACATGTTGTGGTTCTTGGGGCCGGTTCGTTCATTCATTCCTAATACCCCTCAACCGCATCAATCTTGTCCTAACTGTGATTTATTTCTCCAGGCGGCGTGGGCAAGAGTTGTTTGACTGGTGAGCGTCTCCTGTTTAGGACTACTAAAACAGATGAACTTTGGATTCTCATGCTCTTTGCTAGCGCAATTCGTTCACAACGAGTGGATTGAGAGTTATGACCCGACTATAGAAGATTCATATCGAACGCATATTCAAGTAGATGTGAGTTGTGTCAGGTGGATGGAAACATTTATTTCGCGGCTGACTAGTGAAACCAGGGCCGTCAAGTCGTTTTAGAAATGTGAGTATTGTCGCTCTTGTAGACCGCAGGCCCAAAGATGATTTCTGACTGATATACTTTAGTCTTGACACTGCAGGGACTGAGCAGTTTGGTATGTTCACGTGCGTTGTTCTACATGATTTGTACTGACACGGACAAGTTGCAATGCGAGACTTATACATGAAGACTGGCCAAGGGTTCCTTCTTGTATTCAGTATAACATCCCCATCGTCACTAAACGAATTAGCTGGACTACGGGAGGAAATCCTTCGCATCAAAGACGACGAGAATGTACCGATGGTCATTGTCGGCAACAAGGCAGACCTCGAAGAGAACCGTGCCGTGCAGAGAGCCAAAGGGTTTTCGATATCACAACGATGGGGCGCGCCTTACTATGAGGCTAGCGCCAGAACGAGAAGTGAGAACATACTCGCCGCCTCACCCAACCCTCTGTTAAGCTAACAGAGCCTACAGCCAATGTCGAAGAAGTGTTTATTGATTTATGTCGACAAATGTTGCGGAAGGATGACGATTACCTAGGGACCACTGAGACTGACGACAGTGGGTTCAAATTTGATGGCTTCCGTGGCGGGCATAAGCGCAGACGACGAATGAGAACTCGAGAAAAGGACCATCCTAGATGCGCCATTCTGTAGAGCTGTCAGGCTTGCCTGCATTATTATTATTATTTATTTATTTTGCAAGAGGGGGAGGAAATCCCGCATAGAATTCATTGACCACACGAAGGTCGAGTGGAGGGAGGGAATGGCACCATTTGACGGGATATGACAGATCGCATTTTACTCTTTCAAAAGCATTTCGCCAACAAAGGCATGTCATGGTTATGGGGTTGGGTCTCGCAGTCACTCCCCCTTCCCTGGTCATGACTTCCATTTGACTCAGCAATATCGACGACGAAGCAACTCTTGTCACACACAACTTACTGGGGGAACACTTGCCATGGTTAGTTAGGACACTCAACTATACCGGCACAAGAACTCGAATGATATCCGGGAGAACATGTGGTAATGTTTGGTGGGAGCGGGGAGGAGACAGGCCAAAGTGTCACAAGTGGTTGATTGCCTGATGAGAAGATGAGGAAAAGAAAACATGGGTACGGAGTAGACGGCGTTTCTAGACGGGGTTCCAATTTGTTTGCTTCTATTTTTCTTTTTCAACCATGTCATACCTGCATATCTTCACGTGTCAGAAATAGGATATACTCGATTGGGAGGCCGGAGATCTGGTACATGGCCAACTTGACTGTTCTTTTTTTTTTGTTCCGGGCTATGTACATTTGCCGAGTGTCGGTATATGAATAAAGATCTTTGGCTTTGCAACCGCTGGGTTACGAAGAGACGGACAAGATGAAACCGCCTATCCGTTCTATGCCTCGAGCACGTCCATCCAAATGGTGGTTGCAGACATGTGTCCAAGACCAGGCGAGACCATGGTGCTGAAACACGAATGCCAAACCTAGGATTCGCAGTGTTGCTTGAGTGACCGCTCTGCATATTATTTTTTCTTCTTCTTCTCTTCTTGATCAAATGTCCATCGTCTCAGCGTCCGAATATCTTGAGAAGAATATCTAGAAAAAAGGCAAACGCCCCACGAAGCTGAGTAACTCGGTTCATCATATGAATATAGCGAAACGTAAACGCATCAACCTCATCATAGTCGTGGGCGTAGATTTCCCACGCTGCCCGGCCTCTCCCGTCGCCCTCGTGTTCCGCAACGGGGATTTCTCCCTCTGGCGCGTCCTTCAACGGCGGGCCGACGGCTAACGAGCGCCCCGAAATAGATTCATCTGCCACGAGGCGCGTGGCGGCCTCGACTACGTCTGGGATGGTCGCGCCGCCAGCGGTGCCCGCGAGAAAAACAACGTCCGCTAGTAGGGGGAGCATGCGGCTCTGTTGGACAAAGTACGGCGCCAGCATGTTGACGCGCAACTTGCCGCTCTGCATGAAGGAGGTCGTGCGTAGGGAGCGGAAGAGCCCGCACACGGCGTGCTTGGACATGGTGTAGTGCGTCTGGCCGGGCAGCGGGGCGATGGAGGCGAGTGAACCGATGAGGAGGAGGCATTTTGTGGTGCTTGTGTCCTGGGAGAAGTGGTGGAGGGCGAGGTGGGTGGTGTATATGACGCCGGTGATGTTGACGTCTATGGTTGCCGTGGAGGGCTTGGGAAGCTTGCCGTTGACGAGGGACGGATTCTCAAAGTTATAGCCCTCGGAGCTCTGGATTATTCCCGCATTGGGGACGACAATGTCGATCCTGCGGTAGGGGGAGAGGCGGATGGCAGCTTCGAAGAGGGATGTCTGGTCGTCCCAGCTTGCTACGTTGCAAGAGACGTAGGCGAATGTGCTTGATGGGTGGAGGGTGCGCAGCTGTGCAACGAGGGATTCGCCGGACGGAGAGTCGACGTCTCCGATGATGATGTGTGCGCCGTGAGAGGCCCAACGGCGGACCATGTGTGATCCGAGGCCATTGGCGCCGCCGGTGATGACGATGGTTTTGTTACGGAGGGTGGATGGGTCGTAGCGTTTAGTGAGGTCGACGGGGGGAGATTGCTGGATCGTTTTGGCGATGGACCACGGTGATTCTGTCGACATAGTATTAAATTTGGGGTTATTTTTACTTTTTTGTGTGCGTGAATGGAGACGGAGGGGGCGGTTTATTGCACCCTTGGGCCTTGGGCCTTGGGCCTTGGTACTCGGTAATGCCAGGCAACATGGTGGTCTCGCTTCGTGGAGGTGTCAACGGTATCAGATGGAGCTTCTTCCCGAGTGCGTCGAGCTGTTGTGGGTCAGCATTGTTGCTCTCCCGCTCCCGCAGGACTGGACCCACACACCTCGGGCTGCACCAGAACAACACCACCATCACCAACCACGGGATGGCCAAAGCATTCCTGCAAACGGGAGCCGGCCTATTGACAGAATGTCATGTAACAAGTCGCCCGAATCCCATCATATATCGGTTTTGCTTTTAATATATCATGCCACACATTGCACCACGTCAGCAAGCACTATGCTTGCGCCCCACCACCTAGGCTTCCCAAGTTCACACACGCATTTGACACCCCAACCCGAAGCATCGATTGAGCCCCGTGCGCGTAGCCGTATATGAGAAAGGGGTCGGAGACCATCATGTTGGAACAACATCGTCGATTTTCGAGGCTATGGCAAGGAAAGCGAACAGCTGGCATCTAGAGGAAGAGGTAAGTGGGAGATTTTGATGATCCTTTGACCGCTGAATATCTTGCTGGAAATATCACCGTGTCGCTTTCCACCGAGGCATGTTTTAGGGTAGCCCAAGACATGGGCAAATAGCAAGCACTCGGGGCTTCAAGAAAATGGCCCGGAATCTTCCATGCGACCCTGCCAGCCTCCGATAAATCGTGGCGCCAGATTGTTCTTTCCGCGGGATTGCATTCTTTTCTCGCAGCAGCAATAAGAACGCTCCAAGAAATAGACACTTGCAGGGTAAGCAACAAGACATCGACTTCCGGTACAATGGTAAATGTATGTACCGCTAGACCATGGGGTCTGCGTCTGTCCCCCACAATGTGAGTTCATCGGTTCGTAGATGATACCCGTCTATGATACCCGTCTGGTGATACTACAAGCCCCTGTATGTCATCAGTCCTTGGGTGTATTATGCAGTTTATGCCCGTCTGCAGCCTGCAGATGCGCGGAATCGCGAGCAGACATGCCGCCTGCATGTTTTTTTACGTCCAACCTCACCATGCCTGGCAGTCATTGGATCAAGACAGTTGTCGTACATGTGTTCTTGAAGCACCCCCTGAATTCTATGAACACCGAGTCCGACGTAACGGCCTGGTATGTACTGTTCTCTTTGGCCCTTGGCGTTGCCGTCGAAAGTGCAGGTTGAAAAGACCTAGAGACCCAGAGACACGGGTAATACGACAGAGAGCTTGAGCCCAAAGCCCTGCGGTTCTGACTCGTTCCTGTTCAGATGAGACTGAAACTTTGACGTGGTAATGGTATCGAGATCTGTTGGAGGCAGAGATGCCATCCTTTCGGATGGTGGCCAAGCTTTGGCTAATGCCCAAGTACCTACATACGTTAGTGGCAATTCTACGCCCCAGCCCAAGAACCCATGTCTCAAGGGTGTGTGTTCTGCCGCCTTTGCTTGGTAGACCTGTCAGTCTCTAGTCTGAGACATCAACGAAGCCCCAGACTGCGGGAAACATTTGCCACTAGAGCAAGCAAAATCATTCAATCACGATCTGGACATGAGCCAAGCAGCAGATGGGTGGAATGGCTCAAACGAGCATGTCATTCCACACTTCGCAAGAACCGCACCCTACACCACCCAACTATGTCGCAGATTGTTGATCATGGTATACGAATTCAGACCCTGGCCAGAAAAGAAACTCGGCCCCTCCCTTTGGCCTCGGAACTTGCTCCGGCGCTTGTCTGGTCAGACGGCATGTGCGAACCACGAGCGACTAACCACGTTGTAACATTTCACGGCGCACCGAGCACACCTTGACGAGTCTTCAACCGTTCCAAGGATGTATTCTGAACATCCGCAAACGTCGAGGTGATCCAGAGGCCACTGCAAATGGTCAGCCTCGGGAAGCGTGACAATCAGGCAGGACCATTTTCGTGGAATCAGCAAACAGCTAACTTAGAGGCTACTCATCTAAACCCGCAACATCTAGTTGATTTGGCTTGTGGCTTGTGAGTACTCCATACGATGCAATGTCCGAAAATCCGTCCACAGTAGCGCGAGTGCCTGTCGGCCAATAGCCGCAGGCCCATTCAGTAGTGTGGTAACTCTTCCGCCAAGAGGTACGGAGTACAGAATAGTTGCTCCGTACAGTACTCAACTGCGTATTGGTTTTGTGGACCAGCAAGACTAGAGCGTGAAGATGGATCGTACATACTTGGCATATCTCTCAGTTGACCCAAGATAACTTGCGGGTACAAGCAAAGCTTCCAAACCTTGCGGGCGATGTGTAGCACCTCTCTATTGGTAGGAAGGTATGCTAAGAGCTCGAGGAGGTATCTTTCAAGGACTTGAGTTAATAGATACTCAGCCCTAATCGGTACGCTATGAGTATCAAACATTCGGCCTGGGGAGGATTCTTCAGAACCTCTCCAGTCTCCAGGACCCTGTAGAGAGAGGTACATATACACCAATAAACCCAACGGGTGAGGGAGTCCTCGACATCTGTATGCAACAGAGGGTCGAATCCGGACTGATTCAGTATATGATGTTCGCTGTGATGAGTGTGTATCGCAGTGTCGCAGTGGCTATTAGAAGTTTACCGAAAAGTGGAATGATAGAAATCCCAAACTAAAGGGGCGCAACTCTTTCTGATTTCCTGCGAAAATCAAGTTGGCGCCTTGATCTTAATCCGTTTCCTGTCTTGTCAAGAGATGCTGCAGGCGGCCCTGCTTGGGGGCTGGGCGGCGGGGCGGGGCGGACACCAAGGCCTTCGGAACTGATAACAGTCAAACCTTCAATACGGAGGACTGCAGACCTGTATTGTAGCCGTGGCGGAGCGGTTTTATTGTGGTGATGAATGCTGTGATTTCCCCGAGTTGGTTCCGGACAATGAGCCCATCACATTGGAGGGTTCTAGACAACGAAAGAGGCGCACCAAAGTCATATATAGTCGTTGACAATACGATTTCGGGTGTGGATGACCGCACCACACATGGCATTGTGATTCTACCATCAAGCTCGAGAGCGTGGACCCTGTTGGCCGAAGTTGCTGACCCTGGTCAAATCCGGGCGAGGTGAAAGCCCGGTGAGTGACCCAGTCTGGGAACAGGGTACACAGGGGTATCGCAAAAGGCCATGGTTGTCAGAAGGCCGATTCGACAAAGCTTGCCGACATTTTGGATCGCCGCCCACTGTTTGTACCTCGGATTCCCATCAGACATGTTGGTCTCCCCTGCTGCGTCGGTATCTTCACTCCCCTATGGAGCGCCATGGCTGCAGATGGCTCCAATGCGCAGCTCTGTCGCCGAACCAGACTGGACCTGGCAACTGTAATCTCGGGTGGGCGAACAACCTGGGTCCAAGACGAGGATGCAGACAGCCCTGTGGTACGGAGTACTCGGTACTGTACATAAAATACTCCGTAATAAAGGAGCTTACTGAATGCAATGGGGAGCATTCAACGCCGGCTTAGCAGTGGATTATAACAGGCGCTGCTTTCGACGAGCCTTATTACATGCCAGGCACCACTAATGGCTGTTGAAAGCCTTGGCACTTGTCGCCTGGCATCTGGGGCGGAGTTGATGGCTGGATGGCATCCTGCTTGTTGGGGTCAGCAATTCGGGGCAGCGAACATTGGTGGTCTCTACATGGCCAGCTACCTGAACATTGAAGCAAGCCGCGTTGTGCGTGGTGGTTTCGAAGATTCATCATCAGCCCATTCTGGCCTCGCGTTCTGTCTGTCCTCAGGCAGGGTTCAGGGACCTGGACCGACCCTGAGAAGCGCCATGCATATTAATGGCAGCAATCTGATGTCGGCGATTTGATGGTTGGGCATAACATGTGCAAGAAAACGGCGGTCGAATTTGGAAAACTTAATGGGAATGGCGACGGCTACTCTGCTTTTTGCCTGCTGTCTCCATCCCCGCTATTGCGACACACGAGAAGCGAGCGTGGGATTGATAGCCTGTACTAGGGAGGTACATGGCTTTGGGGAAAAATAACCCAGGTACTCAAGTACTTGCCTAGTATCTGGTAAGAAATGCTCGGAAATGTTAAATCGGCACCTGCATGCACTCCAGTGCAAGTACGTGATGTGCTTTGTCTGCAGGAGCTAGCGTTCGCGCCTTCTTGACTTCCTCGTACCTGGGATATGCCCTCAATTCGTAAAGGCGTCGACGGATAGAACGGCAGGTGCCGCCACCAATGACAAAGACGAGAAATGAAGGGAAACAGCGAGAACCACCAGTGCCGAGCTGCTATCAACATTGGACCAGGTACTTAGATTATGTGCATTAAACTGCATGCTGCATATCATTAGACTCACCGTCGCCAGGATGCCGCCATTATCTGTATCTATCACCAGCATCAGCCTTGGGAGCCACAACCCCATTGTTGCACTCCATGCCCCGTGCCCCGTGCTCCGGGCCCCATGCTTCACGCTCCATACTCCAAGACGGCCTTGTTGACCATGTCTTGATCGATCAATGATCCCCCACAGTCAGAACGGAAACGGGGCGCCATCGGCCATGGACCGTCATCGCCCGTGGGCCGATGCAGCTGCTGAAAGTTCATGGCGAGGTACTTGACGCTGGCTGGGCGCGCCGTGCCTCAATCAAGTACCTGGGTATCTGCCAGAGGAACAAGCGACATGGACTTGATGACCCACATTTTCCTGATGGCGCGCCATGTTAGAACATTCAATGCCTAAACTACCGAGTACTAGTACTCCGTTCTGGGCGACTCCATTCTGAAGCATCCCCAACATTGAAGCCAACCCGGGGCTGCTCAGGTCATAGAGTTTGGTGGCGAGCTTCCCATCAACTCAAGCGCACATCTAGCTCTGTCTCGAGCACTGGGCATTGAATACTCCGCAGCAACCAAGCCAAAGTCTGTTTGGCGACGTAGCCCACCCCCCCTCGTAGCACGTCAATCATTGACGCAGTGGTACCGAGTGGAAGAAGCTTTGCTGTTTTCATTAGTTGATGTCGACGGCAGTTCTCGGCAGCCCTCAGCAGCCCTCAGCCTGTCTGCTGTGAGTACTCTGTAATATGCTCAACACCATCATCCCGACCACCATAGCAAGGCACCACCAACCAAAGCAGCACATCCCCCCAGCATTGCATTGCCCTAACCAGCCTTGGCTCTGGGACGACGAAATGGCTCGTCCGGTCCCTGGTCCTGCCGAGTAGCACTCGGCACAAATAGAGGGAGGAAAAGAGAGTTTTCTGCGGTGAAACCCCGCGTCAGCAACCATGAATAGTGCTGGAGCGACTTCTGGCACGGAACCATAAGCTCCAAGTGGCCTCTGTACAATACGAACGCGCTTGCGACCGGGTGCTGGTGGCCATACATATGTACATATACAGGCAAGGACAGTCCGTCGTGGTTCGCAATTTTAGAATTGGCCCTGGCAACTCTAGAATATTGCATCAAATGGCCTTTTGCGCTTTAGGCTGACCTTTGGCCAAGAGGCGTTCACACCAAGTGCGCTCGTGCTCCGATTGGTCAGGCTCAGGTGAGTGGACCAGGACTAGCGCCTCAAGTGCTGGTACGGAGTCCTAGTGCATGTGTCAGTCAGTCCGTCAGCCAACAAGTGATTTGCGCTCAACTTGCATCAGAGAAACACTTGGGACTTGCCTGGGTGATGAACCTTGGACACCCAGTACCAAGGTACGTTGAAGCCAAGCTAGTGCCATTGTGCCGCTCACATCTTGATGGCAGGGCAGCGCACGTGTGCGGTGCTTGACTTGGCACTCCCGCCCTCTCCATCACGACATGTGCACCTGAACGTTGGAGCTGCGGCCAGCTCTTGGCGTAGTTACCGAGAAGTTACTTCTAGAGCTGCCAAGGGCTTGTTCATCATCGATACCCCGGGCCGGTTCTGATGGCCACTGGAGACCTGCCGTCGTGGCGATGACGGTTGTATGGCTCTGCACTCTGCTAACAATATTGTATGTACCTAGGGTCTGGTGTTTTCGACGCGTCAAACCAACACACACCTCTCATAAAGGTTAACAAGACACTTGGCTAGCTGGCAAGGTTTGGCTGTCTGGGGCCGGGCAGAGACACAGATACGCCCCCCGGTTCCCAGTCCTGTCAACGCCTCACTTTCCGAAGCCGTCTCGGAGTCGATGGGTGGGTGAATCGACTGTGTCCGCCCCCAACAAGCTCTGGAATCTAGAGCCTAGAGTCGAGGGTGATAGCAAAAGACCAAGCAAGACGTGACGGCGCATGATGCCGCTCCATTGAACCATCTGTCCAGTGCGCTCTGATACAGACTGGTGCCTGCATGCTTCTTTGCCGCCAGTCCTCCCAGTCCCGTCACCTCGCATTCTGAACCAACCCTTCTTCATCTGCTATTTTTCACTCTCTTTACACAATCATCTCCCGTCTTCCATATTTCGGGTTCCGCGTCCGCGCCTCTGCACAGCTGCCTCACTATTTTCGTCCGACCTCTTCTCGGTGACGATCCTGTCCTGACCGTCTTGCGACAGCCGGGCTGACTTGGGAACGCGACCCGAAGGCCATTTTCTCGTGCACGTTGGCTGTGGGCGGCTCAATTCACCCCAAGGCTGCCTGACACGGGCCCTCCATCTTTCTCGCCCCCAGTCGCCCTCTTCCGTTTTCGTTCGTTCCTGTTACTTACAATAGACGAAAGCCGACACACTGGAGTCGGACCCATCCCAGAACGTGAGTCCTCGCTACGCACCGGCATTGCACCTCTCGCAACAACGCGCCGTCGACGAAGCAGCTCACCGCACGTATTGTACGCATTACGCGCTGTCCAAGGCGACAACTCTCGCGTCCCGCGTGCCCACGAGCACCGAACCGTGGCACCCAACACCTGTCTACCGCTGAGGACTGAGCAGGACTGTAGAGGACCGGAGCGCACCCCCCGCGTGTACCCCGTACCGAGCACGATCAATCGATACTACTACTTGGAGACAGAGCCAAACTCGCATCCACCCTCCCACAGCACTGGGAACGAAAAGCACCTTGACCCGCGGGCCAACCGTAGCTCGCCTTGCATTACACCCACCACGCCCAAACCAGCCCACTGGACAACCATCAGGGCGACGGCTTGGATCTAAGGTACGCGGCTGGGACACGGCATATCCTGTGGGCGTGTCTGTGGGTCCCCACCCCAGTCCCTCCTGGGCATGTCTCTCTAGTGTCTCTGGTCCCTAGTCTCAGTCCCCTCGGTCCCCCTCTGTTCCCCTCTGTCCCTCGTCCCTTGCTTTTCCCTCTCACGTCCCTCTCAAATCCGTCGCCGCCGCTCTCCCATCCACCCTAGGTATTGAGTGTACGCCTCCCTCCACTCGTTCTAGCCAGTTCCAGCCCTGGACGCTTATGCTCACGTTTCCACGTCCCGGCATCACACCCCGTCCCAATCCGAACTACGGAGCACGGAGTTCGATCACTGGGACTGGGAAAGAGCCACCCACCCACTGCCTGCTGCCTGCTGCCCACGCATCCAAATCCACTTCATCCACCCACCCACCCGCTTCCTTCCTGCCTTGCCTGCTCCGTCTGCCTCTGCCTCTGCCTCTGCCTCTGCCTCTTGCTTGCGCCTGCGCCTGCGCCTGCATCTGGGTTTGCGCTTGCACCTGCGCCGCTGGGTCCTCTTAATCTGGGTGGTGTGCGCCTCTTCCCCGACTGCGCATCTTTTTGTCTCGTCCTCGTCACCGTTCATCATACCCTTCGTTGCACCTTTTTTGTTTCATCTCGCAAATTCCTATTCCGCCCAGCGTCGCATCATCACCGCCTCGCACTTGCTTCGATATCGTCTTTTTTTTTTGCTTCTTGTTGACCCGTCGCTTCGACCATAGAAAGAAAGACGTGTTCGCCCGGGACTCACGCACTGCATCCGCGTCCGCATCCGTATCCGCGACCACATCGACGGCGCTGATCGCCACCGACACGATCCTCAATTCACAACTGCACAACGTCACCCCCAGCCGCGCCGCGCGCGTCCACAGTCGCGATTTGGATTCCCAGATTGCGCCCCGTCTTCTTACAAGCTCTTGATTGCACAACGAGCCATATCCGTTGGCGACCATCCCTCCCTGCCTGGCTTGTTTGGCGTCGACTTCCTCGACCCTCCCTCTACCAGCGCATTCGATCGTGCCGTCGTGCTCAATACGCGCCCGCGCCGTACGTAAATAGCCCCGTTCGAGAGCTGCGTAAGTCGCTAAGATTGCCATCAGACTTTCGCGTCACAATTATTATTGTCATCACCACCGTCCCAGGCGCAGCGCATACAGCGATTATCCAGTGACGAAACCAACAATACCTTTTACGGCGACAGAATCCTACTCAGACGCGCCTAGTCGCCTCTCACACCAACTCTGAACTCGGCTTTTCTTCGCGACGAGCAACACCTTTCGACTTTGCGCATGCGATATACTCTATGGCGATGACTCCCGATCCTTGTGCACCACCATCTCAACAACCCAACTTGATAAGCGGCGCGTCGGCCAAGCCGCAGCTTTCCAATCGTAGCAGCCCGTTTCCGACGATAACTACAGCTTCCGACAAGATTTCCTCCATGGCTGCCGCCTCGAGCTTCTTGCCTGCGGCACAGACCTTCAGGCCCTCCCATTCAACTCAGTCACCCTACCCGCTCAACATGTCAACCGCCCACCTGTTCGAGCGCGAGCCCACCAAACCCGTCGGTACACCATTCTCAAGCACACCCACACCCATGGTCCGCGTTCTTATCCGTCGTCTACCTCTCAATACTTCTGAGGAGTCATTGCGCCTGATGGTTGTGTGGTCCAAGGAACTAGCCGATGTTGAGCTGCTGCCCGCTGACAAGTCCGAGGATGACGGCTTTCGTTCAGCTCTCTTGCGATTCAGAAGCATGGCTGGGGCACAGGAGGCCAAGACGATGCTGGATGGCCGATCCAATATTTCCAACGACGCCGAAATGATTGTCGAAGTTTTGTCAAATAGCCCACCGATAGCGAGACGAAACACGGTTGAGCAAGCGTCTGCCATGCCACCAGTGACTTCATCAACAGGGCCGGCACCAGTTCCGGCGTCACGACAACCTGCACGCTTCAACGGTTTCCAGCCTTTGGATAATAGCGTATCGCCGACTTCAAACAGCGTCTTCCCCGCTCATGAATTCATCCACCCTGATGCCAACTCGCATTATCAAAGCATTTTTTCTCCTCAATCGCCCATTGGGAACCACCTGAGCGAGCGTCCAAGGATATCTGGCAAGTCTCTCATTAGCAGTGATTTTGGTGACGACGACGAAACGAGTGATCTTCTCAAAGACCCTGTTGCCTATGCTGAGAACGGAGCCACTTCGCAACGCAGAGCTACCGCTCCCCAGATTCCCATTGGACGCATGGCTGGATTGTCGCTCAGCACGAACCCCTCTCAGGGTCCTGCGTCTCTGCCGCCATACATGACCCCATTATCGCCAGCCAACGCTCCGGCGCCTGGGCTTGGATATCCTGTCAATGGCCATGGTTTTCCGCGACACAACTTCCCTCCGGTGAATCCGGCTGATCAGAATCCACCATGCAATACTCTGTATGTTGGTAATTTGCCCATCGACACATCTGAGGAAGAACTCAAGGCCATGTTCTCCAAGCAGCGAGGGTACAAGAGACTCTGCTTCAGGACAAAGCAGAATGGACCAATGTGCTTTGTGGAATTTGAGGATGTTTCTTTTGCCACGAAGGCCCTTCACGAGCTTTATGGCCAGCCGCTCCATAACAGTGTTAAGGGCGGGATCCGGCTGAGCTTCTCAAAGAATCCCTTGGGCGTGAGATCCGGCCAGGCTCCCGGTCAGGGGGCCAATACCTCGATGGGTAATATGACAGGAATGATGAGCAATGGCACAAATGGGTTTGCTACTACTCATGGCCCCCCTCCGGGGCTTGCTGCACCACCTGGCCTAGGAAGCGGCCGAGGCAACTATAACTTGGCCTCTTCCATGAACACTGGGGGCAGTCGACCATATAACGCGGCTGGATTCCCTGGTGCTCCTACCCACCCGTGGAACACTCCTTACAACAACAGTGTTGCTACGGGGCCGAACAGTGGGCTTAACAACAACTCATCATATTTTCCAAGACATATGATGGGGAGGTAAGGGTACACTCCAAACGAAGTCCATTTAAACGACTTAAAGCGAGACATTATTCTGTCTGACCATTCCCTTTTCTTTTCTTTTCATTCATCTGGGTACGTTTTGTGGCCGATATTTGCCCGCTTCGGTTGACATACTTTACATTTCATCGATTCTTGGTCTATACAGCGTCAAGCCTCATTATGTCAAGACATTGAAAAGGAGTTGGTGCGTTTCCTTCATTACAGTGAGACTTTATACACTTGTTAGCGAAAAAAAAAGCATTGAACCTCTTTTCTCTCTTTTTTTTTTAAAAAAAAAGGGAAGAAAGGGGGAGAAAAAAAGAGAAAAAGTTGAGCGATCAAAAAAAAAAGAACAAAAAAAACCAAGGAGAAAAAAAAAGGAACAGTAAGGGTGCAAACACTATTTGCAGGAAGACAAAACAACATTGGAAACGTCAAACTGGATTTGGAGTTTATGACAGGTTGATGGTTGGGACTCTTTACGGTATGGAGCACTGGACGCATGGCATTGATTAAAGCTGGACAGGTTGCATGGTGTCGCAATACACCCGAGATACGGAGCACATGGAGAATACCCAAAGAGAGGGCGTACTTTTGCATTTGCACGGAGCGCGTCAAAGAGGAGTGTGTCTGTATTGGTGGATCTCTTGCATCGGGCCTGCAAATATTTTCGGGTGGGCAAAGATTCATGCATCTAGGGAATGTCTGGTAGGGCTCAAAAGAGGTTGCATTTTGTTCGGTCAGAAGGGATTTTATGGCGCAACACACGGCATGGGCAAGGTATCTTGGACTCTTTTGCGGCTGGGGATGACGGAATACCGTGATGGCGTTGGGGAAAGGAGACCAGACAGTCGCCTTGCTCTAGGTTGTCTGGTTCTGGGTGCTATTCTTGTCTTGGTACTGTCGTCCTCTGGAAGACGCGTCTTGGGACCGGTCCCTTGCTTGTCTCGAGAGACCAAGACATGGCGTTGCATTGCATTGAGTCGTGACTTTTGTTACGTTTGGTTGTAGTTGCTGGTTCTCTTTTCTTCTATTTCTTGATTCCCCCTTTCGTTTTCAATGGCAAAGTCAGGATGCATCACGTTACGGGTATTGCTATTTATTTATTTTTCCCTTTCTTTTTCAACCAGAGCGGCATTTGGGGACCACATTATGCATCGAGGGTTTTGTTTTGCTGTTTTGAATTGAGTGTTTGTCTTGTCGTCGCAGAAGGTTCATTTGTTGGTACTGCTGCTTCTTCTTTTTCTTTTTTGCACATTCTCTTGTTACTGCCGCGCTTTGTTGGGTGTTATGGCTTAATTCTGTTTTCCTATAGTCTGATGGTTTGCTATAGAAGTTTATTTCCCGATAACACAGCATGCAAATGCCAAGTTCTCGTTAACCCCTTTGCAATGTCTATTTCTCTTGACGTTTTGCATGTACGTGTGCGTCTTTGACAGTGCCGTGCAACATGTAATAAATATGTGAGCCTCGTGCGTGATGCGTCGATAGTGCCGGACGACAGAATGGGAAAAGTTTGAAACAGCGCAAGCCTCAGGCCGTGTGGTTCCGCCCATGTCCTTTGTCGATGCTGTCCGTCTTGGTGGCGTCACGGAGCAAGACTTGCTTCTGGAGCTTGCACAAAGGAGGGCAGCCCTGGTTCACTCCATGTATAACCGTTTTGAGATCGTTGTGAGGCGTGTTCTCGCTGCATAGGACCAGGACCGGGTGTCGTGTGCTTGAAAGAGCACAGTGTTTGGCATTTCTGGCCCATTCAGTGAGAAACCAGCGATTGTACCTGCGGGCTTGTGAAGGACTCCTTTGGAGATGGATTGCGCTGTGGGCATTTACAAAGGAGGCGCCCGCCGAGCCAGTTATATAGTCACGCATAACTGAAGTGATCTCTCTGACGAATCTTAACAAGAAGCAGATTTTTTTTGGGCAACATATCATGTAGAATCAAGAGCGGATATGCTTGTTTCGGAATCGGAGTTGGCTTCTAACCATGTTTTAGTGTAACGGTCAAAGGCGCAAGTGCAAAGCGTTTGTATGCAAGAGCATACTAGGGTCAGCCTGGATTTCTGGATTGTATTGAGTGTGCAAACGCTGACTTTTGTCATCGGCAGCTTCATGCACATCTGCCAGTGAAGGCAGTATCGTCCAGAGTAAGTGTTCGAGAACATTCCAAGGACGCTTTCTTCTTCATCGCGTTGGTCGTGCTTGGGGTATGTGCTATGGACAAACAGAAAGAACCTGGCAGAATTCATCTGGTCTTCTCCCCAACGGGGTCCAAGTGGGCAAACATGACGGCGGAAGGAACGCCATTGAAGATTGATTGTTGCACGCCCTTTGACGCTTTTCAGCCACAAAACCCACCTGTTGCATCTTAATGTAAATCAATAAACGTTGATCAATTTCCTTCTACAGGAACAGCTTCCGAACAGGGCTGCTGTGAACCACCCAGAAATCACTTCCCATTCTCAAGGTGTTGAACATGAAGGATACTGCTGCCCAACTCGTGGGAACAACCATGAGGAGCTGTACGCCCGTCTTTGCTCATCGGCGCAGCTACAAACCTCCCAAGGTGGTATAAAACATCCTATTGCGCCCGTATCTCGTGCTCGAGAAGTACTGACATGTAAAGATTCCTCTCTGAGAAAAAAGTCGATGAATCCCGCTTTTCTCAGGCAGACTCAAAGACCACCCAAGACACGCTTGACTTGGCTCCCCAGGAGTCTTCTCTTCAACCATGGATCCCCTGGACGAGAATCCAGTTGGTTCATTTTACGATTTCATGGTCCCATATCCGGCGGCTTACCTCAACAACATGTCCAACCGAGAACTGTACGGCTGGTTGATGTTCGAGATGCGCTTGTTCGTCATCCCAATCTTTCTCCCCCCCTGTTGAATCCTGTCTTTGCCATCTTGACTCTAACATTGCAAATAGTGACGTACTGGTGGCTGATCCGCAGAACGTGTCTGACGAACTCAAGGCCAGAGCAAGGTACGCGCACCCACAACCCTCAACTAGCCAAAAGTAACATTGAACCGTCGCAGAGGCTAACTAGTATTTTCTGTCTCCTTCAGCGCCATTAGCATTGACCGTCTTCCGGCGGGCGACCCCACCACATGGGTTCTTCCAGCAGACACCCAGGGGCTCGAACGACTGAAAAGCATTGTCAAAGAGCAACTTGACTGCCATTATCAACTGAGGGAAGACGGATGCGTGCCCTGGTTTGACAGCTCGCAAATCCAGCATGTCGTCTACAAGACCAAAGCCCAGCCGAGCATCACCGAGCTCTGGCGGGGCAAATACGACGACGGCAGCCGTGTTCTGTCCAAGCAGCTGCGGTTATGGAACAAGTTTCGCCTCTGGCAGACGCGGCGCCGCCAGCAAACACCTATCACGCTCCTCCAGGAAGAATCGCGTAGTCGCCTGGTGGAACTCGGAATCGGGGGCCATCTCTCCTTACTCAAGCTGCAGCCAAAGCAATCCACACAAACTGAGGCAACGACATTGCTGGAATATCTCGACTTCATTGACCGGTATTACGCGTCGAGCCATGCCCTTGTGCAGAGCTGCGAGAAAGGCCTCCGCGAAAACTGCGTTTGTGAACGGAACGTTCCTCCCAACAGGGGGCGACACTCGAAGAAGACGAGAAAAGGCCGTGCCGCAGGGGCTCCAAAGGGTCGATCATGTGTGGGCAAGTGCAAAGAGCGCGCCGTGGCCAATCTGGAAAACGCAAAACGCACGCTTGAGCTTCGCAATGCTATTTGGGGTCGGACTGTGAATCAACTGAACGAATGTAACCCCGACACCGTCGAATATCGGTATCCGGCGGCTCCACTCGAGACGGAAATTAAGACCGAGGATGCTGGCTCAGCTGTGCTTCCAACACGCCCTGAACAGGACCTGGATGTGGAAAAATAGTAGACTATAGACCACGCGAACAAGGCGCGAGGGGAGGACGACCAAGGGGATCACGGTCATATGAGGGGTCAACATATCCCCAGGGTTATTTGCGACGCAGTCCCAGAAATTCTGTAGTCAAGGGTTTGACAAACGGTCCCAAGTAGGGCCGAGGAGATTGAAGTGTGTTTGCGGCCTTGGCCGTTCTTTATTGTTTTTTTTTTTTGGCTTACCATGGATGGACTGCATTTGAGAAACTCAATGGGTTGTGGGAAACCATTATGGACGAGTAGGGCTTGGTGAAAGAGGCCCCTTTGAAGGAGAGGCCGCTCGTCATTGTCGCGCCGACACCAAAGAAAGGCGCTCGGTGGAAAAAAAGAGGTCAAAGGAGGAGAGTCGTTTCTCATTCAGTGCTGCTGACGCAAATGCTTGCTTTTTCCACTCTCTTCAACATTTAGAGTTAGAAAATCACTGCTATACTATACACTGTTTTTTTTTTAAAAAAAAAAGGAAACAGAGCATACCAATCGCCATTACAAATCATCGTGCGCCCACCCCGTCGTCATCGCCGTCCAGAGATCTTGAAATACGGGTTGCCCATCAGGTCCCTCGCCCAAGGACTCCATCATCAGCGGCTGATTGAGCGCAGCATCCCAAACAGGGAAATACGGCTCCATGCTTCCATCGAGCATTGGACATGTGATTCGCGCCGGGCTCTTGCCCTGGCGCTCTACGGCCGCCAGCCGCTTTTGATACTTTTCCCGCACGACACTCATGACAGTTCGACTTGCAGATAGAATGTCCACTTTCTTGGAGGCAGGTGTAAGATCAGACTTTTGCTGCGACATGCGCGCTAGATAATCGTCCAGTTTGAGCTGTGATCGCGCCCACTCAGAGTCCCAATCAGGGCATTCTTGAATTCTAAAGGATAGCCGAATGCCGAGTATCGTGGCTAGGATGGGGCGAGACCAGTCAACGATTGTAAAGCAGGAGAGTGCGGCGTCGTCCAGGCTCATGACTTCCTGGTAAAAGGCGGCCGTGCTGTACACACAGTCGTGTAATTTGGCGTTTGACAAGGGGCAAGGCTCCCATTTGTAGGATTCAGAGGGTGGTGGACGGGGGAATCTGAGGAGTGTGCCGCTGTCGAGGAACGCCTTCATGAAGAGGACTTGTACCCTCAGCGACACTTGCGGACAAGGTTAGAATGTGTCCCTTGGGGGAGGCAACAGTGGCCCAGGGTTCAGCAGTTGACTAACCCGAAATGCTGAGAGGAAAGGCCAGCGACGATTCCATCTGAGCCAACTCAAACTTGAAGCCAGCCACCATGATGCGTCTGTCTTCCTCCCCTTGGTCGTATTTTTCATTCAGCGTCTTCGAGGCCTGAGATAGAATACTCGTCACGCGAGTCTGTGCGGCGAGGACGATGTCGCCCTGTGTTTTGCCGTACTTTTCGAGAAGATCACAACATCTGGCTGTCCACGATGTGTATGGTACTTCGATGCCCTTGCCGCGTTTCCAAGTAGCGAGGAAGCTGGGTAGCCTGGTAAGAAAGTGGAATAACTGCAATACATGTATGGACAACTCACGACGACACGATGTAAAAGTAGCCCACATACACCCGTATTCGGTCAAGTTGATCGTCTGTGAGATTGGGCGTATCTGACCACATGTTCAGATCTGGCTGTTGTTGATCCAGCTCCAGATCATGAACCATATCTGCGGCCATTCTCATGTATTGGAAGGCTTGTTTGTTTTTGGGCCTTAGATGAAAGGGATACCTGTTGATGTTAGTAACAACAACAACAAGAAGAAGATGAAGGAAGAGAAGCGTGATTCAACATAAAGGTCGTCCTGGACAAACATACCAAGCACAATATATGAGTAAACCTTGAAGTAGTTCCAGGCTCCTCTCGCCGCCGGCAACAAACTTCAACCCCAGCACTTTTCTAAATTCCTCATCGTACAAAGTATGGCCCTGTAGCGTCTTGGAGCCAGAAGTAGACGACAGTATCGACAGCAGGACAAACGGCTTCGCCGCAGCCATTTGCCTAATAGGAGTATCCTCCGACAAGGTGATGAAGGGAAAGTATGTCAACATGGAGTGGAAGGACGTCAAGAGTGACTCGGCAGATGCCACGTTAAATGACGGCTTTGTGTGAAAGTCATGAATAGAATGGGACTGTGCGGACGAGGACGTCGGGGTCTGAATACTCCGCCCAGAGTCCGGAAAGGGAGACATTTCTTCGTCATCCTCGGGAAAGAGCCTGTCGATGACTACATCGTGCGTGTCGCGCAGAGTCTCAAAGTTGTCGTCGATTTCTGACCCTGTGGACACGGAGAAGTCGATGCTAAATGTGCTTGATGGACCAGGAGGAGCAGCTTGAGCCTGGTGGAGTTGTTGGTCCTGGTGGCTTTTCAACTCGCACATTTAGTATGACGATGACGATTGGGAGAAGAGTGATAGACCTACCTGGCATATTTTCTAGGGCGACGAGGTCGCGGAGTAGTTCGAGAGATGCATTCTCTCTTGGACTCTAGGCACCTGGCATGATTGTTAGCAGCGTCACGGGATGATGATGATGATGTGGCATGATGATAAATAATGCTCGCATGGTTGGACTCTACTTTTTGCAGACCCCCGGCTGGTCGCTGGGCTGGCACCGGATCTTAGTGGCTCGACAGGCTTCGCATGCAGTAGCCACTCTCTTTCGAGCCGGGTTGTCGCCTGTTCCAGCATCCAGGTTCATTGTATCGGCGCCAAGTCTGGGGAAGTTCAGGTGTTGACGGGGTCACTCGTTCATGCGGCACATTGGTTCGTAGGGCGACTTGCTGGCAGTACCCGTCCGTCTGCTTTAGTTGACGACGAGTCCAGTGCAAGGCTCATCTCTGCTACAGTCCAGGCAAGTAGGAAGTGATGTGGAGGGTGATGGGTCGTCCGAGTGTGAGTGACGTCGGTGGGAGGATGGATATCCGGACTCGGTCGGATATCTGGACGGGATGTAACTTTATGCACATGCATTACGGAGTAGGTAGTCATGTATACAGCTCTACTCCACTTGCCGCCATCCGTACGGACCAAGGTGTACCGAGTACATGCGATGATCCGAAAACAATAATAAATCGCAGGAGCATTAAAGTAAAGGGAAATGATTCGTAAATATTACCCTAGCATGGTTGCGCGGTAAAAATATATACAAGTTCCATGCCTTGATAAAAAGATGGCATCTTAGTTATTATTAGTTTAATACATGGTGAACGTCCAAGTGTTTGCCCGCCACTTCACAGTCGAAAACCCCGGACAGGCCCCTACCCAGCAAAGTAGACTCATTAGCATCCGGCGGCAAGTCCAACAAGTGGTACACTTGGTAATCAGGGCCAGCTACACTGAGCAAGAATAATACTGGGATCAGGTCAGTTACAATGACTAGGTTCGTGACTCGTAGACGGTACGAGAGTATTCCATCACATGTTGGTCAACTCGACGAAATACAGTAAACGCTGTCACTCATATTTGACAGCATCAAGTGTCGCCCAAGAATAGATATATCAGCGCCCATTACTCAACGGGTATAAACCCCAAACACAACGCCGCCGCCAAACACCAAGCTATAATACAACACGACTCAACTCAATCCAGTTGGGTCATTTTCAAACCGGGATTTTTGGTCTCCAGCGTAGAGTCCACAAACGTTTGCAACGGACTAGTCAGACTCGACGCTTCTTCCCTCACAGTTTTCACTCCGTGTTTGCCTTGTCTATGAGCCGCGATGTTCACGACGGCGCACCGCTCAGAACAATACACCGTAGCCTGCTTCGAGTCCAGACACGCCGTGCAGAGAACCGCCTTTGATATCGCATCCCCCATTTCGACATCTTCGTCAGTAAGTTGTACACACTTATCGCCAGCGTCGCAGTCATGCCGAGACTCAACGTGCTTATCCTATACCGCCATTAGCACTGCCGCTTTGATTGCTACATGACAAAAGATATCCACGTCTATTACTCACATGGCCCTTGGAGTAGCATTTCTCTGAGCAGTAAACTGTCAGCCCTGCGTCTCCGCCAATCTGGACAAGTGCCTGGCAAAGAGTACATGACAGAACGTCATTGGTGTCAAGTCTGTTCCCACAAACTAAACAGGGCGGTAGGTCGTACAACTCGGAACCAGCATTTTCAGTCTGAGCTCCCCGCAGACTCTTAGTCTGCATCTTGTTCTGCTCAAATGCTGTTTTGGCTCTTCGAAGCTCATCCAGGCGCCGTTGGTGGCTCTCGCGCTGCGGCTGTGCGTTTCTGCTCTGTTGAAAGTCCATGACGATTTTGTCGATAATGTCCTCGAGCGTCATGCCCTCGCTGTTTCTATACTCATCAAGATATTTCTGCGCGTTTGTAAAGGCTTCGCCTGTTGACTGGTTGATAAAGAACTCGGCAATATATAGCTTCTTCAATTCAGCAGCGTCATCTTTAACAGCGCCCACCTTTTCCGCAAAGTTGTCAACGCCATCAGGCCAGTCAGAGGGCTTCCCAATGCCCTCTAGCATTGTCTTTACCAGCTCCTCTCGCGATCTATCCGGATCATCCAGCATGCCGCGTAGCTCTTCCTGGTTGAATCCACGATCAGATACGGCGATAAATTCCGGGTATCTCCTCAGAACCCAGCGGTACCAAGCCTCCTTTTCGGATTCTATCCTGGCTTCAATAGACTTGAGGCTCCGCTTTCGCTCTTTGGCATCCTGAAATAGGCCGTCGAGTTCGTGCAAAAACGCCCTTCTCTGTGCAAACCATTCTCTGTCCTCACTCTCGCCGTATCTAGCCCGTACTGTGTCCATCAGCTTGCCGTAACATTTCTGGCATTCGGTGAAGTTTTCTTTGCCGCATTCTGCCTTGCATTCTGCCTTGATGGCACCCACTGCATCGGCACAAAGCTTCTTTTGACGCCTAGCAACGTTGAGTTCCGTCCAGTGCTCGGGCATAGCATGGGCTGACGGAGTACCCATTTTGGCTAATGTGAGGTAATATTTTTTGGGGACTGGAAGGCCAATGATTTCGCATGTATAGAGATCGGATGCCAGCTATTTATCCTATTGGTGTCTGATGGCATTCAAGTTGGAAGGTGGTGACAGTGAGACGTGTAACGGAGCCGGTAGAGTGAGTCTTTGAAATGAGGGCTCTTGTTGGCGTATGAGAAGCTAATTCTGAATGCATTCCGGGATTGAAGTCTCTTTCTCAATTTTTTTTAAGGCAGGATGGGATAATTCGCGATGAAATAGTAAACTTGAACATCATCTTGTCAATAGTAGCCGGGCTGAGAGATGTGCCAAGTGCCGAAGTTCAAGCGGCAACTGACCCACAACAACTTTCTGCAAAGCAACCGGTGACAGTATCGTCGCTGTCTCCTGCGAAGAGCTCGTACAGTATCTAACGAGACGTGTTCCCGATACTCCAGAACTTGAATCGCCGGCTGTATATCAACAGTAGTATTCTGCATAAACTACCGCCACTCTACTGCCGAAAATGGTGTGTTCAACCACGAGATATGCCAAAACTCAACTAACAGCAAACAGGCTGACAAGCTCCGCACTCAACAAGAGCTCGAACGCCTGCAGGCGAAATACATTGGAACCGGCCACCCCGATACGACAAGCTGGGAATGGCGAACAAACATTCAGCGCGACACATATGCTTCCATCGCCGGCCATCGACCGTTGTTGTCCTATGTAGCTCTTGCCGAGAACGAGCCGCTGGTTAAGGTTCGCGCAAGAATGATTCGGGTACGAGGCCTCCTTATAATTATACTGTTGTGCCAAAACTATCAGCGGGCTAACTATGAAGTTACAGAAAATGATCCAACCCGCCGGCCCGCCGCCACCTCGTGAGGAATAACGTGTCAAACTGTGAGGTCCGGGAAGGAGAGAAATGCATTAATGGGGTTTTTGGGTATCGACTGTGTTTCTGGTGCATTAGGAGGTGTTGCTGGGGCGTTTTGGGGGGCAAATATCCGCGCGATTAGAATAAATATATGACCATGGATCGTGAGGTTCCAGGATATTCACTGTCCGTTCCGCCAAAGTTGCCTGAAATTAGTTCGTTTCCAGGTTTCATGGGCATCATTAGCCCAAGGGTGCGGCTAGTCGTCTTCACTCTCATTCTCCCCTCGTTTCCTCTTCATTTCCGTCATCCCTCGTCGTTGGCGACTCCTTTATGCCAAGACTAGCGTTCAGCTTCTTCTCCAAGTCCTCTGATGATCCCCCGTACAACTCTCGCACCAATCCACGTACACCGTCCAGCCCAATTTCTTCTTTTGCCCTAGGCCCAACGTGCCATGTAATGGTTTGCTCGCCATCTTGGCCGAGCGGTGGGCGTTCTACCCTCTTTATGACATAGCCATGTTTTTCCATTTTCTTCAGCGTCGTTTCCGTCTTCTCACTTGAGACATTCTGGTCGGCATTTAAACGAAGAAGATATCGCCTCAGCTTCTGTTCGCTTAGTTCGCCGCCATTTAGCCATATGAACGACACAACCAGTGTATAGAACGCAACATATGTTGCTTCATCGTCCGAGGTGGGGATTCTGGACGGCTTGATGATGGCTGCACTGCGATATTCGTCTGGCAAAGTTGACGTCAAAATATAGGCGCCAGATCCAATTTTCGCCTGTGAATTTGACTTCATCGCTATGCAAATGGGTCAGCCTTCCTTTTCTTCGAAGCTGTCGAGCCAAAAACTACCAGCTGTTCGGGCGTACCTTGTCTTTTCTCTTGCAGGGACATTTTCTCTCTAACTGGAAGCTCTCGGAGCTCCATGCCCCAAACAAGTTTTAATTGCTTTTGTGCTAGCGCGAAAATTCTTTTAAAAGATCGCCCCTGGTTGCCAAGAACTTGGATAGCGTCAGTATGTATCGCATTTCCTTAGATACACAAGTTTTCTTTACCTCTCTCCTTAATACCGTCACGGCGTATGGGCGTCCGTGAATATTCGCATGATAAGGCATAGCGAACGAGCTTCTTGGCGAGCTGATCATCTGCACTGCTGCCAGCCTCACCATCGACATCCATCCCATCCTCGGAGTCGTTATCGAAATCATTATCGGGATCACGGCGATTCGCTCGCTGCCTAGACGGTACGCCATCTTCTGGGTCTTCGTCATCCACCTGCAAAAGATATTATTAGCCATGCAAGCGACTTACTGGGGACGTAGGGTCGTACAGGCCGCCTTCTCCTTTGTTTCACGGGCATTTTTCCTTTCACTGAGTAAGCGAAAAATGGCACCACTAGGTTGTGGCAAATGAAAAACGTCTTCAGGATAATTAGAACTCGAAATTGGATCGAATGTCGTGTAGTTGATATTCCATGTTAACCGCGGGGCATTAAATGGACGGACGCGATGCAAGTCACCTACGCGTCTGCATTTGTGACATCAATTTAATCGTGCCTGACCCACTTATTTTAGGTCGTGAGGGCAACCGACCACCTAAAATAAGTGGGACAGCCACAATTAATATGGAGCGCTCTACGGAGAACGCCTGATCATTCTTATCGATAAACCCTGACGTCGCAAATTTCCAGGAGCTCCTGTACGGGCATTTGGGATCCCAACTTGATGCGTCGTCAAGCAAAGCAGCTTTTCATTCCCTGCTGAGCCCGTTGCACCGTTTGCGTTTTTACTTCCCCCATGCTCGCGAGGGCGGTACGGCTGCCGCGGATATGCCTGGTATGCCGTCTGGGCATACTTCGCCAAGCCGCTGCTGTTCCCATTCGATGCCCATCGAGCCCTACGAACAGACGACAAGTACGATATGCTTCCGATTTTTCGCCGCAGAGTAAGGAGAGAATAGAGGCACTTATATCAGGAGCGCTTGACGATATTGAATCGCATTCCAAGCATAACGGTGTAAAAAAAAACCGACTCAATCAAAAAAGAAAGGGCCAGCAGCGAGGCGATGTTCATGATGAACCTGCTGAATGGGAACTTGATCCGGGGAAGGACTCTGGCTTGCCTGACACTGGCGATATGAATGTGACCGAAAAAGCGAATGCCTCTATTAAAAATGCGCCGATTCAAGAAACTGCAACCAGCAAGGAACCATCAACACCTCCCCGACCGATGTCAATGCCTAGAAGCCAGCCTCATTTCGATACGGAACAGCTGCCCGACGAATTCGTGTACCGTCACAGTCTGGGCATTGACGCTTTGGGAAAACCTGTCGATGCAATTATTATCAAGAACCCTAACAAAATGAGGGATACTAAGAGGCGAACAACTCGGAGCATGAAGGAAGCTCAACATGTTGATGGGACCGTGGCCCGTTTCACTTGGCAGGACGTTATACCCCAAGGGAAAGAACCAGAAGAATCAGACTTTTTGAAAAACATTGAGGAGATACGACCCAAAGACACCTTCATTGTCAGAAGGAAAGACTTTGACAAGTTGATTGGTTACCTGGTTGATGGATTCCTTGCAGCACAGCTTCAAACATACTTTGACCGCGCAACCTGCAACAAGATTTTGGTTCATGCTGATACATATCCGTACTCTTGGCTAACTGAGCAAAGTCCATGGGCCGCTGCCGAGACATTGGATTTGAGCTCGCACAAGGGGAAGCAACAGCAAGCAGTCGCAATTCTGACTGGAATATGGAAACTGGAGATTCAGGAGCATATAGAAGGAATTGGGAGAACTGTAGTCTGGCTGAAGCCAGATATTTTCAATCTGATTGCCAGTAAGATCAACCGCGTGTAGTATTAAACTGCTTGGGCTAACATATTCCCACAGATCCCCAAAGCGGCATCATCGGGAGACTCAGCGCCGATTTCTTGGACAAGTCAAACAAGGAAATAATAACTTCAAGACCAGAAGACTACAGGCTAAGCATCTACGCCCGCAAGTCAACTGTTTCTACGATTTTGGCACGACTCGACGAGATTGTGCAGACGATAAAATCTCAAACTATTTCTGTTCAGCGAGTAAATCAAGAAAATCTAGAAACATCAGTCTTAATGGAGCTTGAGAAAATAACAAAGACTGCTTTGAGGTATAATGCAACAACTTCCGTACGTTAAAACTTGTATTACCTCTAGCATGTAGCGAACACTTGGCTAATGATGATAAAGACGCTCGATGTATCATGGCTCGCCGAAACTGATGTCTCCAACGGAAAGACAGAAGGTCCAGCTGACATTGTTTTGAGATTACTAATTGGCCGAGAAACCTCATCACAACACGCAGATGTTCATATTCTTCCGAAAACTCGGCAAAAGAAGGGGGTATTCCTAACCCATCAAAGGGATAAACGAGGCATGGCTTGGAGAGATAAGCTCCGGTACTGGTCTCGCTACGTCAATCCTATCGGCAAATCGACAGAGGAGACTATGAGTCCGGGCTTCGGCGACAGTATCATCCTGGAACAACCTAACGCGTCATCTCTCAAAGAAAATCTTGAAGTCACGGCAGTATTTGGTCACATCCTGCATACCAAACAAAGTATTCGCACAGATAATCTGACCAAATCTCGCCGGGTACTTTGCCCAATTATTCCCCATCCTGCCGCTCTTACTTCCATCACAGCCGACACATCTGCTCCCAGTACCCAAAAGACAGCCATCGTCCTCAATTTCGCGCCGGAAAGCCCACCAGAAGCCTCCTCCCCAGGCACCTCTCAACTTGTTCGTCTACGGTTACCAATCAGCCCGTTCACCGACCTATCCAAATTTTCATTCCCGGATGCATCAGTTCTGGAGGCAGTAATGCCGTGGCAAGAAAGCGACATTATGCTTCCGGACAACAGCGTAGACGTCCGCCTGACTCAAAAGCGACTGGTTCCTCTCGATGCCCATCAACATTCCCTCCAGGCATTTTTGCAAGCTTCCGATTTCAACCTCCTGCAAGGGCGTCTCAGAACACCCAGTAGAGCCAGCTTTGCTATACCACGTTTCTCATCAATTGAACAGAGCACCTCGTCAACAGACCTAGTTGCAACACCATACATGTTCATGGGCCTTGAGATCCACCAAACCATCGACATGGAATGGCAATCCCACACCCTTCGCTACAGCAGCATTGAAGCCGGACAGCATGGCGGACAGCAGCAAATGCTATCCCTAGTAGCCGGCCCCCCAGGCGACCAAGGCAGTGCTACCACTCAACAATTACAGAGTTTCCTGGAACTGGTTAAGGAAACAGCTTGCGGAGCACACTTTTCATGGGACCAAGGCTACAGACTGATGAGCGGGCGGTCCGCTGAGCAATTTAGCTGGGATATGATGGACACGGAATATGCCAAACAAGATGCTGCTACTGCGGAGGAAACAAATCAAGGGTTGGGGCCAGAACACGGCCGCGAGGGCCATGAAGCAGCGTCGCCTCATCAGCCTCAGCGAGCTCTCGACACCACCAAGATGAAGAATGAGGTGACGGACAATTCTCAGACGATCCAATCGTTGGATGAGTCGCTACGCAAGACGGAATCCACGACTGATAAATAGAAACTTGTAAAACTAGAAGAAAAAATACTTGTACAATAATTAACCAGCATATACACTTTCTAATCAAATGACATCATGAAGACAAGAATAAGCCCCCAGTCAAAGTGGGACAGGAATACCCCATCCATCAAGTTTAAAGTGTTTCCCCACGATCAAGCGACAGGACCGCCGATGGGTGTTGGACTGCGTATCGAAACTTTGCGATCCCAGCCCGGCACGGCGGAGTACACGAACGGGTATTGTGCAGACTCTATCGTGCTGTTCGGCAGCAAGTTTTACAAGCATCGACGCATCGAAGAACGGCAATATGCATCATATGGAACACATCTCATTCACACGTCACATGGCGCTGGGTTAACAGATTGATTGTTTTTTTTTTGACATATTTTTTTTTGGAATCACTTCTAGACTCTATTTTTTTTCACTTCCTTAGCACATCATGAAACCAATCAAACCTTGTTTCTCATTAAATGTGCCACCTAGACAAATAGCCGAGTGCTCATCCATAGCAAAGTAGATCATTTCGTCGTAGAAGTGAGAACATTACGTCCCGGTATCCAGCCCAAAAAGCAACACAAGATTTCAACGACTTTGATCGCTTATTTCTTGCCAGCCTTGGCAGCAGACTTGGTGACCTTACCGGAACCAGCAGCGGCCTTCTCGACGGACTTGATGACACCGACAGCGACGGTCTGACGCATGTCACGGACGGCGAAACGACCCAGGGGAGGGTAGTCGGTGAAAGCCTCAACGCACATAGGCTTGGAGGGAACCATCTTGACGATGGCAGAGTCACCAGACTTGATGAACTTGGGGGCAGACTCAACAGCCTTACCGGTACGTCGGTCAATCTTCTCCTTGATCTCAGAGAACTTGCATGCAATATGGGCGGTGTGGCAATCGAGGACGGGAGCGTAACCAGCACCGACCTGGCCGGGGTGGTTGAGAACGATGACCTGGGCATCGAAGGAAGCGGCACCCATGGGGGGGTCGTTCTTGGAGTCACCAGCAACGTTACCACGGCGGATTTCCTTGACGGAGACGTTCTTCACGTTGAAACCAACGTTGTCACCGGGGACACCCTCGGTAAGCTGCTCGTGGTGCATTTCCACGGACTTAACTTCAGTGGTGACGTTGGAGGGAGCGAAGGTAACGACCATACCAGGCTTGAGGACACCAGTCTCGATACGGCCGACAGGGACAGTTCCAATACCGCCGATCTTGTACACATCCTGGAGGGGAAGACGGAGGGGCTTGTCGGTGGGACGCTTGGGGGGCTCAATGGCGTCAATGGCCTCGAGGAGGGTCTTGCCGGTGGACTTGCCAGCCTTGGTCTCCTTCTCCCAACCCTTGTACCAGGGGCAGTTGGTGGAGGGCTGAAGCATGTTGTCACCGTTGAAACCTGAGATGGGGACGAAGGCGACGGTCTTGGGGTTGTAGCCGACCTTCTTGATGAAGTTGGAAGTCTCCTTGATGATTTCCTGGTAACGGGCCTCGGCCCACTTGGCGGTGTCCATCTTGTTGATGGCGACAATGAGCTGCTTGACACCCAGGGTGTAGGCGAGCAGAGCGTGCTCACGGGTCTGGCCATCCTTGGAGATACCAGCCTCGAACTCACCAGTACCGGCAGCGATAATGAGAATAGCGCAGTCAGCCTGGGATGTACCAGTGATCATGTTCTTGATGAAGTCACGGTGACCGGGAGCGTCTGTGGGAGGGGCATTAGCATTCAATTTGGGAGAACAGTATGCGGTCAGTTGGCGCAAGTCGACATACCAATGACGGTGACATAGTACTTGGGAGTCTCGAACTTCCAGAGGGCAATGTCGATGGTGATACCACGCTCACGCTCGGCCTTGAGCTTGTCAAGAACCCATGCGTACTTGAAGGAACCCTTGCCGAGTTCAGCGGCTTCCTATACAGCGATCCAAATTAGTTTCATGTTTTTTCCTCTGAAAGCAACGACAACGTTATGGTTTCAACAGCCAGAGACACAAAGAGACACCCTCGACAGCTGGCGGGGTATGGTGCCCCACCAAAGTCCAAGATAAAGGCCCCGCGAAAATTTTCGTGTCACAGTGAGGGGTAATGGCCGACAGGCAGCGGGAAACCCCATAGGGTTCATCGCCAAACAATAGCAGATCATTAATCGGAGTGGTTTGGCTTACCTTCTCGAACTTCTCAATGGTACGCTTGTCGATACCACCGCACTGGTAGATCAAGTGACCAGTGGTGGTAGACTTGCCGGAGTCGACGTGGCTGTGAGGACCAGTCAGTTATCACAAACTCGAGACGGCGAAGAGTGTAGGCTCCGAAACATACCCCTACGACAAGCAAGTCAGTATAACAGCTTCTACAAGGCTCGAAATGGAGGCAGGCGACTTACGATAACGACCACGTTGATGTGAGTCTTGTCGTCCTTACCCATTTTGAAGGTATTAGATTATTGAGATTTGCAGTGTGTCCTGACGGAAAGTGTCTTGTCAAAAGAGTCAGCAGCTGATATCTTCCATCCGTCTGCATCAATGATGTTGATGAAGAAGAGGATTGTTGATGAGGACCAACTTACAAATTCGCAGATCGGATGCTTGAACCGGGTATGCGAGACGAGGAGCGAAAAGAGAGAAAAATTCGCAAAGAGGTGGTGGGAGGAGGAGATTTAAAAAAGGTGAGTGGAGGAGGGGTGGAGTGACTGATGCTGGCTGCGGCGCGGGGCAACAGAGCAACGAGCACTGAGGGGAGACCACCTTGACCAGCTAGCCCTAACAGGCCAGAAGTTTTTTTTTCTCCCCTCTGGGCTGCACCAAAGTCACTTGCAAGATTTTTTTTTGCTTTTTAGCGCCATGTTGTGCGTGGCGCAAGCCAATCAGCGGCCTGGCCTTGGCCCGGTGCTTCGTCATGTACCAGATGTACCTAGGAGTCCTTTACTACCAGTTCACCCGGTCACGATGACGGGCGAGCCTTGGAGGGGCAAAGAGGCCGCTGAGCTTTGCATCAAGGCTGCCCTTGGAAACGACAAAGCCGCGGTGATGCACAAGTGAGGAAAGCTATAGGATACGAGTTTTTGACTGGAAAGCCGTAAGCTTATTCGAATATGAAGATGCACCATGAAATACAGCACTTTCTTCCTCTTGGTGCAACGTGGGCGTTGCCGCGCCGCGCCGCACATCGTGATGTGTCTCTCATGCTAAAGCTGCGACAATTCTGCGGACTCAACGTGGCTTTCTGAGCCCAGAGTTACTGAGATTGGATTTAATAGGACGAGGCTGTCTTTCTCTCAGCGCTTCGAGCCTTGAATAAAGATGCCGGCACGAGGAACCAAGAGCGGCGTCCTCTTGGCACAAATCACCAACAGCCTTCCCTCAACCCTCGTTCATCGTCCGAAAAAGAAGGTACATGGCATCTGTTAGCAGGTACAAAGTGGAGACGAGATTAGAACTAAGGAGAGAAAAAAAATTCAAAGGGACCCCGATTTTCCTGTGAGACAGAACCAGTCAGTTTCATCAATCGTTGCTGGCGGCCGGAGCTGTGTCTGCCCAACCCCTCCTTAGCGCAAGGCCCAAACAGAAAAAAAAATTTAAAAAATATCAGAAACCCTCTCCGGTACCAAGTTTGCCGTTGCCAGTAGTCGAGTCGTACTCACTCAGTGTGTGGTTTGTGACGAGACTCGACGGCGTGAGCCACGGCAAACGGTTGGGCAACCTGAGGCCATAGCATTTTAACCCTCTGATGGATTCAGATTTCGGGGTATACGCATGGCTATCTGGAGAATAGAAACATGATTGTATTATATGTATTTTGGCCTCAGCTTCAATTTGCCGGTTTTGACATCTCACAGCCTTCTCCCTCGCAGTGAGTCCAGGCAAGCCCCATGTCTTGAGCCCGCATGTTCAAGATTGAAGCGTTCTGGCTGTCTGGGACACCAAACACCTGCATCTTAAGTTGCCGCCCCTCTCCAAACGTCATGCCCCACCATTGGGCCTCGCCACCCCTCTTCTTCCATGTCGTCGATGCAACATGGGCAGATACGTGATCTCACGGCGGATCCCATGAGACGATGTTAAAAAAGAATGCTGTGAGTCTTTACCGCTCGAATCACCCGTCTCTTTAGGCAGAAATTCCCGACAAATCATTCAGGTGGTACGCGCGCAAAAGGCGGTTTAGGCCGCGAGAGCCTCCGGCAAGCCGCCGTGCTTTTTTACCCCTCCATCCAAGCTCTTTTCATGGCGCACGAGACGAGGCTTGCAGCCAAAAATCTGCAAAAAGCTGACACCTGAGCTCAAGCCAACGTTCCCTTGGGGCGGGGCCAAGGGGGGGCCAAGGGGACACATGCAGTGAATTGACGCCTGTTGTTCAAACTTCAAGGACCCTGGCAGACCTGGTCCCCTCTGTGCTGCGCAAACTGAGTTGGCAACGCTTCGTGTTGTACTCCGTACAGGAGGCGAATTGCTCCCAGCCACAGTGGGGCTGCGAGGCTCTATGTTGTAGCGGACTGGTCTGGACACTTGTGCAGGCAGAGGCAGGCCTTTATCTTTCAATGTAAGATTTGGTCTGGTTGCAGTACAGTTTCATATGAAGGCAGATCTTTATTGGTGCTTTGGACGCACCTTCCCAACACATTCCATTTATGTTTTATATTATTTTGACATCATACAGTATATCCCATAGTAGATTACAATACGATGCAAAATACTCTGTACAGCGTAAGCTAGAAACCCCCATTCAATGCAAGCATACCCCAAAGAAGTTAAAAGAAGCATGTGTTCGGTCTGCACTTGTGAGAGAGCTCGCATCTCGGGGTCTCCGTCTGCATTCCATAACGACGTGCATGTTTCCTTCGAGATGGCCGTGCACCGGGATTCCGAATAACATCACTGCGTGCCTGAAATTGGAGGAGAGCTTGCTGCCGTGCCTTGTAAAAACAAGGTTTCCGGATGGCTATTGCTGTATTACGATTTCATTTGCCGAGCTGCTGCCTAGCAGTTGCGAGTCGCCGAGGACATGGAGCCTACTTAAGTAGATTTACATTCGGACAACTTGCTAATTGCAATGCGCGACTACATGATATATATATATATTAGAGTGTGAATTGTTTCGCTCTGCAGTCAAAGTGATATTACAAGCATGGTGCGAGTATCGGTACATATCTATCTATATATATTATATACTAGCCCTAATGGGAAATATTATAGCTAACTCAACTTCATTTTGCACACATCACAAGACTGTATTTGTACCCGACTTTGTGTAGCGCCGCCACTGCCCTTTATTCCCGTCCAAACTCGCACCTCAGACCTGACTTCGACCTGCTGAATTCTTGGCCGCTAAATAGCCTCCCTCACCCGCCCAGTGCGCAGCTGTACCCGGCACATTTCCCGTCTTTAGGCGCCAGATAACTGCACCGACTATCGTTATTGTAACATTTATTTACAGTTCTCGTGGCCTATTATTAATCCTGTTATTTGATACAAGTGCCTCAACGTTGTTATGTCGCCGGTTTCGAACCGCTGCTCGCGGTTTAATACATCCAATGTCGCTCTTACCCGCAATTCAACCCTCCTTCCCAAGTATTCTTGCTATAATCGTAAATTTACTTTGTCAAGTTCTTCCATCTACCACCAACTCCACGTTGTCATTACTGATCTTTGCCGTTGGTCTCTCGATTCGCCTTGTCCTTCATAGATGCTCTAGGCGTCTTGAGGCCCATCAGCACCGCAGCTGAAACCACAGCTATACCGGTAGCTCCCATGTTGTACGCATATTCTCGACCCGCCCACCAGTACACACTTGTAAACAGGATCGGCCCAAGTCCACGTCCCAATTGTCCCCAACTTCTCAGAATGCCTAGCTTCCCCCCACGTTCGTCTTCACTGGCCTCGAAGCTGCTCAGCGCGTTTAGTCCAGTCACCACCGTCGCCGATGTCATTGCAAGACACGTCGCCGCAGCATACAAGCCACCGATACCACCGGCTCTTCCTAAGAGGAAGAAGGCAGCCAAGCACGAAATAACGCCGATTCTTACAGAGAGCAACGGAGGAAGTCGACGAGTCACTCCGCCTTGGAGAATAGATGCCACAAGACCAATATACCCCAGCAATCTCCCATTTTTACCAGAAGTGAACTCAAACAGTTCATAAGTCATGAATGATAGCGAACTTTCCATTCCTGAGAAAAAGAGAAGAAACAAGAAATGAACTGCATTGAGGACAACGTGGGAATTTGTTCTCTCCGCTGGTTTGGCCTTTGTCTTCTCCGTCCTCTTCTCTGACTTGGCTTCGTTTCCAATAAGAGATGGCAGAGTTTCCGGTAAGAAAAAGTATAGATATATCGTTTCGATTACAATGAGAGCCAAGCTAAAAGATGCGGCGGTTGCAAAGGGGTTTGCAGCGACGTGAGATTTTGTGCTTAGCCAAGCGCCCAATCCAGGTCCGAATGTGAAGGCAATGGAGAAGCAAGCTCCGATCACCGCCATGGTGGACCCTCTAGTCGATTCGTCTGAGATATCACTTGCCATTGCAGTTGCTAACTGGACATTTCCCTCGGATAGACCTCCAACAATGCGGCTTGCGACAAAGGTGCGGAAGTCAATGGCCGCAACCCAAAGGAGCACCGACAGCACGTTTCCGCACATGGACGTCAATAGAGCGGTGCGTCGGCCGTATCGGTCAGAGAGCCTTCCAATAAGAGGGGAAGCAATCGCTTGCAACAACCTATGCGTCATGGTTAGAGTGGCCATGAGAGGGCCGTGCCATTGAAGAGGTAGTCTTGGATCCAGCGTACGAGAACAACGAGCCCATGGCTCCTCCAAGGAGAACAATATCATATCGGGAGTCGATGGGACGTGAAAACGAAGCTTTGTATTTGTTCAGGCCCCCGAGAACCTGTTGCAGCAATGTTGGCGGCCCACCCGGGATCAGCGACGGCGCTTCTCGATCTCGATAGAACTCCAGCAGCTTGGGGAAGAGTGGAAGAATGAATGTGAAGGAGATCTAAAGCCAGGAGACAGGACAGAGTTAGGAGTCGCTACATTCTGCCTAGCTCATGGGAGGTGATTTATACCAGATCCAACAACAGCGACAACACAATCACCTTCAAGACTCTCTTCCTGGTCGCAGGATCCACCGCTGCCATGGTGGCAATTTCGATGTGCAAGCTCGTACGTGATGTAAGCGTCGAAACGGTCGAGAGAGCCGCATGTGTCAACAGAGCCAGTCAACAACCATGGAGAGAGGGGCAAGAAGCTTCGTCAGTAGTAAAAAGAGAAGGATGCGCAAGTTTAAATGACGACGGACGCACGGAGAATATCAGACACGAAACGAAACCTAAGGAGGTCAGTTGTCAGACGGATGGATCCGCAGAGATGCGAATCGGGAACAAGCAGTGGGCCGCCCTGACCTCCCCGGGACTCCTTGGCCAACGGCAGAGGCCAATCTGATTGTACATGATGACCGTGACCCTGCGGGTTTGACGGGCTGGGGCGAACACCAAATCCAGGGGTGTCAAAAGTGATGGGCGAACAGCTCCACTGGAAACTGGGCCGTTTCGTCGTCGGGTCCCGTTCGTACCTGAGCAATTACGTCGACACCCCATCTCAAAACTCCCAGGACTCTCTCTCTCCCCCCCCCTCTCCAGTCTATTCTGAAAGCAGCTCAGAGGGCAGCACAATCGTCTTCTAGATGCCCCACGAGTACCATATGTTTGTTCCAGTCTAATACTACGAGTTGCACTCGAGCCGCATTAATTCCCGCACGAGGGCTTGGAACGCCGAGGAATGTGAAATGATTGAATTGGCAGCCACGGCTGTCGCATTTCTCGATGCGCGTCTTCTCGAATTGTGTGGTCGCACCGAATCGGAATATAAATGGCATGTCTCGTATCAAGTACGACACTACGACCAGGTCGCTCAGGTCCAGGATTTCGAACAAATAGCCGAGAACAACACATGCAACATCAACGGGGTGGTACGGACGTCATTGTGTTATGCAAGAAGCTTCTCGATCTGCTCTGCCAGTCCGTTAAGGCTGCCTTCTTTAAATGCATGATACAATCACTCACTACAACAATCTATTAGATGTGTATCCTAAACCCTTTGAGGGAAAGTAACGCGACGAAGGCGGCTGCCTGGTCCTGACAATCCTCTGGAGGGTTTTCCGCTGATAAATTTAATGAAACATTTCATCATTGGATAAGTTTTTGGAAATGCTAGGCTTAGCAGGTATGCGGTCCAAGTATTGAACACAATACTGCGCATTATTTCCCGGGCAGCTTAGGGTCTATACCCATCGGTCAATCCAACCCTTTTTCGTTTCACAATCATCGTTAACATCATAAACTACATAGGAGATACTGGTCAAGCTATTATTTGACCACCATGGTACAAACAAGGGCTTACTAGATTGCGCATATTATACCCCCCACCATTGTAGCCGCCCATGACATACTCTCAAAGGGTAACATTGGCAGCATTCCCCCCCAAATATTTACTTTCGGACGAATCAAACCCGGCGACACTCAGGACAAATCGTATGCCCTCTGACCCCTGGATTCGTGTTAGCCAACGTCCCACCACATATCGTTGTCTTGGCCTGTAGGCTGTACCTTGTAAGGGATAGGGATAAAGTAGTCAGACGCCATTTGACCATCTCGCGGGGTCGTTTCGAAAATGTTCAAGACTCCAGTATCTCCAGGACGGACATCAACACCATTTCCCCACTGACGGAACAGTTTGGCCAGGACCAGGTACATCTCCGCTAGCGCAAGGGCCTTACCCAAGCAACTTCGCGTTCCACCACCAAATACTGTCAGATGTTTTTCAAGTCGATCCCCATCGTCAAGCCAGCGCTCGGGCTGAAAGCTTAATGGGTCTGGGAATATGTCTTCGTCCATGACAGTCATATACGGGCTCATACTAACCACGGTCCCTACAGGGATTCGCCACTCTCTCATCCTCTCATGATCATGAAGAAGAAATTCTTCATCCAAAGCAATTCGGGAAAGCCTTCCACTCGTACCAATGCTGTGGCGGAGAGCCTCTCTAACAACGGCTCGCAAATACGGCAAACTTTCCAATTTCGCCAGCGGTATAACTTCATTGGCGTCAGGGATAGCGACAAATAGTTCGTCCCGGAGCTTTCGAAGCGTTGATTCTTGATTGACAAGATGGAATGTTGCCAGTGATAGAGCCCACGACGACGTAAGAGTGCCTCCTTGCACCAGAATTTGTGCTTCTTGGGCTAGCCTGGCCGGTGTCTTCTCACAGTCCGGAAGGTTCTCTGAAGAGAGCAATTCATGCAAAATGGTTGGGTGGCTCACGTCCAGCTTCCATTGTCCTGTATTCTCTGTCGACTTGACTTTTTGAATTTGCTGAAGGATATCGTTCTTCATCTTCAGAAATCCTGACCAGCCTAGTTTGGGGTTAGCATCATGTTGAGGTTTCGGACAATCACGTTCATACCTGGAATCCACCGTCCCGAAAGAGGCTCTGGCATACTATTTATCAGGGTGAGAGCCCAATTTGCATGCTTGACGATCAGTCCCATATGAGTTCCCATCAATAAATTGTCAGTCACCTCGCGGCCAAAATCCGGGCGTTCAACTATAATGCTTTGTTAATGATGCTTCGGGAAACATCTGGGCAGAGTGGGACAGACTTAGGTGATCGCTTCGAGCAAACGCATATTCATTAATGACATCTTTACACGCTCAAGTTAGTTATCCTGCTAACCAGTAACACTTCACCATTTCCAAAACACATACCGTTCGTGAAAGCCGAGAAAGGATACATGATGTTGATTGGCGTGCCACATTGAGTAGCGGCATACTTGTGGAAGGCTTCAAGAAGACTATCGACTCGTTCTTCGATAACTGGTTGGAGATTTCGAACACTATGAGTCGAGAAGAATGCATTGAGAGCCGACCGGCGCAGCTTGTGGTGATCATGATCGATTGTTGCGAGGGAACTATCTATCAGAGAGGTCAGATATCTATATCTGGGCAGCAAAGTCCCTGCTAATAGTCTTACCTGGAGCTCCAAACTACAACAGCTGAGTTAACTTTTACATTGCTGTCACAACTGGCCAGGGACACTACTCGCCTGTTTTGTCCAGAACGTCCACTTTTGTCGAGGCCTGGTTGGCCCTCCAAACAAATCAGAGTGGAAGTCGTGCTGTCTAACATGCACCTCCCAAGGGTTAATACGGACCACAGAACCGTACTCTTTATGCAGTTCCATAATCTTGAAGGTGTATTTGCCGCCGAGGACAATATCATAATATAGCTCATAGTACTGCGTCAGGGCCGCAAGTCTTGGCCCGGGTATGTGGGCAATAGGGCTGAGCCAAAGCCTCTGCACAGCAAGAACAGTAGCATATCCGAGGCAAACGACGAAAACAACGGCCAGGGTCTGTCCCCAGGTGATGGTTGACCAGCAAGTGTAGATAGCCATATTCGAACAAAGGAATCCAAGGAATCCCCGGGGAACCCAACCGGAGTAGGAAACAGGATCCTGCTCAACCCCGAAAGCGCCAGGTTATATATCCCAGGTTCGGCTGAAGTTCTATCAACTGCCGACAAGATCCAGGTGGGGAACCAAAGCACTATCCCGTTCGATGTGACAAGTCATTCGAGGAGTTGCAAGTAGGGTTTAGGACAGGAGCGCCACTCTGAAATCCTGGTTCCGCCACATCGACATAGCAGTTGCAAGAAAAGCCACCTCGTGGTTCAGCTCTGTCGTCTTCTTATGCCTTTTTTGTTCACCACATTCCGACAGGCGCCAAACGGATCCAGTCGTTATCCTTGTCATCGTGCCATTGTGGAGCGTCTTCCCAAACCTTGAGAGGCGGTGACCCCCGTCTGGACAACTTAGGACGCAGGAGACGGCGGCATTTGCGGCTCAAATCATAGGGCCCCGGCCGTAGACTGTGTACAAGACGACAAAAGTGTGAGCCCTAACGGCCGAGAAGGAAGCGGGCGTGTTTCTTTATTGAGACAGAGACAGGCTCAGCGATGATATTCGAAACCCCAATGCCTAAAATAGACAGGGTGGCCCGACACGGCGGACATGACTTGTGTCAAGCGGGCCGAATCTACCTCGGAGAAAATGGGACGGCTCATGCAAGTGAGTTGTGATGATGGAAAGCGGCGAAACGCACAACATCCATTCAGTTGGGCATCGAACCGTTCGCCCAGCCCAAATGCCGAGATGAGTTGCATGATGGGTTCGTCGACGCCAGCCGGGCACGGTTGTGCTCATTCTCCAACCCTGACAAGCCAGACTGCTCAAGGAGAAAATAAAAATAACATCCAAATGGACGACGCGTAGTACAGGGACCGCCGAAGTTCCTGCCTGCATATTTGACAGCCCTGGACAACCAACTGCAAGGGGACAGACTGACTCTTCCCAGAAGGGAACCAATTGGAATAAGCGGCGTTCCGGAGTTGCCTGCGCTTGTTTCCATATAGCATGGTAACACTGCTCGAGCCCTAGGCATTCACAAAGATGATTGCAACCTAACATCACACATTGGTTTTCTTCCATGGGAAAATTTCATCACTTGTCACCATCCTATTATACGCCTACGGGTCCGAGAAGAGGTGAAAACGGCACACAGCGTCTTCGTGAAATTGGAAGATCGGCACCAAGCAGCGTCGCACTACAGTTGATCGCTGCCTTCGGTCAGAGCGAAGCCTCAATTGGGCAGCGATACTCCAAGTTACCGCGTCATTCTACTCTTGAACTTTCTCATGGACATGTCGAATCGAATAGTCTAAATGGTGAACCATGAGCGGTGTGAGTTACAAAATGTTGTTGGGACGCCCGAGTCTGCCGGGGGCGAGCTTCATATGTTGCTAGATGGGAGGAGAACCCTGTAAGTGCGGCTTGCTTATTTGTGTGCTAAAGCAGCAAAACTAGTATGACTCCAATAGCTAACTAATAAACAGCAAAGCATCACTGATATCATTGACCAATCTCGGGTGTAGAGACGCAAAGGGTGGTGTTCGCTCACAGGCTTCACCTCCCGTCACATGCCCACGGTAGTAGAGTCACAGACATCCAATAGAGTCAAGGAATTCGAACAACGCTCCCAGATCGAAACCAAGTTCGGGACCACCCACCTGCGAGTCCAAAGCTAACCATTCCCAGAATTCTTCTCCGTGCCACACATCGTCACACAACATGCAGGCTTATCCCCCAGCTCGCCAGCCAGTTCATCTATCTAGACTCCCGTGGCCCTTTCATGTCAGAACATGACCTCAACTGCCCTCGTCACCCGGGTTTCACCCCTCCAAAACGCTGAGAAAATAGAGAAACCGGCTCATGTAACCATACCCTATGTCGAGTAACAGTGGCATCAACTGACGTGGGAGACGGAGCAACTCCGAAGGACCCCGATAGGTTACGGTAGGTAAAACGGTCGATAAAAGGAACACATGAGGGCTGCGTGGATCGAATGAGGTATATCAAAGCGTGGAACAGGTGGTTTTCTTTGCTCGGAGAGGGCGGGCTGTGTCGCCGTAGGGTACGTGTGATCGGGGAAAAGGACTGATGGTGGTGGCTTTTGTGGAAGGCGCCAGTGGTGGCCACGGGAGATGGGGGCGATGTGAGACAACAAAGGAATAGAGATTCGATTTTCAGGTCCTAGGAAAGAGAACTTCTGAGAAGCGGTGAGGTTCAAGACAACCACTGAGATTGATGTTAGACCTCTGATTCACGAGATCCTTTGTAAATGCGCGGATGGGCTACCCCCCTCCGGGGACACAGGTCTAAATTGGAAGATCAAGTCAGTATCACCATCCATCTCCAGCAACAAGCCCTCATATTTGTCAATGCGTTCAATACGTTGGTCGGCATAGAAATGCCGCAACCGTCGAGGCAGGTCATAACCCTGTTGCACGCACAAACAGAACAATCTCCAGGACAAAGGCCTACACTACCGCCGCTTCAAAACAACTTGCCTGCCCCCCCAATACATGGTCCATCCGGCAAAAAGCACCATCTCCATGTCTCCCACACCCGTCATGGCTTGCAACTCCACAACTTCGTGCCGTGCCGTTTTCTGCGAATTCAGTCCCACTTCGGCGCCGCCGCCGTGTCCCCACAACTACCCGCGATGCAGATATTTCTCCGATATGCTTTGACCGATTCCAGCTTGACATTGACCGGTCAAGGTTGAAGCTGTGCTCTGCCGAGACCGGTAACTGAACTTGCATCCCTCTGCGAGTAGGCCTGAGCGGCTTCGTCGCGACATTTCCCCCAAACACGTCTGGAAATCAAGTCCCATCGAATCGAAAGCTTCGGCAACTTCTAAAATTCGTTATTATTTCTCCATTGCTGGATGCTATGTAAAATCTGCGTCCTGAGACGAATATCATGTGTATGATCGAGAGTCTATGTCTTTTTGTTCCCAAACATATCAGTGTCGGTGCTGTTTTTCCAATTCCGTTCGAAACCCCAGTCTATTTTTTTTGTTTTGTCCGTTCCCAAGTACACCCAATATTACACAAGGAGAGGTCAATTATTTTGAAGAAAAGCGCCAAATCAGAAAACTTAAAAAACAAGGGCGTCCGGATAAGTATCGCGAATGCGTACTAGGTCGAGGGCGTTCATCGATCGATGCCGTCGCGAGCCTGTCCCATCTTGGTTAGTTGGACTGACGACACAGTTAAGAGAGGCATCGCGCTTACCTGACCAGGTACATTGCTTGATACAGCGCCTCGGGGCCGATGCCCGGCGATAGGTCATCTCAATCAAGATGTTCGACCTTTCGGGGGCTTCGGGGCATTCGGCTTGGCCACGCCGGTTGTGTCGTATGGACCACGAGGCATTTTGATTGCGTTAGGCTGAGGAGGATGTATTGGGCACTCGGGAAGAGGCAGGGTCCAGATGCTTGAAGGGTGACGAATTTAGGTCTCGTTAACCGTGGCTACCGCCTGGTATTTATACCCCAAGTGTTGTTGTGTTCTTTTGATCAAAAGGGCAGTTGTAAAGAGTCGGTGATGACTTTTGCCGTGAAGCGCGATCTTTGTTAGTGAAGTGAGACGGAGGAGAGAGGGAACAATTTTGGAGGATGTGTCTGAGATTATAAACCAGTCGCCCGATCGTGTGCCTAATGCCAACAGCCCATCTTTTTTTTTTTTTTGCTTTACGTCCTTGGGCTCTTCCCCCTTCAAGGCTCTCAACAAGGTTTCTTGGGTTCCGTTTGACCAGGGTTGTGCACGAGCTCGCGTGGCTCTCTCCATTTTCCAGGACCTCTACTCCGTGGCCGGCTAGGGACAAACGTCAGGGGAGCCACCAGTCTCTACCCTACTCGAGATGAGCAATGCGTGCTCCGTACAGAGTACTTTGGTATGACTTGGAACATGTACCGGTTTCCCTGGCGGTCAACCGAGTCCTTCCTTGCCCCTGGCCCAGAAGAGCTTTTTTGGGTCAAATTGGGTAAAAGGGACACCCCTGTCAAGGTGTGTGTTATGTGTTCCGTATGGCTGGCGAGAACGGTGCCCTTTTCTTTTCTTTCCAGGTTGGATATTTCTAGACCGGGTCCATGAAGAGCTCTGACGGTGGCTATTTCGCTTTCCTGACCAACGTTGCGGCTACCTCTGATCGCCAGGGGCCTTGTTTTGCCATCCTTTTTGGAATTCAAATGTTTACCTCTGTCTGGGAAGCCCAGTTTATGGTGGAGACTTTTGCAGCTATAAAACCTACGAATCCCGGGGGTTAGCAGGGAACGATGTACTTACAGATGGCAGTGATACTATGCGATCGTACAATAAACAAGGCGAGGGAAGAGGGAAGAGGATATTGAACACGCTGGTACACGTTGCCCGTCGCCTGTTTCCAGTTTCTTGTTTCCCAGTTTTTCTGTTTCCCGGTGCGCAGGCTGGAACTAGCTTAGCGAAGGTGATTGGCAGGGCCAGGTTCACGAATCAATGCCTGTACATGTGCCCAAACGCCAACGCAGGTCTCTGGCTACTCACAGTTGTTGGGACCTGGGCTGGTAAGACACAGATAGAGGCATGAACACAGTGGTGTGTGACTTGGGCCATGGTGTTTTCGCTGTCTCATTTCGCTGTCGAGTCCCTCGATGGCGGTCGACAATGGTACTCCGTGTGTAGATACCGGTACTGGCATTGATATTCATCCTTCGCTTTCCACGAGGGCGCAGGCTCTGGCCTCTGGTCGTCAAGGCGCAAACGAAAATCCAGACTGCAGCATGAATCCTTCTAGAAACAGATGTGGACACGGTGGGATCCATGCTGCACACCAACTCACCAGCCAGCCGGGCCGCACACCGCACACGGCAGTGAGAAGAGCCATGGATGGGGGGACCTTGAAGTGGAGTGGACGAGCAAGGTGAAGAAAGGCATCGAGAGTGTGCAGTGTGCGGAGCGCTGAGCGCAGAGCAGGGTGACATTGCAGAAACCTCGTGAACTCTGGGTTTAGACATATGGTCTGGTGGCCCCAGAGCTGGCTAGGCTCATGCCCGAACGGGAAGCGCACGCTGGTGGCAGGAGCAAATGCCTTGTTCAATCGGAAGCGTACCTTCCCATGCTTGCCATGCTTGCCGTGGTGGCCACGCCAAGCAAACACGATGTGTGTGACTCGATGCAATTGCGCTTCAAAGAAGCGATGAATATTTCCTCCCTGAAACATGGCGCCGAATTGTATGCGCCGCACTGGACTGACTGGCTCTGACATTGACTTGCAGCCTGCCTAAGTACTTACTTAGATGTACGCATTCACGCTGCTGCCAGCGGTCCCAGCATTGTTTGCTCCAACAGCGCCTCCTGTTGGTGCCGCCTCTGGTGCCACAACGGCTGGATGGCTGTCCTTCATTACATTACCCACGCACTTCGAGAGCCTTCCCTTGGTACGGCCAGCATCCGGCAACTACGCGCTGCAGCACCGCATCAGCACTGCATCACCATCCCTTGAGCCGGTATCCAGTCATGATGCATGAAGCAGGTCCCAAGACGTCCGAAGACTGATGAGCCCAGGCCCAGGGCCCCTGGATCACTACAATAATAGCACACCGCGTCGAGTGCAACAAATATTCAATCGTCAGCCGAACCCTAGCCCTGGGACAGTGGGCAACGAAAGAACATTTCAGCTCGGCTTCTCTTGGAACAACACGGATACTTGCCTGGCGAATGCTAGTTTGCCGACATGTATCCGTACACTGTACAGAGTAATGACTGTTTGGCAGCACGGAGTACGGAGTAAACTGTAACTATACATACATACATATTCCTGGTCCTTGGTCCCGGTAACTGACCCATGCCCTACCTGCCAGGTGCCTTTGTTCCGTCGTTACACCATTGTACCTTGCTTGCCTCCCGGACTTCATTTCCCGGAAACTACCCGGATACCAGCCCCTACATGACTGCGTCCACTGCCGCCATGGTCTTGGGACGAATGCGCTTTCAACTTCACCATGGCAAAGCCTCAGGGTTCAGATACTCGCCTAGGTTCCACTTGTCCAAGCCAGGCCTATTTATTATTCATGGACGATTCCACTGTGGTCCGTTGACCCGCTCCGGGGCCGTATCTGGCATTGACAGCTTGACGAATGACAGCGACCAGGGTAGCTTTAGAGATGTCAATGGTCATTGCTCGAAAAATTCGGCGCCTGTTGTCTAGACATTGACCAGACTACGGAGTAGCAGCCCTGTCAAATCAGCATGACTCGACACTGCTCCGTACTATGGCGTTCTTCACCATCCTTTTCTTCTTCTTGTTTATTTTGTTGGCGAAGCTTTTGCCCATGTTATGCCGAGAATAGATCGCCATTGACTCAGCAGTCCGAGGAATCCTAGTCCATGTACATCGTTCCATAGCATGGGGGGTTTCTTTTCTTTACTTTCTGTCTAGAACCCGTTTCTTACGGCCCTTGCATTTCCAATTATTACACACACACTCGCCTACAATGCTTTGTGGCGTGATCCGTAGCAAACACTTTGCTACTTTTTGCGCCCAGGAGCTCGTCAAGAGCCGAATGAAAGGGGCTTGGGATGACACTCCGCCCTTCACAAATCTGAAAAAATTTTCGCTTCCTTCGAGACCGCTCGTTAAGAGAGCATGTATGTACTTCTACCGTTTTGACTTTTTTTTATCATGTCACAGCATCCCTGCCATCGGACGCAAAGGGGCTGGTTCCGCGGCCCTGGGACCTACCTGGTGGAGAGATGTGGCCTTACCGCTTCTCTGGCATCGTACCGGTTTCCCGGTACCAGAGGCTGAGTGTCGACATGGAGGAGCGGAACTTAAGACATGATCGCATCAGACTAAGGACTGGTGATTTTGTTATGGATTCTGCAGCAAGGCTAGCATATGCAGCTGCTGGTACTCCGTACGGCCTATCCGACCGAGTTCGGTAGGAATGCATCTTTGTACATTCACGCGACAGTGAAAATCAAGCGAAACAGATGGAGCATGCATTGCGAATCATGCTGCACAACGTCATTCTGTTCATGTAGCACAAAGTGCCTACAAGCTTACACGCACTCCTTTGGGAGACATTGAGAAGATGCTGGATACGAAAAGCAAGACCCGAATGGCGTGAATCATTTGCGAGCTCAAACTCACCAATGATCTTCGACTGTGAGCGTCCCATTCTTGGTCACCAGAAACTCCTCCACTGCTACATCTTTTCCGCTCTCCTTCCCACATCCACTCTCCTTGATACCGCCAAAGGGGGCCTCGGCGCATGAGCTGTTTCCAGTATTCTAAAATGCAATGCTGTGTCAGCGAGTGTGCGTGTTCTCATTTCTCCGCCACGGAACTTTGCGAAGAGAGACAACTCGGACTTCACAAACACGGCTGAGATGGCGCAGGGGGAAAAAAAGAAAATTGGGAAAGCAAACAAGTGGTTTCGGGAATACTTGGGAAGAAAATTTTTCACGTAGCAGAAAAGAAAAGAAACAACACACAAGATTGTCGAGAAAAGTATGCAGATGAAAGGGGATTGTCGAACATACCAATCCAATCATGCCGGCCTCCAGCGTCTCAAACATCCTCCACAGCCGATCAACATTCTTGGTGAAGACGTAACTCGCCAATCCCATACTGGTGTTGTTTGCTCGAGTGGTCACTTCGTCTTCGGTATCAAAAACGGACACGCCGAGAAGCGGCGCAAAAATCTCATCCTTGCTCATGAGCATGTCGTCCGTCACCTCTGTCACAATGGTTGGGCTCATGAAGTAGCCCCCCGTAGATTCGGCACGAAGACCTGTCCCATATACCATTTTGGCACCGTTTGCAATGGCATCCTTTGCCATTTCCTCGGCCTTGTCGAGTGCTCGGGGCGTCGTGACGGGGCCCATGGTCGTTCCCTCGGCCATGCCATGCCCAACCTTGAGCAGGGACGTCCTCTGTATAAGCTCCTTCACAAAGGAGTCGTACACGCCACGCTGGACGTACAACCGATTTGACGAGATGCAGGCCTGGCCGGCGTGACGCCATTTCAGAGCCATAAGTTGACCGAGTGCCTGATCAATGTTGGCATCGTCAAAGACGATGAAGGGGCAATTCCCGCCAAGTTCCAAGGTGGATTTTTTGAGGTTACGCGCGCAAAGACCGGTAATTATCTTGCCGACCCGCGTACTACCAGTAAAGGTCACCTTCTTCACCAGCGGATGGAGACAAAGAGATTCCGCGACGGCAGGAGTGTTGTCGAGGCTGGTGGTCAGGATGTTGAGGGCGCCGACGGGGAATCCGGCCTTGAGTCCGAGGCGTGCCACGGCAATGGCTGTTAGCGGTGTTTCCGGCGACGGCTTGACAACCATGGTGCAGCCCGCGGCCAGCGCTGCGGCCATCTTCCTCAGAGTCAGAGCGATGGGGAAGTTCCACGGCACCAAGGCGGCAGCGACTCCGATCGGCTGCTTGATGGTGATGGCGCGACGGCCAGGGACGGCGGACACGATGGAGCTGCCATGGGCCCTCTCTGCCTCGCCCACGAACCACCAGGTGAAGCCTGTCGCGTAGTCGACCTCGCCGTAGGCCTCTGCGAGAGGCTTTCCGGTCTCGTGGACGAGAATCGTGGCCAGGTCTTGGCGGGCTTCGACAATCAGCTGGTGCCACTTGGAGATGGTTTGGGCTCGCTTCCTCGGGGTCCATTTGGAGTATTCCTGGAAGGCTCGGTGGCTCGACTGCACGGCCGCGTCGACGTCCTCGCTGCCGCAGTCGGGACAGGAGATCCACGGCTTGCCGGTGCCTGGATCGATGACTTGGAAGCGTCTCCCCGACTTGGCGGATGTGTCCTGGCCGTCAACCAGGCAGTCGGGACGGGCGAGGCTCGTGTCGGCCAGCTGAAAGGGCAGATCTGCGGTCATGGTGATTCAAAAATGAAAGACTACGTATGGAATGTCGTGGGGTGGCCCTCCAAGCTGCCTCGTCTGAGACACGCCAAGTCGCGGGCTTTAATGAAGCTTATTGCAAATCGGACAGTGAAGCGAGGTCGGCATGCAGAACATGCCTTGCCGACGAGCGAGCGGGGAATCCGAGTCCCTGTGACGTGAACCCACAATCAGGGTGGCCCGATGTCAAGCGAATGACGTTAAGAAGATGGCATAGTCTTTTGGTTGGCACCCTCCAAAGTCCAAGTGCAGGATTTGGTCGTCGTGAATGCATGGCGCCATGATGCGGGGATTTGGAGTTTGGGAAATTGCGGAGATGAATATGTTGACTCGAGCCGTTCTGCATTGCGGTGGCACGCTCCGGATGGCATTGACGTGTGCGGGTCTGGGGTAATGGAGGCAAACGGCTGATCAGATGAGGTTCTGGGGACTGGCACGTTGTGGCTTGTCGTGGACGAGTGGCATTGCAAAGGGGGAAGGATGGCGATGCTTAGATGCTTTGCTGTTCAGGTTCAACCACCATTCATTGTCTTATTTAGTCTGTCTCCGGTCCGCAACGTTCAACTTGGCCGGGCCTGGGAGTTGGCAGATGCACCCTCGTTGCATAATATTGTTGCTGGTCATCGTTGTCATCACTTTCCAAGCGCTTCATCAGAGTGAATATTTCTTGTTCTTTCCCGTCATGACCGCAGATACCCGGGTCAAGGAGCGGCGGTCTCGCACTAGTCCGTATAATCGGCTGGTCACCATTGCGGTAGCCTTTGGTTCCTTTGTAAGATGAGCATCCATTGATCATTGATCGCCTGGATTCCACTCCAAACCCACTTTCCGTCAAGTTTGGTCCTCTGCGCTAAAAAAAATCCCTCGATGTCCCACGAGTGTCAACCCAAGTACAGGGGAGGCCAAAAACCACCAACTCCACATCTTCGCCAACATTGAACCTACATCAGACTCTAGAGGTGCTAGTCCGCTGACCTTGACATCTCCAGACGTACGGATACTGCTCTGCCATCATCGGCAGCACCATCGGCCAGCCAGGATGGTATGAGTACTTCGGGCTGCCCATGCAGGGCGAGCCCGGCTATGGCACCACGACCACGCAGGCCATTGCCACTGCCAACGGATTGTACAGCGCCGGAGGAGCCGTCGGCAGCCTGTTCATCATGTGGGCGGCTTCAGCTCTGGGCAGAAAGCTCTCTATCCAGATGGGTGCAGCTTGCGCCGTTGTTGGCGGTGCGTTCCAAGGAGGAGCGGCTGCTTTGGCGTACGTTTTTTTTTTTCCTTTTCCGGAACGACGCCATCCGTATTAACATAGTCCAACAGCATGTTCCACGTCGGCCGGGTGGTTTCCGGCCTCGGTATTGGTATCCTCGTCACCGCGTGTCCCATGTATCTCTCTGAACTGGCGCCCCCTGACAGGAGAGGCTGGCTGGTCGGCCACCACGCCATCTTCCTCGTGTTCGGCTACATGCTCTCTGGCTGGCTGGGCTTCGCGTGCTACTTTGCCACGGAGGAGAACCCGTCGTTTGCGTGGCGGTTTCCGCTTTGTGTGCAGTGCTTGTCGCCGCTTGTGTTGCTGGTCACGTCGATCTGGATCCCGCGCTCGCCGCGGTGGCTCCTCCAGACGGGCCGCGTCGAGGAGGCGTGGAGGGTTCTGCGGGAGTTGCGCAGGGCGCCTCATGATCCGGATGATTTGACGGCCAAGGAGGAGCTGTACCAGGTCAAGATGCAGATTGCGTTGGACGCCCAGAAGCTCAGGGCCATGGGGTGTACGCCCTGGACGGCTGTGATCAAGAAGAAGAGCTATAGGAAACGCATGGTGATTGGGTTTTTGACGCAGTGGGGGGCGGAATTTGCTGGCCCTCTGGTCATTGTAAGTGTGTTGTGCTTGACCTGGCTTTTTCTTTTGTTTCTCTTTTCCCTCGTCTTTCTCTCTCTGTGTGTGTGTATGTGTGTCCTGTATTATGCTATTCTATTCGGATTTGTCGTCGAAACAGCAGTCGACTGACTTGGACGTCCATCGCAGAACAACTATTCCGTCATCCTGTACACCAATCTCGGGCAGACAAACTACATGCCCCTCCTCCTGTCGGCACTATGGCTCACAACAGCCGGTCTGATTTACAACCCCCTCGGCGCATGGCTACACGACAAGGTCAACTCCCGGCGGTGGATGTTCATAACGGGCCTGTTCGGCTGTCTCATTACAACATCAGGTCTGGTCGGGTGCATTGCGCAGTACGGAGGAACCTCCAACCAGGCCGGCAACGCGGCAGGCGTCTTTTTCGTCTTTTTATACCTCACCTTCCAAGGGTACGTATAAGCCCGGTGACTTTGGGCAGAAAAAAAAATTAAATCTCCTTTTCTAACGAGCAAGTAAACAGAACGCTTTGCGACACAACCATGTACCTCTACGTGTCGGAAATCTTCCCTACGGAGATCCGTCCCATTGGCATGGGTTTCTCCCTCTTTGGCCAGTTCGCCTCAACCATTATCCTGCTGCAGACAGCCCCCATTGGCATCGACCAAGTCGGCTGGAAGTACTACCTCGTCATCATCGCCTGGTGCATCTTCTTCATCCCCATTGTGTACTTCTTCTTCCCTGAGACGGCGAGGCTTTCGCTGGAGGAGATCTCGGCCAGGTTCGGGGATGACGTCGCCGTGCATGTGAATGATGTGTCGGCGGCGCAGAGGAATGAGCTGGATGAGTTTTTGAAGAGGAATGACGTTACGGCTTTGGCTAAGGAAGACGGCTACGTTGCCGAGAAGGGTGAGATGGAGCAAGCGGACAAGGCTTGATACGAGTGCTTGGTATGATCATATATCCCCATGTTAGGTTGTTTTTGCTTTTCCGACACGTAGTCGGGAAGTAGTTTAGCACTGGAATAATACATATCTCTGGATTTTACGTCATATTACGCTCTCTCTCTGCGGGGTGGTTGCAATAATGTAACAGGCTTGATACTACCATGCTCAGTCTTTGCATCACACGCATCATGACCCCGCGTTCAACATGTCACCAAATGTGCGTCAACATTACCCAACTTGGCCATTTACTTGAAGAAAGATTGAAACATTGCACGGCCTACACCAGGTCCATACTCGCCCCGCAATGTGTGGCCCCCCAGTGCCACCACCACGATCAATAGCGTCAAGTGGTCTGCACCGGACGTGCCACCCAACCCGAGACTTCAACAATCATCTCCACCATGCTCTACACCCCAAGACGCCCGAGGTCCACCCAGCCGTGATCATGTTCCAAAATTTCCAAGTATCCTTTTGTCTCCCCTGCCCTTTTTGCCCTTTTCTCTCGAATAGGCCGAAACCGTATTACGGGAATACATGAATCCATAAGCACGGCTCTCCTATTCAACATGACAAAATCCATCCCCTTATCCATCACCCCCTTCGACTCCCTCCCAGACAAGAAACGAGTATGGCCAGCTGCCCCAAATTCCCATGAGGAAGGGCTAGGCCGCCTATCCCTCCTCACACCCGAAGTAGTTGCCTCCGCGGCACAGTCCTGCATCAAAACCGGCATCAGAGTCTCGCTCAACTGGGACCTGCGAAAGCTGGACACTGCCAATTTCAACCGAGCGCCGGCGCAGCATCACATCGTCTCCCTGCTGGACGGGGCTGCTTTCGACGATGTGTACATTTTCAATCCGCAGCAGTCGTCGCAGTGGGACGGCCTGAGACACTTCTCGGCGCCGTTTCCCACGCCCCAGGACCCTTCGCGGAGGCTATTCTACGGCGGCGTGACGGCTGCCGAGATTGGCGACCGGTCGAATCATCGCATTGGCATGCAGCACTGGGCCACGGAAGGTATTTGCGGACGGGGAGTGCTGCTGGACTATGCGGCGTGGGCGGAGAGGAACGGCGTTGAGTATAGTGCGTTTTCGAATCATGCTGTTCCGTTGAGGCTGTTGAAACAGATTGCCGATGAGGAAAAGGTCGTATTCCAGCGAGGAGACGTGTTGTTGGTGAGGATTGGCGCCACGAGGGAGTGGGATACGCGGATGAGCCCCGCGGATAAGTTGGCATATGGCAGTGATCCTAATCCGCAGCATGCGGGGGTTGAAGGCACCGAGGAGATGTTGAGATGGATATGGAACGAGGGGTTTGCCGCCGTGGCGGGAGATGCTATTTCTTTCGAGGTGTATCCGAAGCAGGATTCTTATAAGACCGAGGATGGGCGAGAGGTCCCTGGCCTCCTGATGCATGAGTACTTGATTGCGGGATGGGGGCTGCCGGTTGGCGAGCTGTTTGATCTGGAGGAGTTGAGCAAGACTTGTCAAAGGCTAGGTCGCTGGGAATTTTTTGTTTCCAGTGCGCCGTTGAATATGCCCGGGGGCGTGAGCAGTCCTCCAAATTGTCTTGCGATATTTTAGCTTGTTTGCTCCTGTATCATTATTGCTTTAGCTAAGGCGTTATATGGAATGGTCATTGTTGACATTTAATATCATCCGTTGTGATTCTCGAAGCTTTGCAGTATTTTTGCAAACTTGTCGGCGAGTCCCCAAGACCCCAGTCGGTGGAATATACTCTGCGCGTCTCTCGTGATAAGAGCAGCAGATCCCTCTGTGAAAATATCATCCGCCGAGCCAATTTGCACGGGTCCACCAGTCTGAATCCATTGCATTACTGCCTTCTTTTGCTCCATGTCGCGGGAGTGAATATCCAGTCTCAGGTAGACGCCGTCTCTAGATCTCAATGACGACGGGCTGTATTTGACGTATGCCACGACAAAGATGTATGCCATGAAGAGACGCATAATTTCACAAGGGGCAGAAACCAAGAACTCATTGGCGACGGCGATGATTTGGCCCGAGTGCCACAAGAGACGTCTTGTTCGCTTTTTATCTGCTTTCATAGCCGCGGAGAGCCGGCGTCTTGCGACAGCGACACTTCTATCCTTCTCTGGTCCGTGGGACACTATTTTGCGCACCATGTAGAGAACTATATCCATTATATCGTCTGCAGCGTACATATGGGAATAGTGGCACAAAAGGGAGGAGATACTAGAGTTTTGGTTAGTCACAGCTACCCTGGTGTTGCAATTGTTGTCGTGGCAAGGAAACGAGGAAGAATCATACTTGTAACTGACGAGGTCAGAAGTAGAGCATGGCTGTTCCATAGATTCGAGAAGAGAGTCAAGTCCCCGAAGGAGAGAAGTCTTGGACTGCTGATGGGCTTTGAACAGTGAAGGCAAGTCAAAGTAATCTGTTGTTGACAACGCCTCCAGCTGCTTCAAATCCCAAAGCAGACGTCCAATGACTTGGCCGCACAATCTCCTTCCCCACATGGAAACATGTTCATCGACTGGTTTTCCAGCCATGGCAGCTTTCAGGACACTAGACAGCTTGGCTCCCTGGGCTTTGGGTGGACATCGGAACTTCAAAGCAGCCCAGGCATGTGCAGATGGCGCTTCCCATAATGACTCAGAACAGGGCAACCTCGCTGGAAGCTCACTCAAGTCCACAGCTCCCCGACGATTGGTCAAAGTGCACAGGCTACAGTCGTATTCGAAAGATGCCCAAGCGATCCGATTGTCTCTCTCTCTCGTGATCCACGATTTCCACTCAGCGTAAGGGTTATTCTGGTCAACCACGGCTCTATTACTGTCTGCAGATTCATCGTGGATGTTGAGTCGAGCATTCAACAGTCCTAATCCCCGTAGGCTTCCAATGAGTACGCCTCGTGTCCGGTCTGCGTTTTGATAGAGATGACGGTTCCCAGATCCCAACGAATATATCTGGTGTAGGCATAATGCAGCCAAATAGGAAATATTAGAGTAATTAGCACTATCCGATACTCCCTGCACATAGTTAGCTCCCACTAATTTTAGCGCTGTCGTGACAATACTTACCAGCCATGTTATCATTGAGGCACAGAATTCACCAACGGCATCCGATACCTCACTAGATCCCGGATCAGTCGACAGCGCAGATCCAACGCAGACCATTGCCGCCAGCAGCACCGTTGGGCATTCATGAATCGTCCAAGTCGGCGCGTGAACAATGGGCTGGATAATTTGGAATCCGGAGAAATATGAATCAATGAGCTGATTCATCAGGTCTACACCGGAATTGAGGTTACGTGAAGCCACTTGCTTCGGACTAGGGAGTTGCTGCTGAGAGAATAGTTGGACTAGGCAATCAACGGGAGTTTGTTGGTCTCCCGGGCTAAGTTGCGTTGATTCCCTCAGTACATCATGTAATCTTGGTAGTGGGAATCGCGGGGGTTGCGATTCTTTTCCTTGTTCAAATGGCCATGGTAGAACATTCTGCCTTTTAGGTAAAGCTGGAAGAGGAGGCATTGGGTTGGTCGAGGGTAGAACACCATACACGCTCGCTGGCGGAGGTACGTTTTCTTCCATAGACGGCTGGCTGTCGATGGGGAGGTGAATGTTGGATATGTCGAAATCAAGCCAGTCAAACCCGCTACCTCTGAAATCAAAAGGCAGTGTAGCATCTAGAGACTGAGAGTAAACTGTCGCATTCCCATCGCTTGGTGTGTTCCCATGGTCAAAGGCTGGGCTGCAGCCGTCCTCGATAATGATGGGGTCGAATCTCTGATCAAATTCAGCAAAGCCCGCAGTTGGCGATGCTTGAATGGTATAATTTCTGTAATCCTTCGATAGGGGCTCGTCGTATTGCTGAAAATGAAGATTGTCACAACCTGCGTCTTGCTCTATATCACGTGCCACATTCGTCTGATGGATATCCCGAGTCTGTGGACAAGGTGAGCAAGGCACATCATGGATAGGCTTCGCATATGGATATGAGCAGGTCTCAGACGTCTTGGCCGCATGGCAAGAAGCACATGGCATGGTTCTATCGCATTTTAACTTGTGGCGAACACATCGATTACAAGATTTTTGGCTCGTGCCTGCGTTCCCGGCTGCGATGTCATGCGATGCGCGGAGGTGACGGAGAAGAACATCCTGTCGCGAGAAGCTCCTATCGCAATGGGAACATTGAATCGTCCTTCTCTGAGAGTGAGGGAGGTGTGTGAGACGGTGGCGATTCAAATGGCTAGGCCGTGTGAAGGACCGGCTGCATTGATCACAGGCGAGTTTGGATCGTGATGTCAGGCTCGGCTCCTCCATCTTGAAGTGAATCATGGAGAGCTCGCTCATAGTTGTATGTGCCGCGTTTATTTTGATGGAATATGGACAGTACTTGATTCATAATTCGGGAAGGGAAAAAATTTGGCGGCTGGCAGAACGAATCTCACGATGTCAGAATCTGGGGTCTGGGGGGGATGATGGAGGTCGGACGACGGAGTATGGGGACCCGCGTAGTGGAGTCTGGCGCACTGATGAAGTCTGGTCGATTAAGTCTTGAACTCAAGTGCTAGCTTCAGTGGCGGACGCCACTATCGTCTCCAGTGTGCCTGCCTGCTGGCCGTTCAATGTTGGTTCCACGTGCGAGCTTTCACCGTCTCGGAAGGCAATCTACGGTGATACTCCGTAGTCATCTAGAACTCCACATCGCTGCCATCAAAATATTTGCCAGCGATGACGATCCGTGTCGCACGTAGCAACTTTATCCCGGTCATGTATTACATTGAGAGCGACGTCGGCCGAAAAACATCTCCAGCTTCTCCTCGATTTATCTAAACTAGCACTTGGGGCTCTACACGCATCGTCCACCATCCACCTCAATATTCACACCGGTAATGAAACCGGCCTCCTCACTGGCGAGATAGCAGCAAGCATTGGCAACGTCTGCTGGTGTAGATGGCCGTCCCAGAGGAACCGTAGAAACAAAACCTGCCCGATTCTCCTCTGTATCGGGCTTACCCAGGAACAAGTGCGTCCTATACGATGTGTATTAGCTTCCTTCTCTGCAACGCACCTTGTACTAATGGCCACGGAGACTACTCACATTCCAGTGCTGCCGACAACAGGCGAGACGGCATTGAACCGAATCTGCTGAGGGCCATATTCCACGGCCAAGGACTTTGTCGCGGTGATGACTGCTCCTTTGGATGCATTGTACCACGTCAAGCGCGGGCGAGGTCGAATGCCAGCTGTGGAGGCAACTTGAATAAAGCAACCGGGTCGGTTCTCCTTCAGGAAATACTTTTGCAGCAGGACGTGGACTGAGATGTAGATGGACTTGACGTTGACGTCAAAGACCAGGTCAAACTCTTTCTCCGTGACGTCCTCGGTTGGTTTATTTGGATAGGTAACACCGGCGTTGTTGACGACAATGTCCAACTGCCCGAATGCCTTCAAGGTCTCGCTCAACAAGTTCTCCCAGTCGCTGGTTTTCGTAACATCTGCCTTGACAAAGATGCCGCCCAGTTCAGAGGCTGCTGCCTTCCCAGTATCTTCTGAGAGATCTGCAACGACAACTCTGGCTCCCTCTTTGGTGAACTTTTCGGCAATGCCTCTGCCGAACCCTGATGCTGCGCCTGTGACGAGGGCTACTTTGCCTTCAAGACGTCCCGAGGCCATGGTGAATTGATTTAGAGGTGGTTTGTAATCAAGTAGAGATGAACAAAGGTCCAAATAAATGCAAAATGAGACCTTCTCTCGGGGTGTAGAAATATATACAATCACGGTGATCAAATTAGCATTTTCTCATGCCCGTCAATCTTTTAGAAAGCTCATGGTCGCAGCATGCGGGGAGCCGTCCGCCATAAGAGACTCCTCCCCACTTGCGCCATCCTCGTTCTCATCCGAGCCTGGGGAGAGAGTGGGACTTCTCCGGAGCCCAAGAAGGTGGCGTGTTGTACGGAGTAGTGGTGGTACATATGGACAGCCATTGATATCGAGGGAAAGGCCAGTGGCACGCTCCGGTGGATCAGAAAAGGCAACGTCCAAATATTGGCCATCCCGCTGCCGTCTTCCGCACTCGACTGTGCCGCGGCATGGTTGGTGTTGAAAGAAAAAACAGAAGATCTACTCCGTACTCCGTACCAAATTAGGACCTCGCACTTGTGTGAGGTCTCCACTCTTGGCAGAGTCGTTAAACAGTCGGCATTAATACGTACCTACGAATAGCTGCGCCGGTCCGAAAGCGCAACAGAATAATGTCAACAGCTACACTGATTTTGTATGAGTGGGACACCCGGCCAACTTTGGACTAGCCACTGCTGCATGAAATTGCCCGACCCGTCTTAGCGCCATCACTGCATGACCCCGATTCCACCCGTCACCGGAGACGTGGATAGTTCGACGCGGGGCCAAGCTCCGATATAGTTCTCAGACGATGGTTGCCAGATGATCGAAAGCCGAGTTCGGACACGCGCAACGGCCAGCAGAAGCTTTGCTCATGGCTATAACTCGACATCGTCTTCGCTGGAGGCTCGCAAAAAAGTAGCACATCATTCCAAGCATGCCAGTCACGCTCACGGAAGCTGAAAAATGACCTCAAGCACGTTCAAACTCCTCGTTCTGCCTGGCGACCACGTAGGTCCAGAGGTCATAAATGAAGCCTTGCGGGTATTGGATGTTGTAGAGGAATCGCGGCCCGGCCTCAAATTCGAGCGCTCTTTCGACGTCGTCGGCGGCAGTAGCATTGACAAACACGGAGTCCCGATAACCCAGGAGGTCCTACAAAAAGCAACCCAAAGCGACGCAGTCTTGTTCGGCAGCGTTGGCGGTCCCAAATGGGCCGATGCCTCGCCCAACCCCGAATCGGGCCTTCTTCAACTTCGCCACAAGCTCGACGCTTTTGCAAATCTTCGCCCTTGCGAGATTATTGTTCCCTCGTTGCTGGATGCATCCCCGCTCAAGCCGGACATCATTCGAGGGACCAAGTTCATCGTCGTGAGGGAAAACTGCGGAGGCGCCTATTTCGGTACCAAGGTTGAGACACCCGACGTCGCCTCGGATCTCTGGGTGTACAGACCGCACGAGGTGGAAAGATGCGCTCGCGTGTCTGCCGCCGTTGCGCGTTTGTTGGGCAAGTCTGGCGATGGAAAGGGCGGCGGCGGCCCAGCTGTCGTCTGGAGCGCAGACAAAGCCAACGTTTTAGCAAGCGGCAGGCTTTGGAGGCGAGTGACTGAAGACACGTTCAAGAAGGAGTTCCCCGACGTCGAGCTACGCCACCAACTCGCAGATAGCATGGCTATGCTCATGGTGAAGAACCCTCGCGGCTTCAACGGCGTCATCCACACGGATAACACGTTTGGCGACATCTTATCCGACATATCGGGCGGTATAGTTGGCAGCCTGGGCACGTTACCCAGCGCCAGCATTTCTGGCGTGCCGGGAGAGGGCAAATGCAATGGCATCTATGAACCTGTCCATGGGAGCGCACCCGATATTGCAGGCAAGGGCATTGTCAACCCAGTTGCGCAAATCCTAAGTCTTGCCATGCTGTTGAGGTATTCGTGTCTCCTGACGAACGAGGCGGCTGCTATCGAATCGGCAGTTCAGCTTGTGTTTGAGCCCAAGGAAGCTGGCGGCTTCGGCATACGAACGAAGGACATGGGTGGAAATGCAGGTACCCGTGAAGTGGGAGACGCGGTTTGCCAGGTTTTGCGAGAGTTATTGAGCAGGGGATAGGCAGTTGAGTACCTGGGTAGATAGAGTTTCTATACGAGTGTGATGAGCAAGGATGTTGTTGTCGATCAATCAATCTGCCTCGTCGTTGTGAGGCACGCCATGAAATATGTGGAAGAAAAAATGTGTGAGTGTCCCACGAACTGCCGACAGACAAAGCACCGGCCATATTTCTGGTCTCCCATGTGCTTGGGCGTTCTAGGCTTCGGCAAGGCAAAGGGGTGTCGGCAACAACGATACAATAACTAAAAAAATTAACCGGGACAACGGCAACAATCGTTCCCTGGCCAGGCGCAATCATGCATAGCTCAGCAATCGCGGATAGTATCCGTAGAGCAATGAGGATGGGCAGAGGCAAATGGCGTCTAGGCGAATATGATGATGCGAAGCAGTTGTCCATGTGACGGGACTTCCTACCCTGTACGAAGTAGACTGCAAGAAATGGAGATATTCCCAGAGCAATCGTCACCAAGGCCAAGGCCGAACAGCTTATTTGACTTGTGTCCCTGAGCATGCGTATGACGAGTACATCTGGCTTGACTTGACATATGTTTCCAGTCGCAGGTTCGATTTGTGTTCTGTCATGACTTGCCACTTGGCAGCCCAATGGCTTTGCGGGACGGAGACAATAAAAAAGCCAAAAACCCCAACTACTATTTTCAACGGTGCCTACCTAGGTACTTTTGGCCCCGACCTTTCCAAGTACTACATCTATTTCAGTAAGCATCTGGCTTATTTCGTGCATTACACAAACACACACTCGTGCTACATTGACACGTTTGCGAACGCGTGGCAAGAAGCTCCGCTGTGTATCCCGAGTCCTTCACCAACACACCGGACATCTTTCTGTGTACTACTACGGAGATACATACTACTGGAAAGGGGAGATGAACAAAGCATGTTATGAGATGCAGACACTAGCGTTGTAATTGTCTTAGACACTGGTAGTTTAAAAGCAAGGGCACGTAGTATTCTAATTTCAGCCATTTTCAGCGGAGAGGTGTGGCTGTCATGTTCTACTCGACATCAATCAATTGAAAAAAAGAAACTAGGGCGGCACAAGGAAGGGCGGATGCTACCCTAGGCCGTTAGTACTTAGTAATGGCGACAGTGTGCACGCAGCAACATCACCCTGGACATGCCTTCCTTCACATGCGCTTTTGCTCCATCATACAGTGCGAATATCGCGTATATTCGATTTTCTCACAGGGTGGGTTCCGCCCACATCGAGGACATTAATCATAAAACACAGCGGGCGGGGAGGAGAGGAACAAAAAAAAAGCGACCAAGCCCTTGTCAGCATAAAGTTCAACTGAGACCTTCAGAAGCGCCATAGTCACCGACCGCAACATGCATTTCCAGCCCATAGAGAACTCCTTCGAGGATGCCTATGTTTCCCACCTTGGCGGAGGGCCTAGAGTAGAACTGCACGCAAGCCTCGATCAGCTCGACGACGTCTTTGGTTCCACGCCAGCTTCACCAGCCGAGCCAGAGGCGCAGAGCAGCTCTCATCCTTCAGACATAAGGCGGCTGGAAACTGAACACACAAATGCCGGATATCGAGAAGGCATCACCGTAGCCAAGGAGGCGAGCATTCAGGGTGGATTCGACGAGGGCTTTAGTCTAGGGGCAACTATTGGATTGCGGGCCGGGCAGCTACTCGGCATGGTTGAAGGCATTGCCGATGCGGTCAAGGGCCAACCAGGCGAGGCGGCAGAGACGGCAGAAAAGTTGCTAAACGAAGCCAGGGACGAGCTGAGTACTGGCAGAATTTTTTCGACAGAGTATTGGGCACCAGATGGCACCTGGAACTACGACGTGACCGCCCAAGACGGTGATCAAATTCTATTCCCCGACGTGGCTGCTGCGCACCCTTTGATACAGAAATGGAGCAGGGTCGTTGACGAACAGACGAACATGTGGCATATTCAAGTGTCTATTTTGGATGATGATGCCAATGGGCCGCGTCTGGACACAGCTTCGGTTGAGCCACCACTCAACGTATCTGCCCCTACACGATCAAAGCAATCTCTGGATTGGTGAAGGTTCAGTACTCTGTGCGGAAATATTGTATTCCGCACTTCGTACGGAGAAATAACTGCACGTCCAAGAGACTTATGGCAACTGATTCAAGAACGTTGCCGCACAGAATTGCTTTTGCGGCAGGCTTTGCCAGGAGCATTGAGGCGGGCTGCAAGGCTGGCTTCCTCTCAAAAGAAAACATGCCGCAGCATGGAATACTAGTCAGATCTCATTTGATACACCGATTGTGATACGGTGTACGGAGTACGAAGGACGGTGTGCGACCTCGCTTCGCTCACCCTGGGCTGTCAGAAAGGGCGGCATGGCATGGACGGACCGGGCTCGAGCTCACACGAGAAGGCAAAATCGACAGCACAAACGTTCACTTAGACAGGCTTCTTCGTATCCCTTATCTTTTACAGCAAGAGCTGATGACGCATAGCTCACCCTTGGTCGGGAGGGAAAACCATCCAAGGGGCGATGGACAAGCTAGATTATTTGCACTATATCCCTTCCTCAAAACACACTTGAAGATCCGGGCCAATATGGGGGTATAAGACTGATGACTTAACTAAACACATGCGCGACGGCCGGAAAAGGGAAAAAAAAAGAACCCACATCGACGCGTGTTTAACAACCTGTACCAACGATGCCCGTTGGTCCGAAGACGGCGGTATTGCCTTGATATGGCGGGAGAAACGGAATAAGGAGTCTCAAAGCCACAGGCGCTTGTCGCATCGATAAGACCAACAGAGGCTAGGATTGGGCTAAAATCCGTCGCTGCCATGCCATGCTAAATATAAAGAATACGGCAGTACGGAGTAGTTGACCTACAGAATACAACACGGGGGAGGGATACAGTCGCCCTGCAGAGTACAGTCAATTTATTATTCTGTACTAGTATCAGTCTCAGTCAGAAATTGGGTGGCCCATTGTCTCCACGCACACTGGTTTCTTCCCGAAATGGAAAGAGGGGCGGCTAATTTTTGACTACGACTTCACCCCTTGCTCCGAGAATAGCTGTACATCGAAAAAGCAAACAAATCAATAATACACAAACGAGGGCGGTGGAAGGGTCTGTCTGCTATCCGTTGGAGGAGAAGCCCGAAGCGACTTGGTGGGATAAGGCAGCGGTTGCGAGCAGTTGTACGGGTATCTTCCCATGTCCAGGAGCAGCAACTTGGGGGAGGCGGCTTGCTCGTTAGACACAACTGGGACACGATACTACTACAACATGGAATTCCCCAGACGACGTGGATATTCAGTCGTGGCTGCGACACCCTGGGCAGTGCAGAGAAGAAGAAAACCAGAGACACACATGCGGTCGTATGTACATCAACTGTCAGCTATGGCCGTCCCATGTCGGCACTTGCACTAGCGCAGGCACCCCGTGTCGATCCTCCAAGTTTCCAACCATGATACCAGTCTTCCGACGAGTAAAACGCACGGCCCGCTCCTTGGGAAAGCTACTCCACGAGGCCCTTGATGTGGCTGCATGAGCATCAGACATTGTTCCTGGAAAGGTCGGGGGACTGAGCTGCGTCCTCTAGGCTCTCTTCTGGTCTGGGCTTGCTTTGACAACCAACTAACCAACTCACTCCCTCGCAAGCCGACCCTGCCGAGTCATCATAATCTCGCTCCGCACATGTATGTACACAGGTACTATGCCTATGTATGATCTAAGCCGGGGGTTGGCGATTGTGAGACAGGGGTCAAAGCTATTGGCTTCCAACCGCTACTAGTAACTGCGGTTTGTACGTACATATTGTTTTTGCTACTCATTTCCCCCCGTGAATCAACCTGCAAAGGGGAAGACGCTATGAATACAATGGTGAAAGTTCTAGCCGGGCGCCGTGGTCGTTGTCTATTTAAGACCATTGATGTGCCATGACAGATGGATTCCTTCCACCTCATCTTCAGCACAGAAAGCAGACTTTTGGACACAACTCCAACCGCTCTCACCTTATACCTTCGTTTTCCGGGATTTTTAAATTACCCGTCCACTCTTTTTCACATTTACTACACACTCCGTTTAAAAATGAAGTCTTTCATTGCTGTTGCGGCTGTCGCCGCCGTTGCTTCGGCTCACGAGGCTCGCTCCCCCCTTGGCCTCGACCTCAACGTCGGCAACCTGGTCAAGGTCGACCTCTGCCTGGGTCTTGATCTCAAGCTTCCCCTTGGAATCTCTATCGAGACTGATGATTGCCCTAAAAAAGGCCCTCCTGCTGGCTGCATCGACGTCTGGCACCCTCCTCACCACGTTCCCATGGACGGCTGTGACGACAACGACAACGACGAGTGGCATTATGTCCACCCTTGCGACTGCAAGCCCGAGGCTCCTCACACCTGGACCACCAGCACTGTCACTCAGACTCAGGTCAAGACCCTCACCAGCTGTGCTCCTACCGTGACCGACTGCCCTGCTGGTCCTCACGTCACCACTGTGGTTGTCCCGGCCACAACAACCATCTGCCCCGTGCCAGTTCACTCTACCACCATGGCTACTGTCCCTGCCGGCAACACTCTCCCTGCTACCGCCCCTGCTACCATGCCCGGTACTGTTCCTGCTACCATGCCCGGCACCGTCCCCGGCACCATGCCCGGCTCGGCTCCCGGTACTGTTCCCGCCGTCGTGCCCGGAACCGCCCCGGGCACTCTGCCTGCTACCGCCCCTGTTGCTACGCAGGCACCGGTTTGGACCAAGCCTGCCAATCAGTCGATGCCCGCTACTCAGGTCCCTCCCCCTGCCATTACCACTCCCGTCGTCGTGGCTCCTTCTCCTGCCACCACGCCTTCCGAGGCCTCGTCTCCCGCGGTTGTTGTTCTCCCTCCCGTTGGCACCGGCGCACCCCCTACCGGCAACTGGACGACCCCTCCTGTCATGGCTGGTGCCGCCCAGAACAGCCAGAAGGTCGGTGCCGTTGTCGCCATGGGCCTCATCGCCGCTCTCCTGATCTAGGCCGGGGGGCGTGTTGACCGCACAGCATATATCCTGGGTGCTGTAGTACATTTGAGTACATCGTGACGACATTATGGGATCGGCGTGGCGAGATACCAAAAAGTTTCCCACTGATTTTTTCGTTGAAGCTTTCAAGGTAGCTTTTGTGTTTGGAGAGTGTCAATAGACGCCGGTGGCTGGCGTGTAAAACTGGAGAGGAGGGGGAGGGGGTGTTTACATGCGGATGCCTGATTCTTGTATTAAGACTTTTCTGCAGATTTACTTTTACTAGTGTCGGAACTTATCTCGCCGATGTAGTGTCAATATTGTATATACAACTCATTTGTGCCATGATTATAGCAATGTTGTGACTGGACCTTGGAGCAGAAAATTAATACATAAGCGTCCCGGATGGCCATTTGTGCAGTGTATCTGATCATTATCTTAGAGTCATATGCTTCGTCGCCTATGTGAAATGCAATGCCATGTCGCTCGCTACATTGGGTATCCAATTATTCTCATCACCCCTCTTGCTCTTCCAGGATGCTCTCCTCCAGACGCTCCTCCAACTTTCTAGCTACATCCTCAATGCTATCATTCTTATCAAAAACAGCACCCGATGCCTCCCAGTCACGCCCGTCGCTCCCAAACACCACAAACTTGACCACGTTTCCATCATCGTCCATGATAAGTCGGCCAGTCTTGTCGTTTGCCCAGGTGAGACTTATTTGCTTGGCCTCAATATCTGCGATGCCCGCTTCCACGAGCGCATTGGGCGCTACGGCCCGTCCGCCTCTCTCGTGCAATCCCAATCGCCGGCGGAGATCTGCCGAGACGCCCAGTCGATTGTGGTACCGTACAATTTCTCGCCGCAGCGTCCTCACAAACTTGTCGAGATCTTGGTCCGTGGAGCTGCTGCTTCCGCCGGCTCGGGATGGCTGCGGCAAGTGTCTTGCTGCCAGGCCGGCCAGAGGCACTGCCGGAGGGACGGTATGTCTGTGGACGCGGAGGTGTTTTGAGCCCGGATACGGTCGGTTCAACATCACGTAGTAGGGGCGGAGGAACTGCCCCCGAGACATGATTTCGAACCGCAGGCCCAGGACGTGGCCGTCATCCACGGCATTGGGGTCAGGGTCGCGGACCTTGAAGGAGGTTACTGGAGCGGATATTCGGTAGATGCATTGCTGCATGTGGGCTTGTTGCTGGGTTGAGCGGCTGCTCAGCTTGGACGATGCGGTTTCTGAGGAACCCGGCCGACGGGCAACGGCGGGCGAGGATGAGGAGCGGATGAGACGCGATGTTGACGCGGAGGATAGAATCGTCGAGCACTGGATTCGGAGGGCTTTGCGTAAAGAGGCCGCTGCTAATGTGTGAGTGGTCTTGATTGAAAATAAATGGTGAGTGAGAGGGCGCGTCAAGCTGCAAACCTTGTTTTCTTAATGAGGCAATCTCCTTGTCTAGCTGAGATGGCTCGGATGAAGTCGGTTCGGAGTCCATTTTTTTTCTTCTCTCTTTTGAGTATTTCACACCCCGCCTGTGTCTGCGGTCATGTCGGGACTGCGAGCCAACAGGTCGGTGAGATGAGTATAAGAATTGTTGATGCTGAATGACGTTCAACGCGTCGAGCAACACCTGCGATAAGATAAGGAGGGCATGGATGGGCAAGCTTTGCCATGCAGCGTCCCCGCAGTCCGGTAAAGGCAATCGCCGATTGGTAGCCTTCGGAGTTTGTTTCCCCTGATGGCGGCGCAATATCTATTCCTCCGACACTAAAACGGTCTAGGCGACTTAAACAGGCAGGGGCGATCTACGGGTAATCGAGCAGGTGCCAAGTGTCCAATGCGAGCAGCCAGCCCCAGGGTCTGCTGCCATCAAGCGAAATCCAGTTCCCGCAGCCCGCAGCCCGCAGGCACGAGATCGTGACTCGTGTGTATTCTTCTTCTTGTGCTGGTCTCATCTTCTCCTTCGCCCTCTGTCTTCACGACAAGCCATTGACCATTGTCCCCGGGTCGCTTGTGGGCTGCCGTTGAACGGGCTGCCATTTCGGATTCCTTTGCTTCTATTTCGAGGCTTTGTTGGAGAGGCCTCTCACGTTCGCTTGATCCGTTGCTTCCTGGCGGTTTGCCACATTTCTCGTCTCCATTTGTAAGCCCTTGAGGCCACGGTTGCTTCGCACCAGCATAACTAGTCCAAGTTGGACGCAACCCCAACGTTCTTTCGACATTTTGGATCTCGGCCGATGACCCGGAGTAGTATTTCTACAAAGTTTTCTTCATTTCGAACACTATCGACGCTATCTCCCCTCGCTCTCTTACTTAGCCCACCTTCCTACAGACGACCTCGAGACAAAACAACTCGATTCCTTGCCTTGCGCACCATCAACATCCTCTAATCGAGCCGATATTAAGACGGCGCGCTGAATCGCGCATATTCTTGGAGATTCTACAACACAAGCATTCCTGGTGAGAACAGCAAACAGCAGCGACAACTCTCGCCCGACTTAAAAACCCCTCCCTTGCAGAGGAAGGCGGATATATAAGAGACTACATACACCCCACACGGCCGAGGTATATTACATAACTACTGCCTATGGGTGCCCGCGCGCGACGACCAAAGTCGCCATCATCGCAACAACCGGCTTCCCTCTCTGTGAAGAAAGGGAATGCCAACGGCAAAATGAGCAACGGTGTGGAAATGCGGCGCAAGTCTGCCAACAACCTCGACACCTCGGAGGCTGTGACTGGCAACTACATTTCTCGCGAGAGCTTTTCGCTGGACGAACCGGTTCCCAAGACACCGACCGCGGGCAACCATGGATTTCGCGAGCTGCCGAGACGGGACAAGCGAAGCTTCCTGTTGCTGGTATTGCTGTATTTTCTCCAGGGCATCCCCATGGGCCTTGCTATGGGGTCGGTTCCTTTCCTTTTGAAGAACCACATGTCGTACGGGGAGATTGGTATTTTTAGCTTGGCTTCGTACCCTTATTCAATGAAGCTGTTTTGGAGTCCTTTTGTGGACGCAGTTTGGAGTTCCAAAATTGGTCGGCGAAAGACTTGGATTGTTCCTATTCAGTTCCTTTCTGGCTTCAGCATGCTATGGCTTGGATCGCATGTTGAGTCGATGATGGAAACAACCGGGAAGCCGGGCGGGCCTACCGTCTGGGGCTTCATGACGTGGTGGTTTTTCTTGGTTCTAATGTGTGCGACCCAAGATATTGCGGTGGACGGCTGGGCCCTGACGCTCCTTACGCCGGCAAACGTGTCTTATGCATCCACTGCCCAGACCGTCGGCCTGACTGCAGGCCATTTCATGTCGTATACGGTATTTTTGGCTTTGAACGCCAGCGATTTCGCCAACAAGTGGTTCCGGTCGGTCCCTTCAGAGGAGGGGCTTGTTTCACTGGGCGGATACTTGACGTTCTGGGGCTGGGTCTACATCATCGTTACTATTGGACTTGGCTTCTTGAAGCGGGAGGAAAAGTCACATAATGACGACGGCGTATGGGACGTCTACCGAATCATGTGGGGCATCTTGAAGTTGAAGAATGTGCAGACAATCATTATTGTGCATCTCATTGCCAAGATTGGTTTCCAGGCCAATGACGGGGTCACGAACCTGAAGCTCCTCGACAAGGGCTTTGGCAAGGATAACATGGCGCTCACGGTCCTCATTGACTTTCCTTTTGAGATTAGTCTCGGATACTATGCGGGCATGTGGTCGCAAAAGTATACACCCATGCGACTGTGGTGCTGGGGATTTCTCGGCCGACTGGGTGCGGCCATCTTTGCTCAAATCACGGTGGCCATGTTCCCTAGCAATGGTGTGACCGTGTGGTACATGGTTGTGGTGATTGCGGAGCATCTGTTGTCGACGTTTACCAACACCATCATGTTTGTTGCCGTTTCTGCTTTCCACGCCAAGGTCTCGGATCCAGTCATCGGCGGCACATATATGACTCTACTCGCAACGTAAGTGCAGTGGCCTTGAATTTTTTTTTTCGCACATTCATATTTGGTAAAATCAGGCTAACAATGGAATGGCAGCGTTTCCAACCTGGGCGGTACGTTCCCGAAATATTTTGTGCTGAAGCTGGTCGACTCCTTTACGGTAGCTACTTGTCTTCCCACACTCAATGCGGATACGTCCAAGCTGAAGGGACCCGTGATTACCGAGGCGTTTTCTTGCGCGGTGCAAGCGGAGAAGGAGAGATGCGAAAATGGCGGCGGCACATGCGACATGAGCCGAGACGGATACTACATGGTCAACATGCTGTGCGTTGCGTTTGGTCTGGTGTCGTTCTTGTGGTATATCAAACCAAAGGTGCTGCACCTGCAGAGCTTGCCTCTCCGGGCTTGGAGGTTGTCGCCGACCAACGACAAGCGGTAGAATGGGCAATGCAGGATGGAATAATTGAGACATTTTTATTGTATTACTCTAGAGGCTGCTGGTGAGACTGCATGTAGATGGTGTGACGAATTCACCGGTCTATTGAGGCAGGATTTGTCCCTCTTCTAAAGTGACGGTGATACGTAGTTGGGATAGCTTGATTATAGCCTGCACAACAGTGGGTTTCAAATGCAATTTAAAAAAGAATGTTTGGCCACGTCGCTCCTGAGCTTGGCATGAGGGTTTCTGACTTGTGCAAAGACACCTGGACTCACGTAATATATGACAATGCCCCGTAGAGTACGCCTGGAGACATACAAAAAGAGACACCTACAGCCATGCGCGCATTTCGATGAATGTCTCAAATACGAAGCACCGAGTTGAGAGTTGATATACGGAGTACAACGCTACGGAGTACGCAGGTGGTTGTATGATGTATGTATCCCTGTCGCCTGCAGAGCCAAAAATATACTTGCACTGACATGATGCGGGCGTCTCGGCAGTTGGCGTTATGTAATTTTTCGCCCGTCGCGTTGCACCGCATTCGCCTCGTCGGCCAACTGGGCTGAGATTGTTCAACCCTGCAGGTGAGAATCGGCGCTGTCGTACATACATGCTATTAGTATTCATCTGGACCCGGCGCAAAGCGACTGCCGGTCTGCGCACGCCCATAGCCGACTTGCCCATTCTCTATGAACAGCCTGGCCGTTTCGGCCAACTCTGGCTGGATTCCTTGAATAGCCGGAGGATACGGAGTAGGGCATGTAGACACGGCTCACGTTCTCGTGTGCCGCGTGAAGCCACGTGTATGTATGGCTGGAAGGGAACACGCAATTTGCTACTACTATTGATGTCGGCTCGGCACGTCGGCGAATTTGGGGGAGCATGTTTGGCAGGAGGGGCCCCGTCGGAGTTTTTCGAGGCTCCTTCTGGATTTGTCGGCTGGGGCGTCGAGTCGCAAATGGAATACAAGACGGCGGATTTGGCAGGAACCTCGGTCTGTTTCGAGGCATCGTGGTGCCCGGTATAACTGGCTTTTTTAAAAATAAAAAATAAAAAAATCGCGAAAAAAAAAGTCTGATATTGCTTACTACAAGGGTCGCAAAGGGCCTCTCACGTCGTGGTGGAATCTATGCATCCCGTTACCGTTTCGGGCCCGACTTACATACATGCTTTTCTTTCTACGTTCCAAGGCCGACCAGCCGACCGGCCAAGGCGCGCCAGCTCCGTGCGTCCCGCGACGACGATTGCACACACGCTCGGGCTCGAGATAGACCGAGCTCGTCGAGCAGAGCCAGTCCGTCTCGGGGCAATCTGGACGCCGGCCCTCTCCGTCCATCTGGCCATGTTGAGCCAGCCAAGGAGGAGGAAGAGACGGCACGGCAAAGACGCGACGCCTCGCGCGGGCTGGGCTGTAGATGTCGCTCCTTGCGGATGCATTCCCTCCCAAGACCGGGATAGCGAAATGGGAAGGAAGGGGAAGAAAGAAAAAATCGTCAACATGACATGTTTGTCGTTGCGACGGGCGGCATGGAGAAAATGTATTTAAGCTCGCTGCTCTCCTCTCCCTTTGCTGGTAGATACTCGACACACTCGCCTTCAATCAAGAATCATCTACACCGTTTCAAACCATCTTCCAGGTTATACACTTGCTCCTTTTTTTTAAAAAAAAAAACCAAGATGCATTTCAACGCTGTTCTCGTTGGCCTCGCTGCCCTTGTCTCGCTCTCCTTTGCCCAGGACCAGGCCAACTGCTACACGATCGAGAACTGGGGCTCCAAGATTCACGACTGCGGACAGTGTGACGAGGGCTACAAGTTCTCATATACGCAGAGCTTTTGTGACATTGGCTTCCAGTGCTGCAAGGGCGTATGCTGCCGCTAGGAGCAGCAGTAAAAAGGTTCGTGTTGTGACTTGGGTTTTCTTTCGTGGGTTTATGTACTGACGCTGAGGTTTAGACGATGCAGCTTGGCTGCTACTTCGGAGATGGACTGTGCCTGGCTTTGGGGGAGTCAATTTCCAGGATGGGGGTTGAGGAGAACTGGAGAGTTTTAAAATGATTGGATGGATGGATGGTTGGTTTATGGATGTCTCTCGGAAAGAAATATAGACTCGGACGACCGGTCCAGAGCCACGCTTGATGTACATAGCAAACAATCATCTGTTCAGTCAAAAACGGCGGCGTGCAAGTGACTAGTGAAGAGTGAATGAGGTGCAATCCGACTTGCAATGAACCAGGTAAGCAGAGGACTGCGAGTGTCAGACAAGGCCGGCTGACTCTCGGCCCATCGGCTGCCATCAACGGCATCTGGACCCGGAGCTCCCCGGGGCCGGAACCCACCAGGCCGAGGCAACGGCCAGTTGACGTCACTCGCGGGCTGCCATGCTGATGGAACCCGCGCGAGGTCATTGGCCCAAATCGTTGGTCCGTCGGCACGAATCGTCGCGGTGCCTAGGCATAGCGGCCGCCATGGCGGGGGAGGCTCCGGCGGCCCGGACAGACGGGAGGGGAAGGCAGGCAGCTTGCATCGCGCATCGCGTGCGGCCACGGGAAGATGCGCAGTATATACGATCTGTATATATTCACAGCTTGGTTTTCCCTCGCCCAGGACTGCGCATTTTTCGTCTAGAGCACATTTGCAGACTCACGCCTCGACGCACCACAGTATACCACGCACATGCAGTCACCAGCAGCTCGAGACTCACGTTCAACCGTCGGGCCATTTCACAACCCCACCATATCCGCATCCCGGGATGTAAGCTGCTTCGTAGTTGTGAGCACAGCAAAAAAATAAAACCGCAAATACACCAGCAGAATGCATCCTCATCCTCCCGAAACCTCCTCACCAGAGCCCGAGACCACGCAGCCAGGCCCATCTCGATTCCAATTGCGCCCTCGCTGCCAGCGCCCGCGCACACAGCCGCCCGCGCTGTCGCTCGCCTTTTCATCGTCATCGTCATCCTCACCACCACCATCCCCATCGTCGTCGCCCCCCTCGTCGCCCTCCACAATGGCCTCGTCGTCCTCGTCCTCTCCCCCCTCCGACGAGGACGTCTACTTCTCCACCAACCCGCCGCCGCGCTCCCTCGAGGAACACACGCGCCTCGCCGCCTCCTTCATCAACACGCACGCCCTCGCCTCCCGCCGCGTGGTGCTCATCACGTCGGGCGGCACCACGGTGCCCCTCGAGAAGCAGACGGTCCGCTTCATCGACAACTTCTCGGCGGGCACCCGCGGGGCCACGTCGGCCGAGTACTTCCTCGAGGCCGGCTACGCCGTCGTCTTCCTGCACCGCCAGTTCAGCCTGCTCCCCTACTCGCGCCACTTCTCCCACTCCAAGGACTGCTTCCTCGACTTCCTGAGCCCCGGGCCCACGGGCCAGGTCGAGTGGCGCGCCGGTCACGACGCCGCCAAGGTGCGCGACGTGCTGGCCAAGTACCGCCGCGCCCGCGACGCCAACATGCTGCTCATGATCCCCTTCGTCACCATCGGCGACTACCTGCACGAGCTGCGCGCCCTGTCGCGCCTCATGCGGCCCCTCGGGCCCCGGGGCCTGCTGTACCTGGCCGCCGCCGTGTCCGACTTTTTCGTGCCGCCGGAGCGCATGGCCGAGCACAAGATCCAGTCCACCGACGCTGTCGTGGCCGCAGTCAGGGCCGAGGACACGGACGAGGAGTTTGACAACTTCGACGCCTCGCCGCGCGTCCCCCGCTCCAAGCGCCTCGTCATCGACCTCGACCCCGTGCCCAAGTTCCTCAAGAACCTCGTCGACGGATGGGCGCCCCAGGGCATGATCGTCTCGTACAAGCTCGAGACGGACCCGGCCCTCCTCGTCCGCAAGGCGCGCTACTCGCTCGACCGCTACCAGCACCACCTCGTCATCGGCAACCTGCTGTCCACGCGCAAGTGGGAGGTGGTCTTTGTCAGCCCCGGCCGCGCCGACGCCTGGCTGCGCGTGCCGCCGCCGCCCTCGTCCATGCCCGCCGGATGGGGGGACGCCGAGGGCCGGCCCCTGCGCGCCGACGAGCTGCCGCGCGAGGATCCCGACACCGAGATTGAGAAGCTGATTATTCCGGCCGTGGCCGAGCTGCATGACGCGCATATCGGGAGGTAGATGATGACGATGGTGGTGGTGGTCTCCGGGTACCGGGTATAAAAGTGAGAAGAAGAACAAGTAATAAAGAGATACGAACGTGTTCGTCTGTACATTTGGCAAGGACAACGTGGGAGCCGCCAAAGAATCTAGCCGCACAAGTTCCGTAAAACGTCGAGTCGCAACAAAAGGCCCTACACTACGGCAAGTCACTGCTGACATGACAGTTTGCAGCTCCAGGTCCGGCATGGCTTGCGTTTCAATTCAGCACCTTGAGCTAGTATCCGTGCTGTATGGCATCATGGGCCACCTGCGTTGACGCAGATACCAGTTTCTCCAACAACAATTATATAATTTATATTGAAATATAGCTAGTCATCACAATCTACTTTATTTGTGGGTATTTTTAGCCAGTTCCTACTGCCATACCCCGTCATGAATCATCAGATACTCCAGAGCCATGCCTTGTCAAAATCGGCTGGACCGAGACGCCGTCAATGCCGCTGAAATACACCAAAGAAAAAAATGTGTTTCTACTCTTTCAATGAACGCATCAAAACTCGAACCAAGTGAGTAGAGACCCGAGACCCGAGACCCGGGCTGTTAGCTCCAAACTCGATGCTTCCGAGTCGCCCAAACTCCCCACCGTCAACTTGTCCATCCAAGCTTAGTAGGCAGACAGCCAGTTCTTCATACCGAGATGAGTAGTCTTGGCTGCCATCAAACACATCGCAGAGCCGACGTAGATTGCACCCGTAAAGATGATCAGATTCTTGTAATCACCACCACTGGCACCTACAATGTTGCCGCCGATAGGGATACCAATCAGACATGCAAACGACACAACCGTATACGTCGTGGCGTAGTATCGCCCGTATTGCTGAGTCTTGCACATTCTTCCAATACACACGGGCGCAATGGAAATGCTTGTCCCGCTGCCGAAACCAAACAGGATTGAAAAGACAATGATGCCAGCGGCGGTGTGTCCCAGCGGCAACCACACACACAAGCACGCAACCAGCGAGAGAACCGCCGAGAACAGACATACATTGAATGGCCCCACGACGTCTGCGTAATATCCTGGCAGAGCCCGCCCGACGACCGATCCCGCGTTCATGATGGGCAACAGGTGGAAGGCAAACTTCTCGCTGAAGCCCTTGTGTTGCGCATACGTAGAGATGTATGCGAGGGGGATGAAGAGTGAAAATTCGAGCAAGAAGATGCCGATTGCAGTCAGGGTGTAGGGGACCTGCTTGAAGATGCGAAAGTCTGGGTGCGCCGTGGCGTCGGGTGCGGGAGGAAGACGAGATCGGACGAGCACAATGCCAATGACGCCGCCGACGAGACAAATGAGAGCAAGGACGCGCGTGGCCCAGCCGTAGCCAATCTGGTCAAAGAGCGAGGTGAGCATGAGTGGGAAAATGATGCCGCCGATGCCCCCGGCCGTAGATGCCATGCCGGTAGCGAAACCTCTTCGTCTCCGGAACCAATGCCCAACCGCAGCAATGCATGGCGTAAAGAGTAGCGATGTTCCAACCCCGCATAGGACTCCGAAAGATAGGATGAATTGCCACAGTTCTGTTGCCCTTGTGTTAGTCAATCCCAAAGTCTTTGAAATAGCAAAACAAAGGATCGGCATCAATGAAGCATTCTTCAGTCCCCAAGCACATGGGCCCTCAACCTACCTTTGCAGAAACTCATGCATACAACCCCAGTCACAGTTGTGATGCAACCAGCAATGACCAACCACCGCGGGCCATACTTGTCAAACACGGGGCCAATATAGACACCGCAGAAAAAGGCAAGAAAGGTGTAGAGGGAGAAGATCCAGCCGACAGTGCCCTCGCTATGGCCCTTCAACTGGTGGCTGAGTGTGTAAGCTTGGAAGATAGCAATGGTATTCATCAAGCCCATCGCCGACATCAAGGCAAACCACGCACCCAGGACCACGAGCCACGCCCGCATGCCGCCTTCGGGAAAGCTCTCTTCGTAGGATGCGCTCGAAACTTGCGTAGTATTCTTTTCTAGGTTGTTGGTCCCCTGGTCCTCGGCCTTGTTGCTATTGGTGATGGCGTCTTGGTTGCCATTCTCCACAACATAGGTCTCTCCATCGTCATGGAGTACTCGCGAGTTTACCTGGTAAACGTCCATAATTGCGTCCCTCGACGGTTATGTAAACGGCAGACTCACTGTTCGGAAGGGGACCGTCCCTTGTTACTATATCTGCTACTTGGACATGAACTAACAAGAGGGCAGTGGGATGTAAGAAACCAGGTGTATTTGCGGCTTTAGAAATGGCGCCTTATAACAACAGGCGGGAGCCATGGATTTAAGAGGGTGGGAAAAAAGTTCTTCTTAGCAACTGACCCTTGGAAGGCGGCCCATCTAGCTTTCTGACCCCAGCTGGTGGTCGGCGCCGAGCGCAATCAACTCATGATTGTGGGGACATTCAATCCACTCGTCTGCCGTTGAAAAGACTTTTGCGGCGTCGGCGCCTTGATGGTGTCCAGTTTAACATCCCCATTTGGGTCACCCGTGGCTACCACACTCCTTTCGGGAATTGTCGTCGGAGTGTGGAGGCGGCGTGGACGCGCATTTGACCACATCCCTGGCTCCCAGCTTCTAGTCGACACACCGAGTTGAACCCAAGGCCGAAGCCGAGCTCCGTTTCTTGCATCTTGACTCATCGAAGCTCAAATGTTCATTGTTCCCATTGCTGATTGTCACTGTCATTTTCCTCGTATAGACATGTTGAAGAACTGCCGGGCACAAACAAAGTTGAGATGCGGGGTATGCAACATAGATTTATAACTGCTGATTTCTAATCCCTAGTGTTGTGAGTCCCAATCACAGTGTTGCTGATCTGTAAAGTCGAGATGAACTGGAACTGCAAACTAAGAGACCAGAAATTAGAATTCACTTTACATGCTTCGTTCGTGTTCTCAACGACGGCCCCCATCACTCAAAGGTCTCACCCCGAAGCATCAAATCATCCGGATCCGGTGGAGCCTGGCAGCGGAGGAGGAATTACACTATCGAGACTGAATCGACTTCGCGTTGCCTCTCCCGTGTTATGCCGTATGATCCATATGAAATAAGCCACATCGAGCCCGGAGACCGTCCTGCGCCCGCGAGGGTGCATTAGCTATGCCACATTTCCATGCTGGCATGCACATCGGCCTATGCAGTCTGAATAGGTGAATGCAACCCCCAACTCGTTATCACAGCCACGATTGCGGAGTGTAGTATTCTCTGGCCGTCGGGTATAGTACACAATTTTCCGTCCAACTGGTATTTCCATCACAGGGATTAGGCGCGCATGTAGTACCTCCCGTGGGATGACACCATGAAACAATAGGCGGTGATATGCCCCGGAATACGGAACCAAGGTCCGGCAGGCAATGCGAGGCCCCACTGTTGATCGGGCCTCGCCAGGGGTCCGAATCGCCGAGTCAAAAGAAGGTAGGAGATTTCGAAGTCCAAAATCAGGTCGCGCGGTGCTGTGCGCGGGATTTCCCCTCTGACCCACTATCGAATCTTCTGACCAAGCCCGGAGCAACCAACAACTCAGATGGCATCCAATAGTTAGTCATTGTTTGCTACCGATAAGAAGGCGTGATGACACCGTTGATATCCACAAGGTAATGTCATCGATCTTTGAGACATGTAGGACTGTTTGAATTGCTTCGTAACCAGGTGGTTCTGTGCCAAAGCCTCATGAGGTTTTGCAGTAACCACCAAAATGTTGTTAGGAACGCCCCTCTCACGATGAAAAGTTAGCCCAGACTGCAGAGTCTGCCGCAGATCACCGCTCCCGGGCTATCTGGTAGGCATGGGCGTCTATGCTACTGACTGTATGGATAAAACAGACAGCGCTGCAGAAGGCGTTGCACTGGCAGTCCCAGTTACTCGTCCTTGTCTTCGATGCCCTCCACGGTCACAGTCCAATATTTCTGCTGTGTATCTTCAGCCGCCTCAGCCGCTTCTTTGGTTGATTTTGAATTCCCTTCCTTCTCCAATCGATCTGCCTCTTCAGGCTCTGTCAGCCCGCCCTGACCTCGACCCTTGTCCAGCTTCCTCTGTACAGCCGCTGGTACGAAGGCGGAAACAGCTTCTTGCCGAAGGTCTCGCATAACAGGTTTCGCCTCGTACACAGTCTGGGATTCGACAGGAGGTGCTTCCGTCTTTGGAGCCTCTGCTTTCTTTGCCATATCTTCACGCATCGCATCGGCATTTGGGTTTCGTCGTGCTCGCCGTCTCGCGTACCACTGGTCTAGGACTTCCTTTGGAATTGGGGGTGGCGTGTCTCTTGGCATAGGAATCCTGCGCACCTCCTCTGGCACGTCCTCGTCGGTGCTCGAGCCTGCAGAGTTGCGCCGTCTTTTCCCCAAGACACCCGAGTCCCCATCTCGTCGGCCGCCGCGATGAAATGAAGGTGCTCTATCGCCTAGTGTCTCTCTCGCTTTCCTTACCCCTTTGGCTTCCTTCTCGAGCCCCTCTAACAACTGTTCTTCGTGTCGTGATAGCTTGCCGCCGCCCGCAGAAATGGCCTTTAAATCATCGATCTGCTTCTGAATTCGGTCCGGGTTCTTGCGCGCTAATCTTTCGTTGCGCCTGTCTTGAGCTTCTGCCTTGCCTATAGAGAATGGTCAGAATGGAATATTGAATGCTGATGACAATCGTGGGGCATACCCTTTTTGATTGCCTTGGCCTTTTCAGCTTTCCGCTGAGCCTGCACCGGGTTGTAGCCCTTTTCCTTTGGCATTTTGCGAGTGTCTGGTTCGCGCTACGTCTGGCTTCGAGGACCGGAATTCGTCTCTGGTCCCAGATGATGTGGTGGCGATTAGGTGGTATTATTTGGAACAGCAGTATTCGCTTTGCTGCGTGGAAACTGTTGAAGAAGCTTTGTTTGAAGGTTTGAGGCCGAAACTCTGATGTGGGAAGCTCTTTCCAGAGCGGTGGGTCCTCCACTCGTCGCCCAACGAATAAAGTCTCCTGCGCTCCAGCATCTGCCCAAACACACATCACATCACTTGCGTCTCGCATTAGATTTTTTTCACCTCCATCAAAGCCAAGTGTTCCGGCTTGTCCGCCGTAGTCTCAGATCTGTCAATGTTGAAGGGTATTATCTTCATTTGCTCCTAAAAAAGAGGGCGGGAAAATCATGCGCCGTCAGCGGGTATCCATTCTCTCAAGTCATCTCCCGCACGCAATCATGCTCCCCATCTTCCACACAGGCTCGTTATTTACGTATAGCAGAAAGGAAAAATAAAAATCTTTAGTCGATAGAGTGCCGAATTATGATGGAGAGTGGTAATTTGTACTGTGCTACTCCGGCGCCTACTTGGTCATTGCCAAATGCATCCTGATCCCGACTACGCTTTCGATTAGCAACCCGTTCTTTGGCTACAAGTAGTCTCTTCTCCGTGAGTATGATATGATGCGTACTATTTCTCATTGATGGATCTACCATGATGCAGAATGAGTGTGTTAAATAGACATTTGACCGCGTAATGATAGGAGCTTCGTGTCCAGCAAAGAAAAACCAATCCTCTCCGTCGAATCAGTCCAGTCGGGTAAACAAGTACAAATCGATACCTAGTTATCCACGTCATTCAACTTGGAAATTCCAAAGGCCTTGTTCATACGGTCGTTGGCATTGGACGGCGTGGCATCCAAAACCTCCATGTTGCCTTCATCATCTCTTTCACCGGTCCTATATGCAGCATGGCTTCCCAGTTTATACCACATATATATGGTCAAGAGAGCGGCGGCCATGAGAAATGCGAAAATGGTCCAATTGCCCCGGCTGTACATCGGTGAGTCGCTGCTGGGGAAAAGGAACGGTGACGATATTCCTCCACAATTGGCGATGGCAATCATTCCGCCCGTCGCAAGCGCAGTTGCTGTTGAGCCTTGCACCGTCGCCGTTCGGTACTATTCAGCCCATCTCGTTAGTTTTCAACAGTCTCGCAGGATTGGCTTTCTCTACGCACGGGTTGACGTATCCTCCTGAATCAGAAGATGAACTCACCGCAACAAAAGGTAGGACAGCCGCATTTGTGCAAGCAATAATACAAATTGCAAAATACCGAACCCCTCGCTGCGAGACAACAGCCAGCAGCAAATACCCCGTCGCCAGGAACCCCAAAGCGCCAAGAATGTGTCGCGGCCGCTCTCTAGTCTTGTCACTGTGAATACATGTCCCAATAACAATCACCATGGCCACTACGTTTGGCGGCACCGTCAACAGCTGGGCTTCGTAGCCCTTGTAGCCAAGTGCTGCCACAATCGTCGGGGCAAAATAGCCGAATGCATTCAGGGAGTTTGTCATGAGAAAGTAATGTGCGGCGAACAGCCAAAACCAAGGATCAATCAGGGTTTTCTTCGCAACGTCACTGTCCCAATGCTTGTCCCCCATGGACGGCGCATACGGCCCGAGACGCTTCACAGCAAAAGCTCGTTCTTCAGGTGTCAACCACGAAGATGTCTGAGGATAGTCAGGGAGGTAGAACCACACCATGACGCCGACAATTACAGCCGGGATTCCTTCGAGGATGAAAAGCCACTGCCAGCCAGACAGTCCAGCCTTTTTGTTGAGAAATGAAATCCCCGTGGCGAGCAGACCCCCAAAGGCGCCTGCAACTGAAACCGAGGTTGCAAATATGGCCATTCGGGTTGCCCGCTCCTCGGGCTTGTACCAGAAGCACAAGTACATCATCATCCCGGGGAAGAATCCAGCCTCAGCAAGACCCAAGGCCATGCGTACGGCTAGAAGGCCGCCGTAGGTTGTGACGGCGGCCGTGCAAATGGTGATGATGCCCCAGCTGACCATGATGCGGGATATCCAGCGGCTGGGGGAGAAGTATTTTAACAGGATATTGGAAGGAAACTCCATCAGGACGTATGGGACGAAAAATAGAGCCACGGCAACATTGTACCGCTGACCCGTGAGGTTGAGCTGCACAACTATGTTGTCTTCTGGGGTGTCATTGTTGAGGGTTCGAGCATTGCCCAAGTTGACTCTGTCCAAGTAGTCTGCGCATCTTGGTGAGTTTCTGGCCATGCATGGAAAGAATATCATGCCGGGCGGGCATGTATTGGAATGGGTGTACTTAGGAGATATGTGACAACCACCCACGGCAGAATCCGAAAGTCTTGTTTGCGGACGATGCGGCGCTCCATAGCTTTGTCCGATATGTCGACAGACTCGAGCCCCGGCACGTCTAATGACGGCACGGACGACATTATGGACTTCCAGATACCCATGGTTTGGTGCTTGTGTGATGCTTGTGTGAATCGAGCAACAGCCAGCTGGCGCTTAGTATTGAGTTGGTATTCAGGGTCTCGAGAGGTGTGGTCCCGGGAAATGCGCAGTTCTTATAACTACATGTACCTACGTAGGGATCTAGCAATCAAACATCTCTCCCATCAACTCCTGCTATACACCCATGGTCATGTATCAGTTGATACTTGCACCAGACATCTCTTGGAGTGCTGGAGGACTGGAGGCGCCGCCACACAGGGGCCAGTAACCAATAAGTAGGAAAGCATATATTTTCGCTGCATCAAGTTATTGCTTCCAAGAACACGGTGGCTGAGGCTATCACGAGATTGCCTTGACTAGCGGGCCATGGCACTGCACCAATTACGCTGGTACATCTGACGCGGCACGATGCGAACGGTCTATTTCTCTAGTCTCATTACTATCCTTGGCCTGGTATAGCCTAATACTGTTTTAGATTTTACGCTTGCACGATACTTGTATCATGCTTGTAATTTCATTCGACTACAGAGCGAAACAATCTTAATATTAACGTACTTATATGAATTCAGTTGGCTTATCATACTTAAGCACCTAGTAGTAATCGCACTACTACTATCCGGGTAAAGTACAAATCGCTTACCGCAGTGATAACGGCCGCACGGACTTGATATTAGGGCGAACTACACCCAAAGGGGCCGCCTCCGAGATCCGAGTGTGCATTGCACTAACCTTCCTGCCTTGACGCGCCGCGCCTGCCTTGACCCCCAGAGAAATCGATTTACATAAGATTGAAAGCTGCCTCGTAGATTCTTCATGTTAATGAACGCGTGCTGGCGCTGGCATTCCACGTCGTGCAGGGGCCTTCGAGGTCGCCTGGCACTTCCTGTCTGGGGATGTGGAGATGGGGTCCATGTAGGGTTCCGGGGTTGATGATTGATAACAGCTGTAGGACTATCAGCCCATGAAAAACTCTATCTTTGCTTCCCTCCGCCATGTGAACATGCTACCATGTACAGGCTGTTCAGCTAGTTTCAAATTGGGGTAGATGTCTACCACAGTCAAACAGCGGTGTCGAGTGTTCTCCGACTTGCTTTCAAGGACAACGAGCCAAAAGACATATTAGCCTCCTCTCACAGACTGACTCGGGCCACCTCTAGAACGCAAGGCTTGCTGCACATGTGACCTTAGCCCATATATGCCACATAAACATACCGGGTTGTGAACATGGCATAGAGGAAGGCAGCGCAGAGGCAGCGGCTAGCTCGCTTGGCTTCTCATGCCCATTTTCTCATTCCCTCAGAGATGTTGCCATAATCAAGACTACACTGGGGTACGTAGTGCACATCTCTTCTTACTTTACTCGACTGTTTCAAGCAACGGGTTGATAACGGCAGCGAGTTGAGACGCAATCTTCCGGCCTCCCTCCACACTCGGTTCCACCCTCTCGACATAGTCTCCGCCACCTTTCCCATCCAGAGCCTCAAACAAGGCTACTGGAATCACAGAAACCCCGGGGATCTGGACTTTTTGTGTCGCGAGCTCATACATCTTGGTGATGGCAGCCTGGAGCCGGCCAGGCCATCGGTTGTAGCCGAGAGCCCCGAGAGAGACGTCTGCCCAGCTCTTCTGCTTCGCTGCCTGTGCCTCGAGCGGGAAGTAAATCATGCAAACGACTACGGCCCGAGGCTTGTGCTGCTCAACCAGCTTGGCCACATACTTCTCGACCTGCGTCTTGAACATGTTGACAAAGTAGCGAAGGGGCCAGGCTGTTCCCCTCTGGATCCGAGACGTCGGCGTCAGCCACGCGAGCAGCAGCATGTGGCATATCGTGGACAGGTTCGGTCTCATGGCGATGTCATTGGCGCCTACCGATACGATGAGAATGTCTTCGGCTCGGATGTGATCTCTGATGAACTTGTCATGCGCCAAGAGGTCGCTGTCTCGCTCCTGCAACAGAGAGGCTTCGACGGCGAGATTGAGCGCCGTGGCTTGGCTGCCCAGGAAGTGGTTCAGCCAGAAGGCAACATCAGGCTTTGGATGGGGCGGTTTGAGAGCGGCCTTGTATATTTCTGGAACTTCTGCGGGCAAAGGCTCGCCGCCAGGGGAGCTGGATGGCAGCCAATACTTGTTGTCGAGCGAAGAATCGCCCGCCAGATATACAATAGGCTTTGTCGGTCGTTGCGAGATGATTATGTTGTGGAAGGCGCGGATGTCCGAGATGGGATGCCCCTTGTATTCGAAGTAGAACCGCGACGCGTTGATCTTGCTCATTTTCTCCTCTACAGACTGGAGCCAGTTGAACAATGTTGAGGGCAAAGCTTGATCGATCGGCTAGGGCAGTGAACATTGTTACTTGAAATGAAAAATTTTAGGATTCGGCATTGTGTACTGGTCCTAGGGGGTTCTTGAAAATACAGACTCGTGTTGGGCTGAATGCAGGCAGCATTGAGTGCTGGGGCCAACATTGAACATTGAAGGCAAGTCCCAGCTCAAGTACAGGGTATGCAACCATGTACCTACTAAAGTTGGTGCCTAGGCGGCGGGGTTCTCATCGGAGTGATGAGCGCGCACGTGTTGCAAAACCAAGACCAACAACAAAACGTCCACATTGATGATGGTGAAGCATAGTATTGCCGGCTTGCCACAATGTCATCGCTTTCGCGACAACTTCCAATAAGCCGACCCAAGGAAGAACGCCATCGCAGAAGATAAAGTTCGCAAGAAGCGCCTTGCCTTGATCAAGTCCATTGACTGAAGCAATTTGTTGCCTGGCCTCATCTTTATACCATGGCGACGCGTGCAGTACGGCCATCAGCGTACGGTTTCTTTAATGTCTGCTTCTTTGTTCAGTTCGAAGTGGGCTGTCCTGAATCCAATATCTTGGCTTGTCCCTTGGCTTGACGAGAAAAGGACGCCGAGCTAGTCAAGATGTGACGAGTCCCCCCTCACCGCTACAAGTTTGTTGATGGGTTCAGTAGAACTCATTTGCCTCATGCTATCCTGTCTGTGCAGCCATGTTTCCACTAAGATGACAGTCCCAATACCAAACGGTCATGCATTTCTCGAAAGACTCTTCTTGCATGTCGACGAGGAAGTCAACAAAAAACCAGACCAGGAGCTAGATGGACGAGGCATTTCAAAGATCCTCTACGCATCACAGCACTTCAACAAGTATGTCAAGCAGAAGTGGCTTAAAACGACGCCCAGCGAGGGTTCCTTCGTTCTCATGCATGGGGGTATGGCGGCTGTCGTTGCTAATACTCTCTTTGATGATGATTTCCTCAACATTGTTGGAATTATCGACTGGGAATGGAGTCAAGTCCTTTGGGGATCAGTGCTGATTTTGTGATCATGAGAAAGGTCTATAATCAGGAAGTCGGCCACCTCCTCCGCGCCATCAGACAACGTGAAGTGGACCTTGGCGTCCCTCCTGTCATACCCAGAGAATGGGCAGAAACGGAGGACCGGTGCCATGCTGCCATCGCGTTGGCATTGCTTCATCTTGAATTTTCTGTCAACGTCTTTGGGGGCTTCCTTTTCTACGAGCTGATGACGTTGCAGAGAAATTTGCAAGATGACAAAGCCATCTTTCAGCGTTGAGATATTTGTCCCCGTTTGGAAGAGTTTATGAGGAGCTCACCAGATCGACTGGCTTTTGCAGCCAGAAATGGAATGAACAAGAACGGGTTGAGTTTTTTGTGGAAGAGAGGAAATATTTCGACTTGCCAGCGGCCCGCAAAATTGTTCTACCTGATAATGGGACAAAATACGGTTCAAAGAGCAGTTTCGTGCTGTTTCCATGAGCACTGGATCAAAATTTCATATTGTTTCCGTAGCTATAACGGTGGAAATGGAGCACGTGCAAGCCGAGATTGTGTCATTCTCAGACTGGTAGTCTAGCTGGCCAAGCATAGCTGGAACCTGTCATGCAACTTTTCTAGACCCTGACGCGCGACGCGCGGCACGATATCCTCACCAGTCGCCGACAACGACAAAATAATCCAACTGAATCAAGACTTCACAGCTTAAAAACCTTTCCAGATGACAGTTCCGACTTTGCCCCTACTCCCGCTTAATCAGATCGTCGGATTAGATCGTAAAGCTGTCAAATGTCCACTTTTTTGGACTGCCGAACACCTTGATTGGTTCGGGTGCCGATTCGACGACATCACGACAACTGCGGTGTTGCCAGACGCGGCTCTCAGTGACCATGCAAATCTGTCGAATAAGGGCAAAGACTCCCATGCAATTAAGCACCATGGCATACAGAAAGAGGTTGAGTGCCTTGCGGTGTCTAGCTCGCCCGAGATGAAAAGCTTCAGCATCAAGAAGCTCCTAGTGGGCGACAAGCTCCCTTTTAGGAAGAGCTGGTAAGAGCGGCACATGACGACATGGAGACACCAGACAGTTCCAGGCTAAAGCTTCCTTGTACAGTGCAGGCCCTGAGTTTTTCTACGCTGGCCGCCCTGTTCATCGACCCCCGTACGTTCTTTTTTATCCCCGCGGTCGACTCGACGAGCCGAACAACCAGGGCCTGCCATTGACAGGCTATATTCATTACTCGGAGATCAAGAGGCAGCGCCGCAAATATAATCGGCGTCAAAATAGATCTTGCGGCGCCCCAGACTATAAATTTTGGGACAGATTATCGCGCATAACGCCGGTGAAGTGGTCTCAAGACCCATATCTATTCTGCATATTACTCTCGATTGCGCAGCGACAAAGCCGCAGTAAACGCTGGCACCACCAGCGTCTAGAATCACCGTATAGGGTATGCCATCTATGCAATAACTTGGCTATTCCGATTTTCTAATTCAACAAGGCATGTCTTCTGGTGACGAACGAGTCCGACTGCAGATTCATATATCTATTTGAACTCTCCGTTATGTCGGAACACCTCAAAATCTTCGAAAGGCCGGACTTGGCGAGGACTCCTACGATTTGGCCGACCATTAAATGTATTAGCATTCCCTTCGAGCCTTGTTTCAATTTTCAGTCACGCATCCTGGCTGCCTTCGGAGACCAACCAGAAGGATCTCGTCCTGGTGGTATTACTAAACTAGCCACTAATAAACGTGACCACAGCCCAGAAGTTGATGAAAGACTCAGCAAGAGGCCAATGGTTGAACATGATACTGTCACGTTATGACATTCATTGTTAACTAAGCTTGTTTTGCAAAATTGTTAATTGTTCGTTGTTGTGCTGTTGCAGCGCAACGTGACAGGGGATGGGCGCCGTTTGGCCAACCGGCAGTTCACGTCGACGAATTCAACCGGGATAAAAAGATTCAGATTCTACCTGCATACACCCAGGATGGAATTTTACACGCAAAGATCTATCGAGGATCTACTGATAGTGCTGTCTTTAAGGAATTTATTGAAGAGCTACTACCGCTCCTCGGCAAGCTCCCTGCTCCAAAATCTGTCGTTGTGATGGATAACGCGTCCTTCCATCATTCTAAAAGGATCCGGCGAATGTGTGCAGCGGCTGGAGTAAGAATACTGTTCTTACCACCATATTCCCCCGATCTCAATCCCATTGAGGAGTATTTTGCTGAGCTGAAGAGATTCATCAAAAAGCAATGGTTCAAGGAGAATGATCATACTCAGCCGTTTGATACCTTTTTACGCTGGTGCGTTTACCAGGTTGGAGAGCGACGTGAGAGTGCAGACGGTCACTTTCGCCACTCTGGGATCACTATTAGATTTCACAATAGGTAGAATACGCACAAAACAGCAAATAGTCAAGGTTTTAGTCCATCTTCATCAAAATAATAGACTACAAATGCCATGGCCTCCATTACTTCAATGTTTTCAATCCTAGATACAAGCATTAAGTCACAATGTATTTGTCGGATAATGCCCCTGGAGACTGAAGTCGCAGAGCTTGGTGTAATTGTAATGGCTGGATGTCATAGCGTCGGCTATCATGACCAAACTTGGCCGAAAGTTAAATTCGGACGAAAGGGAGTTTTTTGGTAGTAATAATTTCGGTCTCGACAGTAAGGTGGGAGATTTTAGTATGTATTGGATGTCAAGTAACTACGAAGTCCTGTAATTGGTTGGGCCGTATGAATAGAAAAGCCAAGGCGTCTGTCGGAAACGGGCTAGGAGCAAGTGTTGATCCGGGCAGAAAGACAAACCAGTTGACGTCTATTGTTTGCAACAGTCAGATGACTGATGTACATCGAGGCCGACACCCGGACCACCATTATACTTAGGCAGATGCCCTAGAATAGAGCCATGGCCTCTACAAAATAACGATACTATTAGTAAACAAAAAAAAAAGTTGACAGCCATTCGTCTCCCGCAGCACTCGAGCCAAGGTGGAGGGAGACGCACGAGACGAGGCAGGCAACCCGAGGGAACGCCTCGGTCAAGACGGCTGTCTGTGCGGTAATCAAGGGGCTGCGGGGGATGCAGAGGCCAATCTCCGATCCGGCCCACCACCCTCAAACGAGAGTTATGAGACAATAGAATATCCCATTCCGGAGAGGCCGCAGGCGGCAGGACCAGGCCGAGAACTTTGGGAGGAGACGCGGAGTCGGGGCCCGACGGAGGCGAATGGATGCCATCTGGCGTCGACTGCGTCCGGGATCGGGCTTCGGAATCAGGCGTCGGTACTTGGGAGCATTGGGGAACATTGAACCACGGGAGGCTAGCCGCTTCGGGAACGGAATGCTCGCATAGCCCGCGTAGTAGTACACTTATCTTGGTCCATCTTGATATGTATGAAGCTGAACTTGGGGCGGATGTTCTGCTTGCTCCCGCGTGCCCCAACCCACGGAGCAAGGCGGCCCATAGTGTAACTTGGGAGTGCGATTGGGCTGAATTGGGCGTTGGTTTTGTGATTTTTTTTTTCCGGATCTTTCTGCGTCAAGATGGTTGTCACACTTGACGGACGGCGCACCAAGGCAACTATGCATCTGTGAATGACGTGCGCACCGGCCAAGGGACCTACGTAGTGCTACAATCTAGAGTCCAAGAAGTGTGTACAGTGGCGCTGTAGTATATGTATGCCGTGAGTGGGGGTCCAAGGGCAGCGCGGGCAAAAAAAAAGGGACAATATGCAGAGCAAGTATGGAGCATATAGTATATAGTATATACTAGTACGCAAGCACATGCAAGTAAGTATATACCTGGGCACTTCCCCCTTGGACAGCCCGAAAAACGAACCAAAGCGGCCACATAGGCTCCCATTGTCGTCAGAGCGAGCATCCAGCCCATCCCTCCTGCCCCGTCTATTTCCGTGACCAGCACCTGCCCGCCCAGCATGATCGGACGGCTGGCCGCGTTTTGGCACGGCTGCCCTGCCGGACTCAAGGAGGCGTACACCAGCTTCGCGGTGCAGAGTCTCATCGCGCTCGCATACTCGCTGAACCGTTACATCGGGCACGCGGCCTCCCGGCCGGGAATACGGAGGTTCGTCCCCTGGGCCGTGTTGAACCTGACGGCCACGTTTGTCGTGCACCTCGCCTGCCTGCGCGCGCTGTCGCCCGACTACCGCAGGAGCATCTCCGTGACGGGCTTCCCGACGGCGCGCGGCTTCGTGCTCGAGGTGCTCGGCTCGCTGCTCGTCTTCGAGGTCCTCTTCTACTACATCCACCGCCTGATGCACACGCGCCTCTTCTACCGCCCCGTCCACGCCATGCACCACCGCATGACGGACAAGGTCTGCCTCGGCGCCTTCTACGTCCACCCGGTGGAGTTTCTCATGGTCGGCTTCGGCGCCTTCATGGGCGCCGTCGCCCTGACGCGCACGCACTTCCCGACCATGCTGTTCCTCGGCGTCGTCGCCGAGCTGGCCGGCCTGTACTTCCACGAGCTGGGCGAGGTGTCCGGCGTCATGAGCCACGAGAGCCATCACGTCCGGGGTGCCAAGAACTTCGGCTCCATTGGCTTGATGGACATGCTGCACGGAACCTTTATGAAGACTTGTAGGTGGTTTTTTGCTCCGTGTGAATATGGTACATGGCCGAGTGCTGACGTGGTGTTTTCAGAGATTGCTTGTTCCTGCATGTGCGATGAAGGTGAAGGTGCGGTGGCTAGGAGACGAGATGAATATATACCGTGTTCTATATTTACGTGCGTGCCCAAACCTGCAACAACGTCAAGTGATGTAACACTGCATGCCCGCGTTGGGATCCATGTCATGTCTCACGTCTTCTTCTCGTTGCACGACCAACACGCATGTTGGCATCTCGACCGAGGGCCTGCATTCGGTCTGTGCTTCCATGTCGCTTCCATGTCCCCAACCCAGTGCCGACTTCCCCTTTGGCGCCACGCCACACCCGCGCTTTCCCAATTTGCGGGGTGGCATTTGACTTTTGAGCAACAGTCGCACTGCACTTGCCAAATTGCTTGCCTGCCACCTTCCAAATCGGTCCAGTGTTTGTTCCAGTCGTCAGACGTGAGAGCATCGTCCTCTCTTTTATCGGTCTGCCCAAGATTTGAACGACTGTCGTTTTCAAGACGTGCCAGGGATTCAGCTACTCGTGTAGTGTTCGGCGCATGAGCTTGAGAGCTCGATTAGGCTTCCGCTAGCCGTTGGCGAGTCAGTGGCCTGATATAACGACGTCAGTGACGATGCCCATGGATGGCGACTCTCAAACTGGACACGTTGATTGTTTCTATCAAGGCAAGATGATTCAGTTTCGCAAGGTCTACGTGAGCAAGAATCTCAGCCGGTTTGGACTGCATGTTTGCGAGTTAGTAAGGAACACGGACGGATGCTTTCTTTTTGACGATGCGCTACGTCGACGTTGTGTAGCGAATGGACAGTGGATGGGAGCCTTGTTATTCCTCTGGTGCCCTTATTCCATTCAATGTTCCGTTCTCACCATTTATAACGAGCTAATACCATTTCATCTACAGCCCACCAGCGTCCGGAATCGACTGTCAATATCACTGCGTACGGAGCACAACTCCACACATTGCTCGTCTACGCGTCGAGTCAAGACCCCGGCACATAAAACCCTTGGCATGTGCTTGAATAACGTAATCAAATTAGCCTGTCGTGAACTGAGTCACTGCTCACAATCAATCAATACGGACTTTGCAGCAAATTCAGACACCCCGACCCTTGTACGTTTATTAAGCATGGGTGGCCTAACAAGAAAGTGAGTAGCCATGCCAGAGCACCGCAACAGACTAGGCGACACTCCATGATAACTTGAATCGATAGGATGGCTTATGTTAAAAAATAAAGTACTTCTCTTGCCCTACACGCGAGTCATAGAAGGCGCGTCTCTCTCTCCCCCACTTACATGGCTCGTGTATCCAACCCTCCCAGACTCGGCGCCTCGTACGGAGTACAATCGTCGCAGTCTACCACGTTGAGTCATAGCTGGCGACAAGAGGCCAAGTTTTGCCAGACAGATAGGATTGTGTGTGGAGCTGCTTTCGTCCCAGTGTTGGGTCGGGCATAATACAGGAATTAATACGGATGGAATAGACCCGTATTCGGCGTTATATGTGCGCGTCAATACGAGTCGACTGCGTGTTGCATTCCCCAAGGGCGCAGCAATATGGGATATCAGCAATCCTTCACGTATCCTCTGAATCCTTCCCCCCCTGGCGTTTCGCCATCATACGACGCGCGCCCTTTAACCAGAGCCTTGCCCATCCCAAGACCCGCATTGCTCGACTCTGAGGCTATCGATGCTTCGCTTCCGCGGAATTAATCGCGGCATTATGCCAAATGCCGTTCTGAATCGCGCTTTGCCCGGTGCGCATGAAGCCTGGCTTTTAAGAGACTGGGTTGGGCTGGCCCGTGGCAAATTTGCACTCTACTCTTCAATGCTGGCTGTTTCTGTTCCATTCTCCAACCACTCGTTCGCGGCAAAGCAAGGCAATGGCCGCTGCAATACGATTTCGCTGAAAGAAGTGAGGCTTGCTGATCCATACGCTTGGCACTGAGACTGGCTTGTCGTGCCATCCCGGCCCGTCGTCAAGATGCGAGTAAGCCCCGAGCATTTCTTCCGAGTCCTTGCTCCCGCAGCCGTACTTTTATTGCTCAGCCTTGCCCTGTTGAAATCGTCCGTTCCGGTTCAATGGCCTTCTACGCCGGCCAATCTGTCAGCTTTGGAAGAGCAGCGACGGCCCTCCGGCCAGTTCGCTGGAGCGTCGAGACGGGACGCCGGGAACGGCACCTTGGGTTTCAGCGGCATCTACTTCATCAACATGAAGAAGCGGTATGATCGCCTCGACGCCCTCGCGCTGCAATGTTTCCTGTCTGGCGTAGAGGTCAAGGAGGTTCCCGCCGTAGAACCCGACATGATGAGCGACGCAGGCATGCCGCCGAGCAAATCGCCAAGCTCGGTAAAGGTAGGCGAGAGGGGAGCCTGGAGGGCGCATGCAAACGTAAGTCAAGGAAACTATACTACAAGGCGTCGAATTAATACTTTTGGCAGATTTGGTCAACCGTGCTGAGGAATAACCTCCCGCCCGTCATCATCCTCGAATCCGACGCAACCTGGGACGTCAACATCCGCAGCATCATGCTCAACATGAACAAGCACTTTCACAAATTTCTCACAAACATCAACTCAACCAGGCTGCACAACCCGCGCTGGAGAGACGACGCGGGCGAATCCGTCCGCAGGACCGAGGCGGCAGACGATACATGGCAGAGCGACCACTGGGACATCCTCAGTCTCGGGCATTGCCACGACAGCGCGGCAAACAGGAACATCAGCCTGATTTACGACGACCCGTACGTGCCGCCGGGCAAGGAGTTTGGCGACACGGTCCTCGGCCGGCAGAGGGTGATCCGGAAAGCAGGCGGCATCGTCTGCACGACCGGGTATGCCGTCAGCCAGACGGGCGCGGCGAAGCTGCTGGTTAAGACGGCCCAGAACCTCGACGCCCCCTTGGACCTGATTGTCAGGAGCATGGTGGAGGACGGGGAGCTCGTGGCGTACAGCGTGATGCCGCCCATCATGGCGCAGTGGCAGTACGTGGACGGCATCGGCATGGACGAGCGCGGCGCCAACAGCGACATCCAGGGGGCGCAGGAGGACGAGGATAAGGACGAGGGCGAGGAGAAGAAGGACTCGTGGGAGGAGGTGGACAGGTCGGGTAGTGTGTGGACGACCAAGCCTTACCATGAGGACGTGGCCTTTCAGGACATGGCTCTCGAGGTTGCGTGGCGGAGGATTTTTGGGCGCAACAACGAGGGCGAGTGACGCGTGGCTTCTGTGTCTGGACGACAAGCTTGGTCTTTTTGAAATTCGCAATTTATACCGTTTGCTTGTAATATCTTGGGCCTCGTCGTCGCCGGCGTGGACGCTCGCTAGGTTACAGCGAGTTATTGTGGACTCATCGATCGACGATTCTTCACGACCTCGTCGGAAGATACCCTTTTTTAAGACTCATCCTGCTCCGCCTTGCCGGGGTGGGGGTATACTACATCCTTTGATTTCTGGGCAGCGGGCAGAGACGTGCCGTCTACAATATAACCAAAACTTGCCGGTCTTGGTCAATGATACATGGAAGAATATGATGGAGTTACATATCATAAATGCCCTTGAAATAGACTTCCACCTATGTATATAATAAATAATCTAAATAGAGTTATTACAAACATGATCGAGAGGTGGACCATCTTATGCCGCCCGGCCAAGCTGTTTGTATCACTGCTGAGTAGTTAGTCGGTATCTATTGGATTCTAATACAAGAAAGCCGAGCTTGTCCAAAGCCGCGTTTGTGATTTTACACTGGGAAGGTCAGCGATGAGCAAATCGAGCCAACGCAGAAGATTAAATCACCTGCATGCAGTATCGACTGGCGCAACTTGGCTCGGTGCTCCTCCGAAAGAATGTTTCGACCACCAAGATCGTACAACATATTGCCTTTGATACAAACATTCCATCAATAGCCAAGGCATTCCTACGGGTTTTTATATATGTATGTATGCATATGCCCTTTGCGGGGACATCGGTGGACTGCGGAATCAACTTCATGGTTACAACTTCGCTTTCCATTGCGAATTGCTTCTCGCTTGTCCACCAGCCAGAGTCGAGTCGTGTGGTTATACGTATGATGATATTTGTTTGTCGTTGTGCTGCCCTTTCCAACGGAGGACAAAGAGCGTTCTCTGTCCCCGCGAGCTGGTGAAATTTGAAGCGCATCGATTGACTCATCCGATGCCGCCAGGTTCTCGTGATCAACCTACGTTTGAGACGTGATGGCTCGCGAGCCTGGACCCGAGGGGGAGGAAGAGGTATTGGATAAAGCCATTTAAATTGAGCGGTGTGAACAAGGTAGGTACCAAGAGTAATTGCTTGGCTGGAGGTTTTACCAAAATATGGGACAGTCTACAGCAGGACAGAAACTAGGACTTCCGTAGTCATATCGCCAAGTTTCTGTGAGAAAGGCATTGACAAGATTCTTGGAGAGAGGGATGTCGATATCATACTTGGACTTGGCCACAGTTCATATTCAGGTCGATGACGACGAACATGTAGTCATGTTATTGCCTCGTTGCTACCTATAGTAAAATGGAATGATATGGGCGCACTTTTGAATCCAACTACAGGCTCAAAGGGGTACAAGCAAAGATGGGCAGACAAGCAAGTAACAATTACCAACACAAATCACGAATCGTCCGTAATATGAGATAGAGTATGATTCCAAAATCCCCATCTTGCACAGAGTTCTTCTACTCCCAAAAATCCCTAATTAATTAGCAGTGTGCATTGCAGCTAAAATTTCCGCACATAGCAATTCCGTCGAACCCGTCCCCATCACTTGATCTCCGCCGGAAACGACTTGCAAATTAACGTCTCTCCCTTTTCATCAAACAACTGCAGTGTTACTTCAGTTTTGATCTTGGGGTAGGAACTCTCTACAGAGACTTCGCCTCTCAACGTCTGCGGCAACCCAGCTTTCCCCGGGCATTTCAGTCCCCAGTGGCTGCATGCCTCGGGAAACTTCATTGGAAAATCAATGTTGATCACACCTACCGAGGCAGCCAGCTTTATTGTTGCTTCTTGGAAGGAGCTCCGAGGGGTGAAGGTTGCCTCTATAGAGGCATTCTGGCCCGATGGAAAGCGGCAGACGGAGACGGCGTCGGGGCATCCTCCGATTTTGATGTTTATGTTTTTGGCTGTGCTTCCTGTCATTGTATTCCGGTTAGATATCAAATGGCGAGAAATGCATGTACTTTGAAGACGATGCGTGATACGTACCGCAGTCCTTGAATATAACGGCATTTACAGCGCTGAGGACGCCTAGTAAAAGGAACAGCAGGGAGCCTTGCATGTTGCAGACCAAGGTTTCGAGATATTTGGACAGGTTTAGGCTTTTGTATTGTGGAGGACAGTCAAGATGGGCAAGACGAGAAGAATCATGTTTCGAATTGAGAGAGGCAGGCACTATTAATATATATTCGACAGGTTCTGTCTGGAGGCTTTGGGAGACGGACGTGGTACCAATTGTGTTGCAAACTGCGCGGTGATGGATGTTCGAGTTTGCAATCCAAATCAGTCGAGAGCACGGCGGCACAATGGCAACCGGTGCTCACATAGAATGTAACTCTTTTTCATCTTGCCCCCCCCACCCGTTTATACCCCTTGCTCAGTCCTCTCGGTGGCATGATATCTTTGTATGTCGAGCGCGTTGAATCGCTGACTTGTCTGCGAAGCATCCTTTTCGCACGGTAATTGGCGGTACACAGTAATTCCGTATCCCATCAGCACTACCGAGTACAGGTCACACTGTCACAAACCCTCGGTGCTAGGATTGTGGCCGCGCTTTGCAAGCCCGTTGGGCATGGTGGATTGAGCAACGCTATGAAGTACTTGGCCCAGCGCAGTACATATATGCCGAAAGCAAGTTGTCTTGGGCTGGGCTGGCCAAAGCCAAGTTTTGCGACCATCGAAGGAGGTACAAGAAGATTGAAACAAACATTGAATAATGACATGGAAGAATCCCCACATCGGTGGTGCTGGGATCTAGGCTCTACGGTAGGCTCCAACTCCAACGTCCAAATGTCAAGTCGGTCCTTTCCTTCCTTCCTGATGGAGCCACGCACTTGAGGCTTAGTCTCGCTGGCTAGGCAGGCCCGGGCTAGGCAGGCCTGCACATGTCGGCACGGTGCATGGGGGCTTTTTTGACAGCACAGCCCTACAATACGCCCCGTATTTTGCTGAGCCGCCAACATTGAAGTCTAAAATGATAGCACCACGAGCGCCGCCATCAAGAATGCTCCACGCCGTTGCAGGCCAACGCTGCAGTGAGGACAAAGGACGAAACGAAAAACAGCCTGATCGGGCACGATGGTGGCATGTCGAGCTTGCCGCGTTGGGCTTGGCGATGACAGCCGGCCCTTTGGCAGCTGACGTTGGTCCACAAGGCTGCCTCCTTCCCTTCAATGTTCTCGCTTCGAACAAGGCCAACTGGTGTAACCAGCTGAAAAAGCAACCTGTCCCCCCAAAATCTTCCATCGAGCAATCCTCTCACCTCTGCATCAATATTTACGCGACTTCCACCAGTCGAGCGACGGAGACACAATTCGTCCTTGACACATGATGGATTCACAACAGCAGCGGCAGCAGCAGGCCAATGTTGCTCCCGCGCAACCACAGCAAGCCTACCATCCCGTCACAAACGACAGCATCCAGCCCGTTCAGCAGCCGAATACCGGTCACGCTCTGCCTCCAAGCTACAATCAGGCAAACCAGGCAAACCAGGCAAAAAATGCGCCCGCGAACCAGCCGCCCCAGCCAGCAAACATGGCCGTCACTCCTTTACACCAGCTGGGCAACCAGCCGGAGTGGATTGATTGTCCTTTCTGTCACCAGCGAACGAGGACTACCGTGCAGCGAGAAGGCACTTCTATGCAAATGTATGTTGCGCGCTCCATCTACCAGCCTTGCCCTACCGAATAGTGCTAATGCCGTTCTCGCACAGAATTGTCGGTGCCCTCCTCTGTATCTTCTGTATTTGCCTCACCTGCCTGCCCTGCCTCGCCGGCTGGTTCGAAGATACCCAGTACCATTGCTCCCAGTGCAGGAACATGGTTGCCATCCGCCGACACGATGGTCCAATCGAGGTCTTTGGTCCCACGATGCCCGTCTACTCCCAGTACAGCGGCAACCAGGCTCCCATGAATGCCCAACAGCAGCAGCCTCCACAACAGCACCAGGAGCAGTATCCCATGCATGTGCTTCAGCCACAGGTTCAGCAGCAACAGCAGCCTGTCACGCAGCCTGACGCCAAGAACTAAGCTCTCTCGCCAAATGGGAAACCAAAAGTGCTACATGTATGGAATTTTCATTCCTTTTCGGTATTGTGTCACCTTTTTTGTTTTGTGCTTGATGGGACAAACTAGACTCTGATATTGTTGTTAATGGTCGAGATGACGTTGGAGTTGCGGGAAGGGGGGGCCGTGGGTCGTTTGCCAGACACGGCGGGTTTGCTTTCGCCACCTACTTTTACTTTCCTATATTTGAGATACCAAATGAATTCTTACCTTTGTCCTACATATACAGTCGCGTTGCTTGTTGCGATCAAAGACTGTATCCGACTGGGTAGTTGCAGTTACAGACAAACGCCTCGACTACACTCGAGTAATAACCAAGAAGGGCCCATCATTCGCACAGCAGGAAACCTAATGGCTTGGTCAAAGACTCGAGTACACACTTCCATCGAGCTCTGGTAAAGCTAGCACTTTCGGATTCGGGGTAGCATTGGCATGCCATATCCTCCAACCCAGCCACCCCAGGCTTGACACAAACTCGAGCATCCGACGGAGTACACGACCAATTGACCAACTAGCACAACCGCTTCGATAAAACCTTCCAACCGCACCGTCGCTGTCTCCATCGGATTTGTGGCTCTTCCGCGCGGGGTCACTTGCCAGAGCTATGCGATTGCCACACGATGAAACTTTATTTCCATGGCTGGCACCACGCCACACATTGCCGAGCAATCAGCTCACATATGTACCAATAAGTGCGTCATCTCGCATCAAATCGAACCTGTTTCCAACTATGCGAGCCCTGGGGGCTGGCCAGTATTGAGCTGGCAGTTCCGACACAGCCGATAGCTATTGAAGCTTGACAAGCTCTATATAGAGGATGCGCATCCCTCGACCTGAATGAAGCCTTTGGTTCCCCCAATTGCTTCTTCTTTGGGTGTAAATCGGCCGAGGACAACGAAGCTTTTTCTAGCCAATTACTAGTCTCCTGAGAGAAAATTGTCACATCCCAGCCTCACCGTGAACTTGCACGCGAATCAACCTCATAATGGCACCAGCTGTGAAAGCAGGAATGAAGCGTCGCCATGTCGAGGACGTAGAGCCCGCGGAGGACTTTACCAACGTGTACGGATCGCACTATGCTACGCAGGACATGCCATGCGACGATATACCTGATGATTCAATGCCGCCAGAGGTTGCGTACCGCATGATCAAGGACGAGCTCAGTCTGGACAATAACCCGAAGCTCAAGTAAGTCACGCACGACCCAACTGCAGAATCGAAAAATGAGCTACACGATTCCACTCAATCCTCATGACAGAAACTAACTCGACTTTCTGCGACAGCCTTGCTTCCTTCGTGTCAACTTACATGGTAAAGCCACCAAGCCCGCATCACCAAACCCGCCGGCTAACAACCACCGCTCTCCTACGCAGGAAAAAGAAGCAGAAGATCTCATGCTAGAAGCCATGTCCAAGAACTTTATCGACTTTGAAGAATACCCGCAGACGGCAGAAATCCACCACCGCTGCGCTAACATGATTGCTAACCTCTTCCACGCGCCCAAGGACATTGGTATCGGATCAAGTTCCGTAGGTTCTAGCGAGGCTATCATGCTGGCTGTGTTGGCGATGAAGCGTCGCTGGAAGCAGCAGCGTCAGCAGCAAGGTAAGCCCGCTGATAACCCCAACATCGTCATGTCCTCTGCCGTGCAGGTGTGCTGGGAAAAGGCGGCGCGTTACTTTGAGATTGAGGAGAAGTACGTGAATTGTACGAGGACCAGGTTCGTGATTGACCCTAAGGAGGCGGTCGAGCTTTGTGACGAGAATACCATTGGTATTGTGGCAATCCTGGGGACTACTTATACCGGTGCCTATGAGGACGTCAAGGCCATCAGCGACCTGCTGGTGGAGAAGAAGTCTGATGTGCCGATTCACGTTGATGCCGCGAGCGGCGGGTTTGTGGCGCCGTTTGTTGTTCCGGATCTCGAATGGGATTTCAGAGTTGAACGTGTTGTTTCTATTAATGTTTCTGGACACAAGGTGAGCTAAACCCCCCCTTTATTCCCTCCCCAGTACCCTTCTACCGGAAACACCAATTCTGACTCTTATATCCCAGTATGGTCTCGTATACCCCGGCGTGGGCTGGGTGGTCTGGCGCTCGTCCGAATACCTCCCCAAAGACCTGATTTTCAACATCAACTACCTCGGCGCCGAGCAAACTTCCTTCACGCTCAACTTCTCCAAGGGCGCGTCCCAAGTCATTGGGCAATACTATCAACTCATCCGACTCGGTAAAGCCGGCTACCGTCACATCATGTGTAACCTCACCAAGACGGCGGACTACCTCACCGACGAGCTCCGCAAGCTTGGATTCGTCATCATGTCTGAAGGACACGGCAAGAGCCTGCCGCTCGTGGCCTTCCGCTTCGCCGGCAAAGAGGAGGGGGAGACGGAGGAAAAGGAGTTTGATGAGTTCGCCTTGGCGCACTACCTGCGCTCCAGGGGCTGGGTCATCCCGGCGTACACAATGGCCCCCGAGACGGGGCAAATGAAGATGATGAGAATCGTTGTGAGGGAGGATTTCTCAAGGAGCAGGTGCGAGTTGCTGATCAAGGATATCAAGCTGTGCAGTCAGCTTCTGGAGAAGGACAGCGAGCAGCTCATCATGAGGCTGAAGCAGCACATAGGACAGCACACTAGTGGCTCGGGGAAGATCAGGGATCCAATGGGTGCGGCCAAGGCCGTTTTCAAGGTATGTTGCGTGCTTGGGCAGACGTTGAATGTTGATGCTAATGACGCTTAGAATGAAAGTCACTCGCTCCAGGGCAAGACTGGCAAGAGTCACGCGGTGTGCTGATGGATTCATTTGTGCATCTCGGTTTACGAGTGCCTTGGTTGTGTTGCTTTGTTCAGTCGTCGTTGTCGTTGCAGTTTTGTTCCTTGTACATACCTAATAACAGTGTTTGTTCCCTCTCCACGCCCATTCATGCAGCCCGTGTACACCTCACGTACTTGACAACTCGAAACGGTATTGACTGCCGCCTTTGCTCATCTGGTTTCACATCTTCACAAACGACTCCTTTTTTTGCCTTTCATTGCACTGGAGACGTATTCACACGCTTTCCATGGCAACTATTCTACCCAGGATCAACTCTAGGATTCAAGCCGAACACATGCCTGGATTCAACTCTTTGGAAGTCCAACGCGAATAAGACCAGAACAGAGCTTCCGCCGCCTCCCTCGCAGAGCTATATAAACCCCGGCTGTTGCGCGGTAGGGCTCCCTCCTTCTGTTTCCCCCATCGCGATACTCATCGACTTCTCACGCGATCATTTGCAAATACTTCTCGACTACGATCTTCAAAATCTGCAAAAATCAAAACAACTGGGGAGCACGCCATTCTCTCCTTCCTCGAAAATGTGCACAACTCACATTTGCCAGCGGCAGTGTGTTCGATGCGAGGGATGGGGCGAACGCGATGTGATGTTCCATTGCAAAGATGCCCTAAAAAAGGCCAAGGACGAAAACAAACCCCCAACGCATGAAGGTTGTCCTCAGTGGATAAAGTTTGGCAAGAAATTTGAGTGTGGTGGTATGGTGTGCAAGGGTTGCGAGAACAAATCCCCGCCTGGACTGACTAAGAGGAGCGATGCCCCCGACGAGGAGAAAGGAAAAGAGGTTGAGGACGAGGACGAGGATGAGGATGAGGATGAGGATGAGGGTGAGGGTGAGGGTGAGGATGAGGATTGCGAACAACCTAAGCTTGTCGGTTTTTTGGAGCATTATCGGGATTACTTGGCTGCCAAGGCTGCCGAGGACAAAGAGAATTAAATCAGCCCAAGGAACGGTCAACACGGGCTTCTCTCTCATTGACACTCTACGCGAGATGAGTTGCTTCAGTCAAGACTCAATGTTCGAATTCGAATAGGTTTTTCATCCAACCAGAGCCGGCCAACTAATCCAGGATTGGCCGACAACTCTGTATGGTTTTTCCCTATGAGAATTCGTATCCGAGGTTCAGATCATATGCTATCCAGCCTGAATAAAGACATGAACCACAGCTATGCGCCAACGTGAACAACGCCTTGCCAAAGTGCCACATTGAGTTCCGACGCCAAGCTGTTCGATCCCAAATTCGCAGTGCGAGACAAGTGAACCCCCAGCATCCCGGCGATCATGGCCGGAATATCGCCTTAAAACCGTAGAAGACTCTTTGTATGAATTGCTCGGCGGGCTCACTCTTTTTGCTAGGTGCGCTCACGCACCTCCAGGTACCTAGATATCAGGCTATATTATAATATATTATTATATATTTTATTATAAGTAAATATATTTTATTATAAATTATTTCTTAAAAATATATAAGAAGAGTTTAGATATAATAAACACTTACCTACTAAGGGGGGTGAGCGCACCTAGCAAAAGGAGTGAGCCCGCCGAGCAATTCACCTCTTTGTTCTTGTCCAGACCTTTATGAACTTGGCAGTGGGACCAAAGTCCACGTCTCCTCTTTGTCTGTCTCAGCTACATTCCTGTGATCAGCTTGCCGTGCTGTTTGTAACTGATGCATATTTCGAAACAGTGATCGATACAATGAGATAAAGACAGAGAAACAGCCCCCTCACCCCCAAAGTATGTCATCGACATTCTTGTTCAAATTGTGTATCAGTTGCAAGAGACCTAGACCGAGCCGTCGCTCGAAAGCAAGCGCCAGTGAAAGAGTTCATGCAGGAGAGTGTCAAGGTCCACGGGGAGAGGTGAACTTTTTGCCTTTGGCTGCTACTACCGAGGAGAGAGAGGTTCTTATCCAGCTTCCTGCAAGGCCAGTTCAAGGGGGCTCGAGGATTCGAGAATCATAGCTTCCCCCTCTTTTCTCCCCTAGCGCTATGAATCAAATGCGACAAGAAGCACTATTGGGAGCCAACTAATATGCTTCAAGTCAACGGGTGTAAAGTGCAGCTATCGCGAATTGACAAGTTATACAGGCCAACTGTGGCGGTGCTTGTAAGGCGTGGCATTTCTCTGAAGACTAGTATCGTCGAATCTTGTAATACTGCATCATAGATTATTGTTTCTCTCTGAAGTCAAATGATATTACAAGCATGATACGAGTATCTTGTAATACTTCCCAAGTCAAACAAATGTCCAAGTTGACCGCAAGCCTACGCTACATCTTCTCGGGGCTGTGCTGTCAAGTATATATGCATATATTTGGAATGGCAGTCGTTCACTCAACGATTGCAGTGCCACAAATTCGCCTGAATAGCAGCAAGACTCACAACGTATCACGGAAAAAGGAGGCATGCAACAGGTATTGATTGAATCATCGGCTTCTGCTTACAACCAATTGTGCTGAACTTGGATAATCCCCCGGCTCGGGAACGAGTCTCACCAATTTGTATGCCCTAGCCGTGTTAAGGACCAGTCAAAGTAACACCATGCGCCTGGCCGTACCCAAGCCAAAGAACCGTAGTAAACCACGTCATACACTATAGGTACACGTATCGCGATACGTTGAAAGCTAACAAGATTAGTAATTTATGGTGGCATGCCGGCGAAGGCTATCTCGCGATAGCCTCATCCACCACGTGGAAATAAACTTTACCCATTAAAGATATAGTTCGTCCCAGTGACTCACTCTCAAAATTTAAAATGGCCGCACACAGATATATCAACGGGGTCTCGTCGGCGTTCTATGAGTCCTTTGCTCCGTCTCTCGTCACCTTCTTCTAATAATAAGAGCCCAACCCAACTACCCGTCTAAGCTCCCCGAAGCACTGCAATCTCCCACTTGTTGGCATCGGCCAACATTGGTAGTTGGGGCTCTCGTTGTTGGAGTTGAATGAAGAGAGGTGATATATAGAGAGAGGGGAAAGGGCTCATGAATGCCGACGAGACCTCGTCGATATATTTTGTGTGCGGCCCATCTATGCATCTGCTGTTAAAATATTGAAAATGAAATGGAAGCAAATTCACCTGATGGCCCAGATACTCCACCATGTCCGGATACCGCAGGACGAATCTCTCTGAGCCGGGAGACGTGTTCGGGAAATGGGGAGAGTTGCAACGCCATTGCTCGGCCATATGGTACCCGGCTGGAGAGTGATTCCTGGTCGACCGGGCCAGCTTCGAGAATAAATCCACCAGACTGCATTTTCGCTAGTTCCAACGTTGTTTCGCAGTTGGCTAATGAGCGGGGTGTTGGCGTTTTTAAGCTAGACTGATAAGTCCTCGAGAGCAGTGACTGGTGGCACGACACATCGATAACACTCGCCTTACGTGTAAGCCACTTTCAGCCAAATGGAGAAGAGACCAACGTAGCTGCTTTGTTTAGCAACTGGCAAAACCTAGTTGCCAGCCCCCACGGTGAGTGTGCGTGGGTACGGCATCAAGTCAGATGGTAGCACGCCAAGCTCCGTCTCGATTTCTGGTCTTTCTAACTGGTGGACTTGTGCGTTCCAGGTTCCCTCCAGGACTCAAGACTATGTGCATACACCGTACGGTGTACATACCCGGGGAAACGGAGGCACTGTCCCGGCTACGAGCCTCTGGGATAGTATAGCCAGCACCAGTACTGTACCGGGTATCGAAAAATATTGTCGGATTTAACGGGAAGCAAGAGGAACGGAGTAAACTGCTAGGGTGAGCCACCGGCTGGTGCATGTCGATCCAAAGAGGAGGGATTTGCCCTTGGCGGCAGCTAGACAACGACACGGCTTTTAAACCTTTATTCGGGCGAGCGCATGCATGTCTGGTCTTGATGGCGCCTGTAATTATCCCACTACTACTCCGTGCTCGAAACCGTCAACTACTCCATCCTTGGAATGAATTGCACACGAAATATGCGCCGCGTCTAGTCCATGGTCCCATCGGGGAACCATCTTGCCGTCTTGAGAATCACAAGCAGCCGCTGGAATACCCGGCCGGCCCGGTATTGCGACAAGCCTCATGGCTAACGAGGACCAGTTGACTCCACTTCTGCCGGTCCCATAACTAGAATTCATAGCAGAGGCTGCCAATGTTGCGAGTTATAGATGCCACGTACAGCTGGCCGCTATATGCGGTCCTGTGGACGCCTCCGTACGGAGCAATAAACCCGCAACATAAGCCCGAGTAGAACCCATGGACCCACGCGGTCATGGTCACGAATCGACTGACCGAGGCAGAAAGCCGTTCTCGGTGACTTGCTTGACATCTGCGTGCTATGTCACTTGTTTAGCCAGGAGAACCGGCCGGAGGAGCGCCTGGCTGCAATTCAAGAGCAGGTCGCACGAAGCTCGTGCCTGAGAAAAAAAAGAGTCGTCAGTGCCAGTCAACAGATCGACGGCACAAAATGTAGTGAGAGAGTCCTGATCGAGGAGGACTGACCCTGAATGTTGTAGCTACATGAGCACAGCGAAAATGGCCTAATGGCAGCCAGCTGAAGCTGCTGTGTAACAAGATATGTTGTATGTCGTCCAATATAGTTACACGGCTCTACGTATGACAAGACGACAAAAGACTCCTTGCCGGTAGCATTGCCAGTGGTCCGGATGCTGGTCGATCCCCAAGCAAGACTTACATCTCAGATGCAACGCAGTCATATGCACGAACTTGCCGTAAATGCAGCACACATGGTTGTAGTGGCTGCAAAGCGAGGAGACTGTCAGGTTGCTGTGAGTGGCGCTTGTCTCGAACTGTCAAGAATTTCCCCCTCGCACGAGCGGTATTCATGCCATATTCTCCCGTAGTGCTCCATGCATGTAGGAGTCGTTTTCGATGGCCACCTTTGTCGCGACCTCCAGTCAGCTTCCAAAGCAGCCTTCCGCCCACCAAAGTTCTTCGCAATGTGAACTGGACTGTGGCCCGTTGTTATCCCGTTCTCCGTAGCGTTCGAATTTGACTTTCCAACACTGACGGGACCAAAGACACACACAGCCAACTGCAATGGCCGATTGGTCACATTTCCATCTAACCAGAGCCCGCTAAGGTTCCGCCGGTGTTGGGCCCGGGTCATGTTCTACCAGATACAAAGGACGCAACCACCAACCACCAAAGGAGCCAAGCCGCGAGAACCCCAAGGAACCAGGGCAAGTCTCGTCAGTTGGTCAAGGGGTCTCCTGGCGGGCGACCAGGGGAGCAGGGGAGGTTTGATGGGCGGCGCAACGCCACCAGCCACGTTGACGGTCAAATAAAAGCCTGGCGATTTGGCTGTGAATGCAATGAATGGGTGACTGGAGACTTGGGCGGCGTGGGTCAATGCAGCCCATCATCATCATCGTGGCTCCAAGGGTCCCGAGTATCCACCCATCAATTCAACCCATCCGACGCCAAGGGACTTGTCGCCGTTCGGATATCCTCCAGCCTGATCACAGGCCCTGTCCATAGTACGACATACGTACGAGAGAAAAGGCATCTATGTTGTGCCTGTCCTAAATTACGGCCATGCGTGGCTGCCGTGTTCTTGACTCAACATGCCGGTCTGATAGTGGACGAAGACATCAGTTCTCTGTCCGTCAAGCCAAAGGCACAGGACCTGTCTGGACTCTATTTTCCGTACTGGTGAACCCCGCATGGCACCACATGAAAAGCACATGTCAAAAGCTGGGACAATCCAAAGGTGGGCGAGTCCAATGTTGTCGATGAATTCCAGAGCTTCGGTCGCGTTTAACCTAGTGGCCAACGATGACGCTGGCGCTTTAACTCCGCGACTCTACGCTCCAAATGAGTCCACCTCATCCTTAGTTCATCGGCCGCATATGGAGAAGAAGAAAAAAAGCGGACGAACTAGTCTAAGCAAGTGATGAGGGGTACTGTGCTGTAGGGCGGCAGCCAGGTTTTGAATTTCAGTTGGCGCTCATGCAAAGCCATGGATGGGGCTTTGCGACTTGTCGGATGCGTTTTGGCAGGTGGTGGTTCAGGAAGTCGACGACGGTGTGTGGCGAGTGAGCCCAAGATATACACACTGCTTCTGGCTTGCGGGTGCCCCTCTGGCCCTGTCGGGTATTGCTTGTGGTGTTCAGATCTTTGTACGGAGTAGGTAGTTTGGCTAGGCCGCTGATGGTTGCAAGAACCGGGGTTTGGGAGGTGTGGTGTTCGGGGCGGAACAGAATGCATCGGTTGGTTGGTGGTTTCGCATGGCATCGCATGGCATCGCCTCTTGTCGCACCACGTCTTCCCGCGCGCAAGCTTATCCATCTTTCGTCCAACACCAATAGAGGCACGTCGAAGGGCCTGGCATGCAGCTTGACCGGGCGCGGGAAGACGGGCCAGCGTGGCAGTCGTGAGCCCCATCGCCGATGATGGGCAACATTGACAACATTCTCTCATCTTTCGAAAATAAAATAAAAGTAAGAAGGGTCTGGTGTGTTTGACGCTGAAGGTGCAAAGCACCGCACAATTGAGACCAGACACTAGCAGGGTTCATGGTTGGCAAGTGAGGCGGACATGGCCAGATCTAGCAAGCCGGCCGTCGTCTTTCATAGTACATAATAACAGCAGGAGGCTAGGCTGAATGCTTCTGTGTTGCAAAGAGGCTTTTCGTGATGGATGCTGTATATTTCGACTTTTGATTGTTCACATGTTTGTAGACGAAAAAGGCAGAAGATGCAAAATACCATTGGGGTTCAACTAGGGCTCGGCCACGTCCTCCAGGCAGAAGGCTCCTTCCGTCGGGAGCTTTCAAATGTTCAATGTTGCTTGTGCACTGTTGAACAAATATGTACTCTGTACTCTGTACTCTGTACTCCGTACTTGGACTGGCACGTTTTGCACAACCAAAGCAGCGCAGTGGATAATTTCCTCGTTTGCGATATTATTCGCGCACGAGGTCCAAGGAAGCACTGCATGGACGAAAATGTCCACATCCACCAGGTGTTTTCCCGATGACGGCAAAAGCGTCGAGAGGAGAGGCGGGAGCTGCGCGGCCAGACAGCAGCGAAAGGACAATTTTGCCACTTGTATTTTGGTCATGTTCGGCATCAATCGATCGATGCATGGCGGGAGCGCTCACGGCCTGGCATAGCAGAATAACTCGGTAATAGCGGAGGATACCAAGCGTCAAAGAGTCGAGCCAAGAGGGCCCTGGGGGCATCAGGACCCGCCGCGCGGCCGGACTTTCGGCGAGTCGTGGGACACATACTCGGCACTCTGGCCGCTGGCTTGCGCCTGGACAAGTCGATGAGGTGTGAAGCCGGCTGCGAGTAAAGTGACACATGCAAGTCGGGGCATCTGGGCGAATTGACCGCGGTGTAGGCAGTATCGGGCATCGCAGATGGCGGCAGACCAGCGTCAGGATGCAATAATCAATTGAGGCGGCGTGCACAAGTGCGCTGCCGGGCTGGGTGCTGGCTCGGCGGGTAATGAGGTAATAACGGGTCTGGTCTGGTGCTGCTGTCGGCCATATTGCGGGCTGGTCCCTCCCTGGTCTCTGGTTGACTGCTCAACGCGCCCGCTGCCAGTGTCCGCCTGCGCGGTCAATCAATGGCTCTTTGAGTGCTGACATGGATCAATGCCAAAGACGATGCCGCTCAGCGCTGCTGGGACTGCCGCCCGCCTAGTGCCCACATGTCAGGCTGCACAAGGTGCACAGGCTTGGCTGCACAAGCCGAGTGCGCACATGAGGTGAGTGCGTGAGTGGCCGACTGTGGGCGACCGAGTGACTGGCCGCCATTCCGGAACTCTCCGTCATCGCTCCAGCCTGGCCCGGCCTCCAATCTACAGTCAATCTGGCCCATCTGCACCAGACGTCTGCAACCAGTCTCAGACCCGAGTGTACATGGGTACGGAGTACTGCAGACTCCTACCAGACACTGGAACCAGAAGCGTCTCCTCCAGCCAGCCCCGGATACCGAGCAACGGACCAGACTACGTGCCACCGGGTGGCCACCGGGCGCCCAGCTACACACACTCACCTGCGGCCGCTCCTGCCTGCACATGTGTGCCTGTGCCGCTCTCGTCTCCTCCCGCTCTCTCGACTCTTGTCTTTTGCTTCACCCTCACCTCGCCTCATCCCAAACGCCCATCCGCCTCGCGACGTCTCTGACCGCTTCAGGGCCTGTCGTCGCCATGGATCCCACCATGACAGAACACGACTTTCGATTTCCTCGCCGGCCCCATCATCCGGGCCTTCGTGGTGGTGCCGACGACGACGATGACGATGGGAGCGCCGCCCACCAGACCCGCGGCCTCGACGCTGCCGCCTCCGAATTGACCCAGGCCGTTGCCGTCGCCAACAACAAATTGCTCGGCGGCGCCTTGTTTCCATCCCTCGATAACGCCGGCGCCGACTCCTCCGTGTCCATTGACCAGCTTCACCGCGATGACCCGCTCGCCGCTCAGGTCTGGAAATTCTACACCCAGACGAAGCTGCAGCTGCCCAACCAGCAGCGCCTCGAGAACTTCACCTGGCGCTGGATGGCGCTGAACATGCGCAAGCAGAAGCAGGATGATGAAGCTCGTCAGTTCACGGACCAGCAGACCGGGTACGTCGTTTTTTATTTATACAGTCGCATGCACGTGAAACCACGCTCGAATCCCCCGCAACCGCCATTGTCCCTGCGTATTGCATCATCCTTGCCGGTCCGGTTTGGCTAACACGAGGGCTTTCCCATCTGCCCGCCCCGGCTGTCCAGACATAGTCGTCCGGCATCACACAATGCGCCCAGCGGAATTGCCCAATTGCGAAAGACTTCAGAAATCAATGCCGCCACCGGCGCGGACGCCATGAATCTCGACGATTTCATCTATTCTGAAAATGTCGCCACCCCTTCGGGTCTCATGTCCCCGCCGCCGGCTCCCAGGCGTGACGATGCATCCCCCGGTGCAACGCCGGCTTCAGGAATTCCCATCAAGTCTCGCAAGGGGTCTTCTTCCAACCACTTCGTCCCTCAGTCTGTACCCCAATACCAACGAACTGGCAATAACGAATTCAACTACGTCCAACGACACCATCGTAAAACCAGTATTGATGAGCGTCGTGTGAGTGCATGCCCCCCGTCCTGTTCCGCAAAGTTTGATCATCTGTCATTGTCCCTGCCATGGTCTGGATGTTTGAGTCTTACATGTTGCAAATGCTCTTTGTTTTTTTTTTTTTTTATGTCTATTATCTTGACTTGCTTTCTTCAAAATCAACCCTGGCCTGCCTGGTGTGATACCTGTAGTCTCTGCTTTTGCTGCATTCATTTACAGCATCACCATGACTGACTTGATGATACACAGAACCGGAAACGTCCCGCCAACTTCTCACCGCATGTGCTCGCAGTCAATAGCAGCATATCAGGCGGAGCCTCCAATCTGGAAGCTGATTCTGAGTTTCAGGGATATTCACTCAACAATACTAATTCAGTTACGATGCAGCAGCTCACACAAGGCGGCAATTCCGCAGTTCCTTTTGGTCTCGATACCTTCATGGACAACGACGCAGTCATGAACCAGGCGGCACAATTTCAACAAAATTTTTCATTTTCTCCCTCCAGTTCCCCAATGATACCCCATGGTCCTTACTCCAACATGTATAATACTAGCTCTTCGGTTCCGAATTCGTCTCTCAACAATGCTGACCTATATTCGCCAACCGAATCGGCCTATCAATCAACCGTCTCCACCCCTCTGGCCTTGCCCGACAATGATGGCTTGTATTTTGGTTCTCAGGACAATCGTCAGCAGCAGCAGTCTCAAAACATGCGACAGCAAACTGTTCAAAATATGGCCAACATTGGCCACAACCAACAGTTCATGTATGACAGTTCCCATAACGGGAACCAGATATATTCTGCCCCTGATACAGAGTCCGGGCCACTGTCCGCCTTTAGTACTGCTCCAAGCTCCTATAGTCACATTGACCCGAACCATGTATTCCAGGCCGACAGCCAGGTCGCATCGCCCTCTGTGGCCATGAGACCAGAGAACATGTTCTCATTTGGCGCAGACTCCGATGATGAGGACGGCGGTAATGGTATGCAAGGGCAGAACATGCAAATCCATGGTGATTTTTCATCGTCCATGGATGACGTAGGACCCATGGGGTGGGACGCCTCTCTTCCAGGACAGTTTAGCACACAGGCTGCTCGGTTCCCCGGCGGGCCACCGCGCAAGCAAGTCATGATTGGTGGTACAACGACTGACTATGTTGAACACAATGGCGAGTGGGAGAACTCTGGGTTAGAACGGTCGCAGTCCTTCAAGGCCGGCAGTGACAAGATGCAGCAAAGACTTCCTCGGACAGCATCAACCCCGTCGCACATGGGTGCCAAGCACAGTGGCTTCGAGCAAGTTGCCCAGAGCTTACCTACGTCCCCGGGTGACGCTGCGCCTGGTTCCATGTCAGGCTTCTCTTCTGCTGCTCCGAGTCGCCCGTCTTCTCCTCCCGGCTCCAAACATGGCTCATCAGCCAACTTGCAGGTTGCTGGCGGCAGCCAGAACGATGGTGGTGCGCCAACAACTTGCACTAACTGCTTCACACAGACGACTCCTCTATGGAGACGAAATCCCGAGGGCCAACCTCTCTGCAATGCTTGCGGGTTATTCCTCAAGCTTCACGGAGTCGTTCGACCCCTGAGTTTGAAAACCGATGTTATCAAGAAGAGAAACAGAGGTTCGGGGCCCAATGGATCTGGCGGCAGCGTGAGGTCAAGGAAGAACCCGGCCGGCTCAACAGCCGCATCTCGCAAAAGCTCAACCTTGTCCATGGCAACCGTGTCTGCAAGTAGCACCAATCTCAATACCACCGCCAACGCCAACAGCAGCAGCACCTCGCCTCCTGGCGGCCGAAGCGTCCTGCCCAAGGACAGCGAAAGCCCTGTAGCTACAAGCGTGGGCTCTGGTCCTAACACGGCCGGCAGCACTCCAAACAGCCATTACGGTAACATGGGCAATACCGCTGCTGCGGGCGGCAAAGGTGTTGTTCCCATTGCTGCAGCTCCCCCCAAAGCAACCCCGGGGCCCGGGGCCTCGTCGTCCTCGCGGTCTGGACAGGCGTCGGCTTCATCCAAACGACAACGCAGGCATAGCAAGAGCGTCGGGACTGAAGCTACTTCGGGTATGGAAATTGACAGCCCCACTGAAACATCGTCACCCGGCGACTTGTCACGATCCATTGGCCATCCTCCAAGCATGTCCTCCATTTCCAGCACCATGCTCTCGGGCAGCTTCGGGATGGTGCCTCAAAGAAACCCCATGGCTCACGGCGGCATGATTCAAATGAACCACCATCAACCTGGTGCTGCTCAGCATAGCGCGGGGGGCCCTGCGACGGGACCCCAGGAGTGGGAATGGCTAACAATGAGCCTTTAATTTCCAATTGCCTAGCACGGACACGGGGAGTGCTAGCTTGCGACTAATTTTTTTTTTATATGCTGGAGCAATGGATGAGAGAGCATGTGGAACATACCTTGGGATCACTCTAGTCTTTCAAGAGGCGTTGGGGGAGGGAGGTATATTCGGGCCCCACGGTGGCAGGCTATTTTCCAAGCCTTTTTCTTTTTTTCTTTTTTTTTTTTCCAAGGAGTTCTCGCTTGTCGAGATTCGATCTCGTTTTTTGATATTTGTCGACTGGTTTTGGCCCGACGGTTAGGATTTATTTAACATAGATGGACGGTACGGATTGGTATTGGTTACGCACGACAGGCGGGTGGGTGGGGAGGACGGCAAAGCAGATATGTACGAGGCATCTGCCTAGTGGTATTTGTGTTGGCTGGGTGGGCTGGCTTTGATGTGTTTCTGATTCCCCTTTGAGCACGGTGGGATTGTTATATCTTTGGAGTTTGTTCAGACAGTACATAGATGGTATCGGGGGCCGATGCGCTCGAGCTCGATGAATACGGCAGATTCGTTACGCACACAGTATCATGATTATTTTGATCTCTTTCACGCCAAGTGTTGCATTGTTGTATACGTCGGTAGATGTGAGTGAGGATGTATGTGCACATGGTCAACTGCCACATGCCGTGTGGGGTGGATAGGCTACGGACTCAAGTACTTAAGTACTTAAGTACGGACTTGCCAGACAACCAACGTCACGACATGCACGGCATGTCATGTCATGGGGCGAAAGCGCCTCTGCTTAAGTTCATGCATCAATTCTCTACCATGGCATGCAACAAAAACATGTAATATAACAAGACCAAGCAAGCGGGCAACAGCAAAGAAACGAAAACCCTCTCAAGACTGACGAATACCCTCGTCCTACCGCATTAGCCATTGAAAAAAAAAAAAAAAGACGACCTCCCTGCACCCCAGCATGTTTGCAATCCCAGGGTGCCAGAAAACCGCGTACTACTTGCAACATGGACCATATTTTGTAATCCCGTCGGCCCAGCCAACCAACCCTGTTGTACTCCCCTAGCCCTTGTTCGTGGTCCATTTCACGTCTTTCCCGCCCTTGGTTTTTCGTAGCCTCGTGTAAAACTCCAGACACAGATCTTATGCCAACATACAACATAATACGAAGCCACAGCGTTCCAGCATCGGACGCTTCATTCACATTCTTCCGTATACAGCATATAGCGGAAGCAATTCTTCTTTACATCCCATCATTGAGCCGCTTGAGACAACGTACCAGCCCATTCTCGGCTTACAGCATCACCCTCTGAGTGGCACACACACGCCAGTCTCGACTAGGACTCCACCGCTCGTTCTAGAGCATGGTCCCAAATGTCTCGTTGTCTGAGATGGGAATGCGCTTCCGTGGACTGCCACCATCCTCATTGGCGGGTTTGCGATGTCTGAAGGTAAATCCAACAAAGAGGCTCTTGCTCATTTCGTCGTCACGCTCAGCCATTTGTTCCAGGGCCTGTTGCTTTTCATGCACTTCCTTGTATTTGGCCATGTCTGATTCGTTGCTGAAGTCGTCAAAATAGCCAGCATCCGTCTCCGAGTCCAGCTCCGGGACGAAGGGGGCCCTGGTCTGTCTCAGGGTTGCCCAGTCAACTTCAGCAAAGTACTGGTGGTTATAGATATCCTGAATATTCGAGAACCGACGAGTACGAGAGTTGATGCAACTAATTGCCATGGTTAGTGCCTCTGTTGCGTTGAAAGACAACTGCCACGAAATTCATGATTACGACTCACGTTGTAATAAAGTTCCAGGTGCGGTTGCTGAGGAAGTAGTTGGGGTCTTCCCAGACTGGTCTCTTCAACACCTCCTTCCAATGCTTCAAGTTTCGCCACGTCTCGTCCGGTACAGCTCCGGCAAATGGGGGGAAGCCAGTCAGAGCCTCAAAGAGCATGCAGCCCAAACTCCAGTAATCTACTGTGTAGTCGTATTCCTCGCCTCGAAGGACTTCGGGCGCCATGTAATCGGGGGATCCAACAATAGATTTTGCATAATTGACGTCATTCTGTCGCATGTTACGGTAACTTTCACGACGCTCTGCCACCGTTCGCTGATCCATAGGCTTTCCAAAGGGTACAGACGTTTCTGAAGCCTCCTCCAGCTTGATTCGCATAGACTCGATTCTTGAGGGTGCCAGGACGCCCGCGGCCAGGCCGAAATCGGTCAGCTTAACGTGGCCAGTTGAATCTACCAGGAAGTTTTCTGGCTTCAGATCTCGGTGAATATAGCCAAGTTCGTGGAGGGCATTAACCGCACAAAACATCTCAGCAATGTAGAATCGTGCGTGTCGATTGGACAAGACACCCGTGTTGTTAAGCAAGGTGCGGAAATCACCGCCAGGCACGTACTCCATGGCAAGATAGATACTCTTGTCGTCTTGGAATGAATATAGCAGACGAACCAACCATTCGCTCTGGGCGGTGGTGAGAATGTCTCTTTCGGTAAGGACATGGCGGACCTCGTCGAGCTTGAAGAGGAGCTTCTTGCTCATGACCTTGAGAGCGCACACCTCACGGGTGTCCTTCTTTTGAGCAAGGAAGACTTGACCATAGCCACCCTGACCGACTTGTGTCAAGATCTGGAAGTCGCCGTGGCGAAGTCTCACGCGTCGCTTGCGAAGGTTGGCTCGCTCGCGTCCCGTGTATTTAGTCCACAATTGGCTATGAGTCTGCTCGTCGGTCTCGGGGGGCTCGGGATATTCGGCCTTGAAAGCAGCCAATCGATTCTGCCTCGAGCCAACGTAGGTGAGAAGATCAAAGTAATAATCGAGGAAGTCTGGACAATTCTACTGTTAGCCTCGTCCAAAAGGTCTCTCACACTGGCCGTGTTCATGTTTCCTACTCACATAGTTGGGTAACATTAACCAATCTCTTGACACCGGGCTTTTGCAAAATCTCTCGCTCTTCAGCCGTCAGGCCTCTTGATGTGTTGAACTTCTTGTATGAAGTCATTGGTCGATCCCTAGTCTCATACAGTTGCTGGCGGGACTTGGCAGCATGGCTGTGCTGAGCGGGAGAATCAACCATTGCCAACCTAGACACAGGCGGTGTGTTTTCCTGGCCTTGCTTCTTTAACGGGCTGCCTGATGAAGTCGTCACCTTGTGGATGACACTCTCGTCCACATTGATGCTGGACTCGTCGATGGGTTGAGCGTTTGTTTTGCCAGGCGAGAGCGGGGTGACTACGCTCTGCGGCCGAGTAAGCTTTACAGGCGCGTCGAGGCCGGACGAATTGAGCGACATGGAGCTGTCAAAGGCAGACGGAAGATCGTGCGCACCGGGTGGAACGGTCTTCTTGCTAGGGCTGCCTTGTGGCGTGCTCGGCGGATTGATAAAACTGTTGTTGTTGACCTTTTTCGTTGGCGTCACGGGGCGGGGAGAGTCGTCTCCGGACACTTTGTCCTTGCCGCCCTGGAAGAAATTGGACATGAAGCTCGCCATGATTGAAGCGGCGGTCGGATTTATTGACGAGTCTGGACAATAGAGAAGCAGGGAGGGAAGCAGATATCAACAAAAAGACTCCCCTACTGGAAACGACACGATCAGGCTGCTCGTCTCTGCCCGACGTCAGGTTCTCGACTTGGCAAGCTAAGACTGACTAGACACGGCCACGAGCAGAAAAAAACTGCTGGCTGCTGTTTACTGTCGTCACTTTGGCTAGCCTGCGGGGTGAAGCTGGAGGCGAGAGATACGGATGCAGGGCCAGATTCGATGGCTGCAGGAGGAGCCGAGCCGGCGGGTGGTCTTAAGCTGCCCTCGAGGCGCTCATGCATGTCATTGGGTTGTGGCTTGGCCAAAGTCAACAATGTTGCAGGGGCAACAATCGCACCCCGATCTCCTCCCACAGCCGGAGTTCATCCGACGGTTCGTTGTGTCGACCAAGGGCACATTCCAGGCTCGTTGGCTCGGCTGCTGGAAGTTGACTGTCGATTCCCATGATCATTTCAGGTCTCATCGCACAGTCCTGGATACCTTTGCATGTACTTTTGTATCCTCCATGCATTTTTGAGCGTTACAACTACTACGTACTTAAGTACCTAGGTATATATACCCGTTCTCCGTATGCAGCTTGGATTGCAATTGGCGGGGTGGGTTTCCTAACATCGTAGGACCATTAAGCTGGAACTAGCACATGACGGTGCCAACTTTGCTTCTGACGGTGACGTGCATCCCACCAGAGGTCACGATGCGTTCCTTTGTAAAGAGAACCCAGGCTATATTATTCGTTGTCTGACTGTTGGAATGCAACGGACCACAACCGAGGACTGGCCCATCATTGCCAAAAACTACCCTGTACGACTCCTTTGTTCGGCATGACTAGGATAACTTTTTACAGGGTTTGGCAGCTTGGTAACCTTGCGGACCACGCGCAAGCTCGGATTTAAACATCTGACCCCATTCACAAACATCTAGCGTTCCTCTGGACCCATCCCGCTTCCAATATTGACGTACTCGGTGCCACTTTATTCTGGCGGTTTCTTCCCACCCACCCATCTAATCTTATCAATCTCCCCACCCACCTTCCCAGCATCACTTGATCAAACCAGGTGAGCTCAGATATAGTCGGGGGTCGGTTCCCCAGTCGCACCACTCTCGGCCAACAAAGAATTTTAACCCCCTCATACCACCTCATACCACTTCGGACATTCAAATCCTTTGTCAGGGCTCCGGACTCCGTTCTCCTAGCAGTATAAATATCGCGCCGGAGAACCTGCACCCCACGGGAGAAGGCACACCGTCGACGTCCTGTCGTGCATCTACGTGTCCCTGTACTGTTTCACCCAAACCTAGCGTGCAATCACATGCGCCAAGGCCCTCCATCACCATGAAGCTGCTCAACACCATCGCAGGCCTCTCCGGCGTCGTCGGCGCCGCGCAGACGCCACTGTCTATACTGGACAACTCTGCCGACTCGTACAGGATCCCGAGCAGCTACGAGTCGGCCGTCATGGGCCGACGCGTCCTGGCCCTGACCAAGCTCGGAACACTGTCGACCGTCTTCCAGCAGACGTCTACGCATGAAATCCGCCCCGGCGGCATGGAGGGCCAGCCCATCGGCCTGATGGACTACGTCGCCGACTGCGAGGACGAGGGCAACCCGACCATCCTCGCCATCAAGATCGGCACCAGCTTCAAGAACGTCCGCGCAGGCTCAAACATCACCCTGTCCATGAGGTGGACGCCTCCCTACCCGCCGGCCAAGCGCCTGTCCCTCCTGTCTCGCCTGGCGGCCTGGGTGCCCTTTCTCCCGCGGCACTGCCCACACGATTCTGAGCGGGAGCACACGGAGCTCCCCGACACGGTGCCCTACTCGGCGGCCAACCTGCCGCGATTCTCTCTCTTTGGCTACCTGGAGGAGATTAAGACAGACGGCAACAAGGCCCATGAGCTGGCTTCTTGCTACACGGCCAAGCACCGGGATGCCAAGTACTGGCTCCCGGGGAACCCCATTCACACGAGCGAGTGGATGAGGCTGATAGTGACGCACGTGTACTGGATTGGAGGATTCGGCGACAGAGCCTACATTGGCTGGATTCCCGTAGAGGAATGGAAACGGGTGACCAAGGAGGACTGGCAGGCGATTGAGCTTCCCGGCGAGAAGAAGGATTGGGATGAGTGGCATACTAATCAGTCTGAAGAGCTTTAGTGTGCTCTCTGATGATGTGAACGTCCCGAGGCTAGATTGTGAGAAAACGAGACGTCGCGACGTCATATTTGCCCTACGCAGCATTATGAGCACTGTCATTATCCATAAATTCCCTTTTGTGTTTTTAGCAATACTGGACAGATGTATTCCGTAGTTTGCGCATTGAAACGAAGCAGCATTTCGCACATCTCCCATATTCAGCTTCCGTATCACTTTGGTCTGTGGACGGTGATGGCGGCTCGCAATGTTGTGGGCCCACTATTCATGGAAGACGAAATCAGTCTTCGAGAATATCACCACAGAAAACACAACATGTAGTCGCCGAAATTTCGTAGCTTGTGTCTTCGTATTGTCGGGCTCAAGCGAACCCAGCAGGCCGCGCTGATCCCCGTCTTATGCAAAATGCCTAATGGCTTACAATAATTGGCTCTACCCTCATCTAGACAACTCTGTGGAAGACTATTTTTAAGAACCAACCAACATCATATGCGGTCAGCATCCGCGCAGCTGGGCACAATCCAGGCACGTTCATAAACAGTAGCTATCGTGCAGAGGCAGATGAAGAGCATTACACGTGCATGGCATCTATGAAGAATCAATCTGCAGAGTACTCCGTACCACCACACGGGATTCTCTACCCGGCCACCCAACAAAACCACGGGCATCTTGTTCCGTATGTAGTACGGAGTAGTACTACATATAAATCCATAGGTCTGTGCCCTGCATTTGCGAGAAAAAGCAAGCAATACTCCCTAGATGCACGTTTCGAACGGCAGTGGATGTCCTGCAAAGATAACGACCTGAGCTCGCTTCTTATGGCAAGGGTGATATCATGGTTTGGGTGGTGGCGCCGCTATTGTTTCGCTGGAAGCTTCCGTGTCCCGTTCGTCTCGAGAGGTTGCCAGCGTCCATGGCTGAGACAGCTTATGCTAGCATCCTTTCACAAATGGATCTTGAGATTTGCACCTTCAAAGACATTTCCGAGGGGGCCACAAAATACTCCGTATATTTGCCGGAGATAACGTCTCGGGGTAAGATGGTGCGGACCAATTGGGATGGCGATGATGCACCATGTTGGCCGGACGCCTCGCCTCAATAGCCCGCGACACCGAATTTCTTTCCCCGTCAAGTGAAGGGGAATCATGAGCACGCACCACTGCTCTTGGAGAGGCATTACTTGCAACTCTCATGATATCTTAACTTGGAATTTGAATCATCACCTGCATGGCTGCCGACCTAGACACTTTGCTTCAACGCCAAGAGGCAAGTGGCAAGCATCTTCCATCTGCACCGAGCGAGCCCAACCGACACACGTCATGCAAAGTACTCCGTAGTAGTCAGCAAATTACACACCAGCCCTCTTGCCATGCACTGTACTCCACAGTCGGTCCAAGTACGGAGTATTCCGTACGTGTATGTTTCTGTGAGAGCGGGTTGCAGCAACGACCCTGGGGCTTGTTTGCAGTCGGCTCGAAATGCAACGCTGGGAGGTAGACCTGCGTTTGGCCGCAGAGCCAGCCTGGCAAGCCACGAACTTGAGTCGCAGGGCCAGAAGTCGGTGATGAATGGGGAGGGGGCGTGCTAAGCGTGGCAACGAATGACAGATTCCCGGCGCCCGGAGCTGATGGCGAGTCGAGAGTCAAGAGTCGAGAGTCGCCTTTGTCCGCGGCGGTGGCGGCGATTCTGACAAACCATCGACATTGGCAAGCCCCGGTGGCACAACGTCTTGACGGGGGTAAAGCTTGGGTGCTAAGACTGGGGACCCCGACAATTTCTCGACCTATTACGGAGCACTCCGTAGTGAAGGCGGCAGAAGGAATTCAACATCACAAGGTTAGACGTTGATAGTCAAGAAGCTGGTTTGTGCAAGATGTTTGCTCCCAATGGCCGCGGCGCATCTAGTTGTACGTGTTCAGCTCCGAAACGTGCTTGACAGGACCACCCCTCGGAGCTTTGGTTCTTGTGGTGGGAGGCAAAAGATCTGTAGCCACCGCACGGCATTGTCTGCACATCTTAGGTACGTGGCGATAGGCAAACATGCCCTAGGTAGGTATTTTGCCAGAGAATGCAGCTTGACAATAGGCCGGGTTCGGGAGCCGGCAACCTAACAACTTCGGGCGGTATTCCAATACTGTCTGTCTCTCTTCCAATGGTGCCCTGTCCTCTCTCTCCCTTGCCTCAAGTCGCACAGATGTCGGCATTCGAAGTGGATGATTGAGTCGTGTGGCACTTGGGAGATGACACGCTACTTTTAAAAAAGTGTCCTTTGTCCTCGGTGGTTTTAGTTTTCAGACTGTTACTGCGTACTCCGTATACTGTTACTGTTCCGCCGTCTCTTTCCCCCGTTTGGCGACGGATATTCTGCAGATCGACCGCATTGACATTAACTGGCGTCTCTGCTAGCGGCGGATGGAAGTATCTCCTTGGGCCGGTGTTTGAGAGTTCAGAGCGTATTAGTATTTGTGTTGCCGAGGAGGATGCTGGACACTATCACTAGTATTACTCCGTAGTTATTCCATGTACGTACGTACACGTACATACAAGGTTGTGTACGTGTCTTGGTCTAGTTGCCCGTGAGGAATGATATCTGTCATGCAGTCTCTAGATGCCTGGTGGGAGATTAGCTCGGCAGCGATTCGATTGGGTGTGACAGCAGGCTCGACGTTGCAGGGGAATTCTCACTTGCGCAGTTGGTCCATAGTGTCTGCCGAGAGGAGTCGATGGGGTCATCTCGCTCCGGCCTCATCATGGCTGTTCAACAGCCATGGAAGCCTTCAAGCCTTACCCTCTCGCGGAATCTCGCGTGTTCTCGATACTCCCAACTCCGCCAGGTTCCCCAGCCACCCACCCTCACACCACTCTGGGTACCACCTAGGTAGGTACGTACGTAGTTGGTTATGTGTTCCTTCATTTTCGGGGGAGAGCACTGCTTGGGCCGAGTGATCCTGTCGGTGCGGCCGCTGTGTCCCTCTGTCGGTGTCACCCAGGTTACCGTTCTCCAACTCCGGTCGCTCCCTGACCCTGACGGGCGCAAAGACAGCCCAAGACGCCCAAGTCCACAAGTTTGGGAGCCCACACCCACTGTTCCTGCCACACGCCACCTGAGCCGTGGACGACTGGCCGAGCTTAGTTCGCAGTTCGTGAGAAGCCGTAGTGGTTCCTACTCCGTACGGAGTACTGTGCCAGCAGACGAGATTATTACTCGTGCCTCGTCTTCCGGACGTGGGTATCCCTTAGCGTGCCAGAGCCCCAGTCAGCTCTCGTCGTCTCGCCGCAGGCGCAGCCCACACACCCTCTCGCTCTTTCCCGCTCTTGCCTCTTGGCTTTTTTGGGACACTGTCCAATCTTGGGTGTCGCTGCGTCGCTCCTGCTTCGTTCGCTTCGCCCGCCAGCACCCGCACCCCCGAATACCCACTCTAAACGTCCTGCGACTGCGACCAGACTGGTTTAACCTCCTCTCATGCAACGGCCGGCCTCAACTACTAGGCACGACGACAACTTCTTGGCCTCACGTCGACATCCCCGAACACTTTCCTCTTTGTGCTTCCGACTGAGACGCCGAATTCGTTCACGATCGATATTCCGTGCCCAGTTCTGTGCCTCTTTGGCTGTGACACACCATCAGGGCGGGATCTCGTCCATTCGCACTCGGCGCGGTTATTCCATCGTGGTGTAGCAAGCGGCGGAATATCTGCCAAAAACCTACCCATGCCCCCCGAACGGGACGTCGTGCTTCGTCGCTAGCCCCCCCCATCAGCCTCTATACTCCCACCTTTTACCACATCAACATCTACATATTCAAGTATTCGTCGGGATGGCGCCCGTTCGCCCCTGTCAGCTATGAGCTCGAGGACGCCAATGGGTGTCCAGCCGCGACAGCCTCAACGAGGCCTCGGCTCCACGTTACACGTCCAAAGACCTTCCAATCATCACCAACGGAGTATATCGTCGTCGCAACAACAATACCTTCCAACTTCACCAGTCCGGCGAGATGCTAGCGCAGCCCTCGATTCCAGTGCCGAACCCGCCGAGGCCATGTCGGGCCGTCATGTGTCCACTCCAAGACGGCAAGGCTCGAAGTTGCGGCTCGAACTGTCAAACGAACTGATCTCAGCTGGCCCCATATCTGCTACCGAATCACCACAGACTCTCACGCCGTCTCGCATGATGCCTCTTCCAGACCCCATGGAGACAGATAATATGAGCCCGGCATTATCAAGGGTTTCACAACAAGATAGCGATAACCCTCCTATGCCAATGCCCAGGCGCCGACTGCCCCGGACCTCGCAGGCCATACCTTCCACACGGCCGGCCGCTCCAACACCAGCCTCCACTAAGAAAGACGTGCGGCCGAAGCCGTACACAGTCGAAGTTCCTACAGCGGCGCCTCGATACGTAAATACGAATAGACATGAGACCATAGGCCGGGATCCCTTCAGCAAGGGCCTGTTTTCTGGTAATGCGGACTTCTTTCCCTGGTCGGGCAATCATCATGAGGATGAATGGAGCACCGAGGCTATACAAAAGGGCACGTGGGATAGAGGTAGTCAAAATGAGGCGTCATCAGCACGAATTGCTATCTTCCCAGCGTTGAAGCAGAGGAGCGGCCTCAATGCTCTATCTACTCTATTCATGGGCGTGTTGAACCAACGGAGAATTCGTGGCCAAATTACAGCCCCATCAACCTTTAAACCTCCACCTCGAGTCACACTTACGGATACAAAGCGGGAAATATGGCTAAAGGATTTGGCAAATCCAGCCATATCCCTCAGACGTCTTAGCAGAACAATCCCACATGGTATTCGGGGCAGGACACTTCTTGACCAATGTTTGAACAAGGACGTCCCTACAGAGCGAGCAGTCTGGTTGGCCAAATGTGTTGGCGCCAACGAGATCCGAGCCTTCAAGAGGAAAGGAGCCAGCGGAGCATTCGTTTTGGGAGGCGAGCTGAAATGGATACGGGATTGGACTGTATTCGTGGAACAGTTCATTGAATCGGTGGTGTCTGCATTTGGCGAACCTGACTGGAAATCAAAAGTGACATACGCGTAAGTTTGGATCTTGTTTGCTGCATAATATCATCGACGTTGGAGGTACTAATCCAACAACTACAGAATTCGTCTTGCAACATGTCTATACTCTGAACAACTACTCGATCGCGACCATTACTTGGAGTGGATCATCTCTGGACTGGAAAACAGCCCGCAGTCAAGAATCCCTATGTGGATATTAATTGGCCAAATATATTGGAATGACCTGCTACAGTCACGAAAATGTGGCAGGCGCTTAGTCTTTGCATTATTAAAGCATTTGAATACGGTACGGACAAGCCATGTCACTGCGGGCTAGACGAGAAGCTAATTTCTGAATATAGATTGAAAATGACCCGGACAGAGATATTCTCATTCAACTGTCTGGCCAACTGTCAACGCTAGTCATTTATCTCCTCAAAACCAATCCCGAAAGTTTTGTTTGCCCTCCTGCTTGGCAACGACTTGGCGAGACGTTGAGGCTTGTGTTGCCAACTGAGGACGCAGCCGCCCAGGCTGCGTACAATACCGTCAAGTTACGGAATATAAGGCTTTTAGTTGCCAATACAACCTCACCACCCAGTGGCCGTCAGTATTTGGTACAGTTGCTAGATTCCACACTTCAGGGCAAGTGTGATCCTGGACTGTCTGCAAGATGTTGGGCGTCTGCGGATGATAAAGCTGGGATATTGAGGACAGCAGTCGAGTGGGCTACCTCTCTGCACCGGCCTGGGTTGGCCAAGGTTTATGTTGTTGCTGGACTGATCAAATCCTGGGGCGCTCATAGGATCCACGCTACTTCGACAATCCTTGATGCAATTGGAGACATCCCCCCTGGTGACCAGATGAGGAAAAGACTCATTATTCGATTAGTTGGCGAACTAGTACGAAGCGGACACTTTTCAGTCGCGCAGTACATGCAATGGCTCATTGGCCGTGGTGGCCTGCATGGTGCTGAGGAAATCGATCCTGTCGAGGGCCCTTGTCCTTCTCGCCTTCTGGTCGAGCTGCCCATTCACTGCCTTCTAGAGGAGCAGAAGGCCCAGAGAGGCAGTCTCCTTAGGCGTGCCGAACATTACTCTGTTGGTGATGAGGCCAACGATATTTCCTCGGCGCTTCAATATGTAGACAGCTCCCTTGGCTTGGCAACATATCTCAACGGCTCGGGGCCCTTCCGGAGACCTTTGTCATTAAAGAAGCTATCACGGAAAGTCAGAAATAGCAGCTGGGCAGTACAGAGTGCGATTGGAGCTCACCTGTATGATGTTATAACGTCCCTACCTCCTCACAGGCCCGACTTTGTCATGACTTTGTCAATGTTCAGCTCAGTTCGCACTATGATGGAGACTGTCGAAGATTATTCTATGCTTTCGGGTATTCTCAGGGCCTGTTCCAGTGGTCCAGACGTGGACACTCTCGCAGCCTGCGTTGACACTATTGACGCACAGCTAGACATCTTTATGGCTATAGGCACTGCAGAGACTCTTTTTGACATATTCATTGAACGACTAAAGGCTATGAGTCGAGACCAAGGAATAGTCGTTCGCTCGCTGCTCGCGTCTCTGGCGTCTCTGGCTGCAAGGTTGCCACAAAGGGAGGACCTGGCAAAACAACTCTCACAGGAATTGGCCCAGAACGACCGGTCCAACGCGATTGACGCCTGTTCCCCCGTCTCGGATAGCATGGCAACGCAAGCTCAAACGGCTGAAGGCGAGGTCTCGGAACAAATCGATAAGCTCCTCGCCAGTGGTAACGTCATTGATCACCCTACTATGAATCGTCTCTTTCGATACGTCATCATTAAGTTGGAATCTGGCTGGGGAAAATTGGATGACAGTCGAAGGGTATTTTCGTCGCTTCTGTCACGACTACGAATGCTGGACGCCCTTCATTTCGACAAGCTTATGGCAGACTGGATCAGTCACATCAGAACCCTGAAGGAACGGCCTCCGTTGCCGGAACTTTTCCCGCTCCTTGTTAGCTTTGGTTGTTTATCAATGTCGACAATACTGCACACTGCCAATGCTGGCTCCGTGGCCTTGGACATCACTCCCGATACTGTAACGTCAAAGACTGTGACGTATTTGCAAGAACTCCTCCAGCTTATCATTATGAAGTTACCAGCAACTGCGTTGCTAGATGCCGAAGAAACATATAGATTCCAAATTTACCAACAACGCGCCAAGTTCGAGCATGCGAAGGGCTTGTTAGCTTTGATACGCAATTCGCTTGTTGAGTACTCAGCTCTCCAGATACCCGGCCGAACTGCTATGATCCTCCCTCTTGATGATGTGGCCTGTCAGAATTGTCTCTTGGAGACCATGAGATTCATGGTTGTGGCCGATTCAGCAATCGTCGCAGAAGTGTTGAACATGAGCACGCTTCCTCCGGGAGCAACATCATTGGCGCACAGGATTGTCACCAGACTTTTATTGCCTGAAGCGGATTCCGACCACCACCCATCGTTTGACCATATTCTGTCTCTTGCGGATGAGCTAACAATGCCGTTTTGTCAACTCAAACTCAACCTAGACCTCTCTGTGAATCTGCCTAGCAGCTCTGCTATCGAGGGTGAGACACCTTCACGGTTTGAAGCGTTCGCAAAGGCCATGGATAAAGCCATCGAATCTCAGAACATCATTTGGACGAGGATGCTGCCATGTCTTAGTGACGACATTACTCAAAGCCTGAACACAGAGGCTCACACGAGATTTTTGGATTTGATGCCGTCGAGCAAATCGGAATCGTTAGCCAGCGACACGACGGACGAGAATCGCATCCGCCTCGCTGAAAACTTGCTCGGAGTCATCGAGGCTATCATCTCCGGCCAGCCACCCTCAAGATCAGCCTCGCTCACTAATAACTTGGTTGATAAACTGTCCGATATGTGGGAGATTGTCACGTCGCGAGATGAGGACCGAGCGCTGGCCAAGAAGGAGGTCTTGGGGCATTGGCTCCCTACGCTGCTACGATTCATTACACTACACAGCATTTCCTCAGAGCCGGCGCATATTGCCACGGCAGGGCCTGGCAGCTCAGCGAAGACCGCTGCGACCCCCAACCACGAAGTACGGGCTCGCATTATCCTTTTGCTCTGCGGTCTGCTGCTGGAGATGGAGACTCTTCCGAAGGAACTTACAGGGTCTCTTGCCCAGCAGATATTCGATATTGCGATACTCCTAGTAGACGCCCTACCAGACGATCTACGAACACAATGCGCCAAGTCGATCCTCTTCCTGCCTGGTACCACAGCAAGCGCAGGCACCACATCAGATCCACGCCTGTACTATCTCTTCAGCACGCCGCGACCAACCTCTGCCGAGAACCTAAAGCTCGTACACCGCGACAAGTCGTCGGTGCCGTACACGGCCGCTGCCCGAGGCATGGGGGCCATGTATGGCATCGGCCCGACATTAAACGAAAGACTGAGTCCCTTCGTTCTCCGTCGCTGGGAGATCCTCAGCGAACCAACACCCAATGTAGGCGAAAATGACACGAGTCTCAGCCTACGATTGTTCGAAGCAATTAGGATTCAATGAACCCAAAGGCATCTTTGATTCACTCTCGGCGTGTTGATTTTTTTTTTAGCTCCATACTTTACATTATTTGCTCTGCATCATGTTCAAATTGTTTGTTTATCGTTTCGGATTGTGGGATATCTATGAATAACGACCAAACTGGGAACTAAGCGAGAGCAACAACATACATTTCATGTGGGATTTTGAAAAAAGAGCCACCAGAGGCTTTTTTTTGTGATATATCAGTATCGGGATTTGCATCGTCCTGCTGTCTTTGTTCTTTTCCTGGATGGAGACTGCTTTTTTGTTTATGCATTGATGGATGGGTGAGGTGTTGGCGCTTGAGATGCTGCCATGTAGTTGCGTTTTTTTGCATCTACCATGTTGGATGACGGGCATTGGTTCGAATGGAATTGTTCTTTTTTTTTTAACTATTTCAAGCATGGTGGGAGTGGAGGTTTTTGTTTTCCATCTTGGATGAATAGAATTTAACATCAATCGAGCGTATGAACCTTTTACTCATATCCCTTTATATTTTGTGCACATTTGTTTCACTGAGATGGTAAGAGTTTTTGAGAAATGTATAAACATGCTGCTCCTATCAACAGACCACCTCCGTTACCGACAATTATCATACACTTGGCAATGTACCAAACACAAAATAAGACGCCAAATGCAATGGTGAACCCCGCACAAAACAAGAAACAAAACAATCTTCGAACAGCAGCCCCATGATGACAAACCTCGCCGTCCCGTTTTTAATCCTCATCAAATATCTGATATGTATTCTGTAAAATCGTGTCAATGACTTTAATCTGCCACCCTGCATCGGCAATAGCCGTGCTGGGATCGGAGCCCATGAGCGTAGGGCCGAAAATAACAGCCAAGTTGTGTGAATTCATCCTGTTGACGTGCGAATTGTCCATGATGCGGTAGAGGTGGAGCGTCATGGCGCGCAGGGTAGCGTAGTTGGGGTCGGGGAGGGCATTGATGATGGCGTGGAGAGAGTCGCGGCGCACAACGTCGTCTTCGTTTTCTACTCGGCGGTTAGCAGCCTGATGATCGGGGGATTTCGATGGGTGGATGATGTGGACAAAGAGGGTACGAACTGGCTGCATTGACAAAGGCATCATGGTGTTCTGCTGTCAGGAGGGGATCCGGGAGATCGCGGAAAAACTGCTTCAGGAGGCCAGTCACACTGTTTACGTCGTGATAGAAGTTTTCAGGGTTTCTAAAGTCCAGAGCGGGGTCGGATGAATCTGCCTAGAGGTTAGTTCATGCAGGTGAGCGATATGTAAATGTACAGTGTTGGGACTTGCCTGCATCAAACATGCCCTTGAGCTTGCTGATGTGGGTTACTGAGCCCGATTGTCTGTAGATACCCTCAACACCCAGGCCGAAGAGATCCACAGCCTGGATGCACTGATATACCACCATCGGCACGGCCAGACCGTCTCTCTCATACAGGCGGTTCAGTGACACACCAAATACGAGCTTTGCGTTTGTGGTTGCAGCAGACTGGTTGTTCCCAGGTGTCGGGGCATAGGCGGGAGGGGGCACACCACCGTATGCAGGGCCACTGCTGCGAGGATCCGTTGGAGGCTGAAACGGAGTTCCCTGAGGCGGTGTCGAGGATTGTGGAGATGGTTGTGAGCCCTGGAAGGGCAAAGCACCAAGTTGCGGCGGTCCTTGCGAGCTGGTGGTGTTACTGTATCTCGGCGCCGGTTGGGCAGAGTTCCTGCTCGCGAATTGCTGCAAGGCAGAGACCTGCTGGCTCAGCATGTTGCCCTGGCTGAAGCTGCGGCCGTGAGTTTGGGCATACGGGCGGTTGGAATCAGGCTTGCCACCTTGCGATGCAGAAGGGCCCTGTGATGAAATAAGGCTTCCCATGGGACCAAAATTGCCGACGCTGCTTCTTGAGCCTGGACCGAAGGAGTTCGGGCCTTCTGGAGGAGGCGGCCCAGATGTTCCAACTGACTGGATAGTGTGCATACTCTGGGGCAGAGGGTGGCTGACGGACGATGGATTGGAGATCAAAATCTGATGCGATGAGTTAGAACAGTGAATAGCGTCCATAACGGTAAAGACAGTGAACATACCGGATTGCGCTCATATTTGACCTCCGTGTAGGGCTGGATCCTGGTATGCTGGCCAGCAACAAAGTCGTTGAAGTCCTTCTCGTTATCAATGGCGGCAACTGCCTGGCGCAAACTTCGCGGCTGGCCAGCTCCTTGGGCGCCTTGGATCTTGAAGGGGCTGACAATCAGCCCGTTTCCGAGGAGGAGCTTCTCGTTGAAGGCGGCTAAGGGAAAAAAAGGGTCAGCCTCAAGTCAGATAGCCGCGGCCATCTGGGGGACAGCTTCAACCAAACTCACCAAACTTTTGCATCTGCAGTGTCACAGCCGAGTCGGTCTCGGAGATGAGCTCACGCAGGGCCTTGACGGCCTCGGGACGAGCAGACTTCTCAAGATGAGCCTTTTCGGCCTGCAATGACTGAACGTGGCCCGAATACGTTTGATCAGCCGCCTGAACCTTTCTCAACAAATCCTCTTCTTGTTGTGCTGGAGACTTGTGCGCTTTGAATGCGCCGAGCACCTTTCCGCTTTGCCTGGCCTCGCCGGTCCTCGCACGGTCATATTCCTCAGCCAGAGAATCGTATTTGGCCTTGCTCTTGCGCAACACCTGCTCCAAGTCGGCTACCTTTTGCTCGGCAGCCAGGCCGTTTGCCTTCCACATTTTGCGCCCTCGTTCGCCATTTGCCACCAATTCCAGCAAGTCTTCTTGCATCTGGTGGAGTGAAGCGGCAAATTGTGATCCGTTCTCGGCCATGCGATCGTGAATAAAGACCATCTCGTCGTAAGACTTGGAGAAGGTGCCCTGGCGATGTTCGGGCCGGCGCGCATTGTCCTGAGTTAGCCGACACAATTTGCGAAGGCTCTGGGCGTGGTCGTCTTCGAGGACGGAGCGCTTCTTGAGGAACAGGGCGAATTCCTTGGCCGAGGCTACGCTTTGCTTGAGTCGGTTCAACAGGGTCGGGATGCCCAGCTGGTCGTTGTTAGCATGGGACGCCAAGAGGGAGGCGCATAGGGTTAACGGTAGTTACCTCTGAAGCCATGACATCGTTGACATGCTTCGTCACGGTTGGATCGACGGCTGGCCTGGCTTGCTCTTCGGTCCCGGAAACAGTTGCTGGAGGTGCCGTCGACGGTCCAGGTCCCTGCTCCGACGCCTCGATGTCATGACCCTGAGCCTCGGCGCTCTGTTTGCCATCTGAGCTGTTCTCGGGGCCAGTGGCCTCAGCGTCTTGTTGTGAGGATCTGGGCTCGTCGATAGGCAAGCTAATGGGCCTGTCTTGTTGGTGCTGCTGAGAATGCGGCACGGCATCGTCATCGTTGGAGCTTCGCAGGTCGGCCATGGTGGCACAAGGCACAAGGCCAAAGCCCTCGTTCGCTGAGGAGATGCGGGGAGGGGCGCCCTTCTCGCTCGGCCGCCCTGGTAGTCGCAATAGCTGCGTTGCGGCAGCAATCCGTCGCAAGGGCCTTTGCAAACAGTCTCGCAGCTAGGTCGTGGGATGGAGTTGTATCTGGTGTTGGTGCAGCGGCTTGCGCCTCCTGACCAGTTTGTCGACGTATGGCGGATACCAGCAACAAATTAAAGTAACCCGGTACTAGTCCAGCTCTTAGTTTGTTCGGTGCAACTGGTGCTTGCTGGTGCTCCTCTCTGTTCGTGCGTCGAGGTGGAACGAAGCCCGCCGCCCGACGCCGCCAGTCCACTTGAGCACTTCCAAGAGACCTTGAGCCCTGGAGCAAAACCCTGGGACCAAGGATGCGAGAAGAGATGGAGATGGAAGAATGAGGGGTCTACGGCCACGCGGATGTGGGAGGCGAAGCGACGTGTCTGGCAAGTATTGTAGATGGATGGAGGGATGGATGGATGTGAACGCGTAGGCGAGCTGTATTATGTATGTAGTCTGGTAGTTTGGAGATGGCGGTGCCGAAGCCGATGCCCTTGCCCTTGCCCATGCCAGTACCAATGCCAGAGTCGATGCGAATTGACAAGGACGACGAATCGACGCGATCGACCAAGACCAGCCAGTGGCCTTTGGCTGCGAAGCAGGGCGACAGTGACGGGTTTATCAAGTTACAAGATGCTCGATGTGCAAATCCAAGCTGTCGGGCAATCAATCTGCATCTGCACTTGCCCCTTGCGCTCAAGTGCTCGCACTTACGGAGTAGTACGTAGTACTTGCACTACCAGACTGACTCTGCAGCTGCAGCCTGCAGCCTGTTTTTTTTGCGCGTTTGGTGCCTTGTTCCTCCGTACCGCTGCTCCTGTGCGCACCTTGGAACACGCCACGCCAGACCACAATGGCTGCTTCTGCACTTGTCTTACTCTCTTACGTATTTTTGTCGTCTGATCGACACAGCCTGCGCCAGAATAGCCACGGAATCCCCCTGGCGATGCGATGACGACAAGGTGCCGGGCTGAGCCACGTTTCCTGCCACCAAAAAGTGACTGGGCCTGGGGCCAAGGCTCGGCTACGGCCAATGCACATTCGACAAAAAATAGTACTACTAGTACATCACACACGAGGGCCTCTGCAGATTGCCATGTGCCGGGCCTCGTCGACTTTGCTAAAGAAGCGACAGCCTGTCTGTCTGTCGTTTAGCCACCAGGCAGACAGACAGACCATTGTCAGCAACTTGACAACTGCTCGAAGCCAACATGCATTCTCGTCTGCTCTGTACGAACTACTACTACGTATGTACATTAGGTATATACTTTTGCTTCCTATTTGTTCCACTTTTTCTTTTCTCAGGGAAATTATCACCTGACGTGACCATCTGCATCTATTTACGGGCAAAGCTCCCGCCCGAGACCAGCAGCACAGACGTTGGATGCTCCGTATGCCCGGCACCGGGTAAATTTGGAAGGAAAAAATAATAATAACCAATAAACTACTCCTCAGGCCTGTGGATTATAACTCGGGACGGATCGTTCGTGTCTGGGCTACCACATTGCTGTTTCTGGCGCAAACATTGTTTGGACTACGGACTTGAATTGATAAACTGGGTGGAGAAGTAGTCTCTCGTTGAGCAGGCGAACCTAGTAGACCGTAACGAGTACTGGTAAGAAATTGCCAGGTGAGAGAGAGACACCGATCCAACTTCCATCTCCAAGCACAAATACCACGTGCATACACGTTACCGTTGTTAGTAGCTGTTCCAGACCGGATACGGCACGGGTCGAATACAAACAATGGACACACCATGAACCGTGCTTCATCTTTGTCTCGCAGCGACCGGAACACAAGAGCACACTGCACCACGAAACCAACATACAACAGAGAAAATAAAAATAGGTTAATGCCCAAATCCGTCCTTGTATGCCGATGAAAAACAGAGCTCGGATTCCTGAACACAGTGAAGAGAAACGAGCCTTGCTATTTTCCGACCAGGTAGCCTGCCGGCTATGCTAACTTGACATCCATTTTTATACCGTCAAGCAAGACAATTGTCCAGCGCCTCAACCCCGAAGAATTCGACCCTGAGTTGTTTTGCATCGTTGCAAAACAAGCCTCCCACATGCCCTCTGATATCAACAACAACCGTGGTTCGTCATCCGTTCATAGTCGCTCCATGTAACCCCTCCTACGTAACACCGTCCGCCACCAACAAGGCCCTTTATCGCAGACGTCTGGCCTCACGTTCGGACTCGAGCAGGCAAAGGATATCGTCCTCACGAACTACACAGCACAATGAGTTAGTCATGCGCTAAATTCCCCCATCACTCAATATGTATCATGCCGGCGGTCTAAACATGGCGACACTGTGAGAAGGAAAAGGATTTGCCATACCGGGTCCCTTAACGTTTCGGATGATGGATCGGGTCTGGTCGTCCATGAACTCGACGCGCACCTGGGTGACACCACCACGGGAGCCTATCAACATCAACATGTTAGCCTCTATAGCCCAGTAAATCCGTAATCCCTTTTGATCGATCGAAACAATTTTTCTGCTTGGAGGTGGTATGCGTAGTGCGAGCGGAATTTCTCGAAAATCGTAGTCATCCAAACACACAGACGGGGCAAGCAAGAGCCGAATTTCAATAATTTTTCAGGCATCCTGCGACATGTCGGGAGAGGAGAGAATGGGGTTTTGTTTTCGTACCGGTTCGGCCGAGGACTCGGGTCACCTTGACCAGCTTGACGGGGGCCTTTGAGGAATCCATTGTGAAATTTGTGCTTTTGTATTTGTCGACGGGAGACGTGTGGTGTTGAAAAGCGAAATTTTGGCAAAAAGATTCCCTTGGGTCGTGTGGAAAGTGGACGCAGCTATTTTGTGCTATTCAGCAGGGTTTTCGACAGCCCCCTGTGGTGGGCGGCCGGTGGGCCACGCCAACCGACGGAAGTCACGTGTGGGGGACTGAGAAACCCCAAAACGGAGCCCCGATGCTGAGGGGGGAAAATCGACACCGGATAAACCTATTATCCGACGGTGCATGAGACCGAATTATGCAAATCGTACCCCGAATTTTATGCTATGTATTTCATTCATTTGACTACAATTTTGAAGCTGACCCTATCTTAAGGCAGGTACTGTGTCTAGTTAAACATGATGATGAATGATATCGCTGCATCACTTCAGCGGCAGGAATTGGCCTGTGCAGATTTGGCAATTTATGCGATTTCTTTCTATATTCTCCCTTGAATCTCAGATATCCCTTTCTGGATGACAATTGGGTTGCTTCTTTAGCCCCTCCAGCACCAGACATCTTGTGACTGTTCTTCGTCCACAACTCCACTGACACAGCTCAAGGTCCTCACGTTGCGCATCTTGAGGTATGGGAAAGGCCGTACTCCGTACAGGACACATCTCTACGCCCTGTCTAAAGGCTGGGCGGCTGAAGCTCTGAATTGACCACGCAAAAGGGGGGGGGGGGGGGGGGCGTCGTGTCTTAGGCCTCAAATTACCCGAGAGGAGTACTCGGTACGGAGTAGCTCAAGCAAGGGATTTAAATAGGGGGTGGTGAGTCGTTCAAGAGCCGAAACCCGGTAACCAGTCGCGCGCCGACAAGCAGAGTTGTCTCGGGGAGTGTTTGCTTCCAAAAGAAAACAACCGTTTGCCAAGGAGCAAAGTCGAGGAACGAATACGACCCAGTGGCTCGTCCACTGACTTAGTCGCTGACCGGTAGCATTGTTCAGGGTCAATGTATCGTGCGGATGTTTACCCGTGCACCATTTTTTAATAATAACTGCGTGCCTGATGGACCTAGTTTCGCAACAGCACGATGCAGATATCGTACCGGCCTATTCACGACGGTAAGCTCGGCCAGTTGCTCCAAGCCAGGAGTCAGGACATAATTTTGGCGAAATTATTGCGGCTGGCCATCAGAATGCTTGCCAAAGAATACGGACCATGAACAAAATCAGTGAGATTGAAACCAGTGGTAACGTAGACCATATTGTACACTCGATTTCGGGATCTTCCGGTGCTGGACCGGCCTCAGATATCAAAGGCTATTGCTGTCTTCAGACGTCTGAAATATTGATGACCTTACAATCCCGGGCCTCCCAGTACAACTGATGCTGCATCCAATACAAGCTAGCTGCTGTAAGACAGGAGAGAATGGATTTCGAGTTCGTGTAACCACCCAAAGCACGGGCAGTCCCGGTGAAGCACACGGAGCAGGGTATGAAGACCAGGAGGTTGGGGGCGACTGAGGTAATATGTAGTCAATGGACCACAGCCGGTACGTTGTTCGGCTTGTTCGGCCTGTTTACCGCTGCCTAACCGTCTTGTGTTGGTAGTGTAACCGGATGAGAAAGCCGGGTATTCTTAGATAACCCCCTGATGCTTGGAGACGCGTTATAAAAGTCGTAAGCTTACCAAAGTCTGCCAGTGTAGATTGTATCAACAATTCACTAGCTGTATTTACTACGCAGCATGTTTCAACACTCATCGCAGTTTCTTCTTGCTCGAGTGCCACTCGCCATGGGTACGAGAGCGAACGAGTCCAGTTCGCAGTCTTCGACATTGTTACATGCATCTGAGATGACTGACGTCTCGGCCGTGTCAGTAGCAACTCAAGTAACATCATCGGCTTCTGCACCTCTTGGAGGACTTGATATAGAAACCAGTGTTTCTAACAAAACACCAGTCATGTGAGTACCATGCCGTAGTTCTTGTCTCGTATCTCGGGGCCTTGCTCCCTAGAATAGACATTTTCCGTTTGCTTAACCTGCCAGCCAATCTGTTCTGGCCTATTGGGGTTAACTTTCCACCACTCTAAAACATATATTGTGAACAGCCACTAAGAAATGAACTTTATAGTGATTCGGATATCGATAACAACATGGAGAGCGAAGCCATGGCTCGTGGACGAGTTACCCTAAGAAGCACGTCAACCTGGCGCCAAACTTGGGAGGCCAATATCGACGAGGGAACTGAATACTCTCCAGAGGACGCTGCATATTCTAACTTAGAAGACAAAAGACTAAAGCACGCCGAAAGACAGCGTGCTGCCCAAAGCAAGGGCGTCCAGCTCGGGACCTGGATAGACTCTCAGGTCCTCCAAGAAGACAGAAAGCACGCCGTCACCGGATTCATAGATACCGTAGGCCGCCTACAAACCCACGTTCTGCCGGAAACAAAGCACGGAGAGTCGTTGGCCTCGGAGTCCCCCCTGCCCCCTGGCTCCGGCAGGTGCTGGATCAGGTTTTCCAAAATCAAGTTTTCCGAGCACCTACACGGCCTGGATCACTTGCAAATAAAGGAATATATCCGCGTTCTAAGCGAATCCAGAGAAACCAGGGGCCGCGTTCCGGGCGACGAGGCGGCGGCCGTACAAGCGGCCAAGTACCGCCTCTCCAAGGACCCGAATTGGGTCAAGTCCAAGAAGCGTTATATCGCGTACAGTGATGCCGAGAGCGGGCTTGCCCGGGTCCGATCCTCACGAGCTGCCGCGGTGCATTGGGGCCGGACTGGGCCGCTGCCTGTCCATTCCCTTCACTGCGAGGCTAGGACTCGCGAGCGCCAGTTGCAGGACGTGGGGGTAACCAAGGAGGCTGAAGTGTTGGCACATGGCGGAAATGGAGTTGCTCAAAACCAGGCAGATGGTCGGATGATGGATCGAGGGCAGGCGGTAGAGGCTGCCGCAGCCACATCTTCCACCGGCCGCCGGATGCTCTTCCGCGAATGGAAAGATGTGCAGAGATTTGACGACATGTGCGGCGTGCAGGAAACTCCTCGCAGGGGTAAGAGTATACGTCGTGCCAAGATGTATAACGGCATCACGTATGAGCGTCAGACGACGGGTGCTTTTATTGGAAAGCTTGTCTCGCGGGGTTTATTAATTCATATTGATGGTGAGGACTACTTGGAGCACCGTGTTCTTGCCATGCCCGGGTTCTGTTAGAGCCAACGTATTCTGGGCTCCGTGTACATGTGTATAGAAAATAGTACAGACGTTTCTCCATCCCATGGTTGTGGTGACTACATCTAACCAAACGTAATAGATGGATGAATGGTAGGTAGCTGGTGAATGAAGGAAGAAATTGGTGTGTATCGATAGTCCCGTGCACTGATCTGATAAGAGTTTAGGTATTGTTGAGAAGCCTCGCAGTTGCAGGTTGAGACGCTTGGGGAATCATGTTCTCCAGAAGCTATCGACAGTACACACTCCGTCAGAGACAAGCAAGGCAAATTGCCAAGTAATAGTACTACTATTACTACTAATGCCTAGCTCATCACACCGAGACGTCATATTCTGGTTTCTCATGTTGGCCACCGCCCAACAAAACGAATTACCACTGGTTTTGATCGTCCAAGCCCACTCGATATGTCATATTTGCAATCTGTGCAACAAAGAAAATGCCGGCACCCCCCTGTCCTTGCGGGGTGGCAGTTACGTACGGAGCACTGAGCAGTGAGGAATCAATCCATAATTAGGCTCCTTGTTATGTCTCTGAAATCGTGTTCGTGCTTGGGTGGCTGGCGCGCACTGACGAAAACTCCCAGAGTTCATGATCGGCATCTCGCCTTCCTGAGAGTCGCAGGCAGCAGCTACATCTTGGCAAAGTTCAAGTGTCTATAGTCTGAATCTGATACTCTAATATATGCTGATATTTTGCCAAGGGGGTACTACCGAGGTCGGGTGGACAACCATTCCCCATCTTGACCATGAAACCGCGCTTCAATACCAAAGAAGAGTCATGCGCAACGACCGAGTCTGTCCAGCCGAATTGGCCTGTCTGCAGCGGCCCAACTACTATCCTTGACGCAACCACGTTTGTGATTATTTTGCCAAGGTTCCTGTATTCCACAAAACTATCCATAATTTCGGCCGTGGCGAATCCAGAATCGCCAAGACAAATCATGGAGTTTGCCGAGTTGAAGGAATTGGCATGGCGGGAAAATGGCTTTGAACAACCTTGACGTGGAATGCTCCTTGGGTTTTCAGCACACTGAATCTTTGTTCATGCTTATGCAGCTATAACTCAGCCAAAGAGACTTCACCAGATGAGCATTGCGGCACGGCAGGAGCATCATGAGTACATCTTCTTCCCTCAATTGACAATTAGAGATGAGTCTGGTACTATTCTATCCACCACTCCCTCCCCACTCCGCAATGACACAGAGCCCATTTGTTAATTGTACAAACAAATACCTTTCAACGAATCAAGAATTGATTGCAGTGAAGACACTAAGCAACTTCAGAGCAATGGACGGATATGAGATATGGACAACCTGCAACCACGCCTCCACGGCGAACGATGCTGAGTCTCGAATGGTCAATGATTAACTAGGATTATGATTGAAAACCCGACAAATGAAACAAAGAAATGCCAAGGCAATTCGTATATATGTTGGTGAATCAGAGATTGCGTCAAAGTATTTCGTCGTAGTAAAAGCATAACTAAACGGGGTATAACGTCCGTCATCACCGGACAAGTCATTAGATGTAAACGGGTTTTGAAAAAAAAAAAGCCTTCATGACATATCATTAGGACTCAACCACCGTTGGCACAGCGTCTTCCGGCCAGGATGGTGCGTCCACCACGGCGTATTTCAAGCCGTCTTGCTCCTGCAGCTCTTTGCACAATACCTCGATTGCCAAGGTCCACCTTGCCGTGGTTCGAGATTGACGCTCGCCGAAGATGCTGTGGAATTGTCCCGCTTCTTGTTTATGTTTGTCGATTAACTCGTCCCTTGCCTTTCGCTGCCCGTCAGCCTGGTCCTGGAGATCTGTTTCATGCTTCTCGAGGAGCTCCTCCATTCTTTTCTCCTGGCGATCTCGCATCATATTGATCTTGGACTGATGTTGTCTTTCCATGTCGTCGCGCAAGTTGTACTGGATCCCCAAATCTCGAAGGTTTTGCTCAGTGACAATCCGTGGTGGCAGGGCTGATCCGTTTGGATTTTGCCCTAAACCATCGCAGTAGGCCTCCATATGCTTTATCCGTACTCGAATGCTTTTCTCTGCTTGCTCGAGTGATTGCCGAAGTTCTAGCTCTTCCGCAATTTGACGATCGTCAAGGTGACTAGTTTCCCTCGAATGCTTCTGAGACAGCTGTTCTTCTTCCTCGACTTGCTGGTTCATTAGTGCAATCCCCTCCGCAGCATGCCTTGCTTTCAGAGAGCTCTCAGCAGAGCATCTGAAGTCCAGAAGTCGTTGCTTCTCTTGCTCTTGGGATGCCCTCAATGCCATCATACTGGGGTGTGATGCTGATCGTTCTTCGCACTCCTGTCGTTCGGCTTCTCGTACTGCCTTTGCCTGGGCTGCTCGCTCCTCTTCCTCCTTCCTCCTTCTAGCCAGTCCTTCCTCTCCATTGCAAACATTGGGACAGCCAACTGCGCTATCCCAGACACCTCCACAAGAGTGGCAGAATTGTGCACTGCAGGCGCATGTCGTCGGGCCAATGCTATCCGAGAGCTCTACCAACTTACGACACCTATAGCAACGGCGCCAGCTGCTTCGTCCCCCAATCTTGAGTGCATCTAAGAGTTCCCAGTCTCCGGGACAGTGAATTCCAATGGAATGCGCTGACTGTTTACATGTAGAGCAAACTTTTGTCTGGCACTTCAGACAAGTAACTGCAGACGGCAACTTGGGGTCCAATCTTTTCAAAGGCGGTATAAACTCTCCACAAAGCGTGCTGCAGCAAAAGATCCTCGACTCGGATGGTGTGCTATATTGGTGAACTGCCTTCAAGAACGATTCCTGAACATCAAGATCAAGAGACTGCTTCAGAGCATCAGCCGGCACTGGCTGCGCGCAGCAGCTTGGAGGCATGCGCGTCTCATGGTTGATCGCCTGAATCACCAGGTCCCTGATACAATCGGTACAGTGTGCATGGCCGCATGGTAAGCTTTTCAGTCCGTTGGTCTTGTTAAAGGCAGCTTGACAGGCGAAGCAGGAGCTAAGTGATGAACACAAGTTAGCATACCCCAAGTCATGGCCGGCCTGAAAGGATGGGCCATCAGTAGGAACTCAGAAGGAGAGCTTGTTCACATACACTGGAGTGTCAAACAGGCGAGTTGGCTTCTTTCTGAGCCTCATTCTGTTTCGAAATCCTGTGGTTACACCTGATATGCTCTTCCTCGTGCTAACGCTGAATATGCTCTGGCCAGAGCTGTCGATGACAAGACTTGGCTTCCGAAACCTCGGTTCTTCGTGAACGGTGTCGATTTGGGAAATGTACTTTTCATATGAGGCAAAGTTCAAAGCCTTGCAATGAGGTTTGTTGATACTGCTGTCGAAGGACGAGAGCTTTGGACTAACGCCGCCATATATAGACGAGTGAGGCGTGAGATATGTTGTCGACGCTTCTGAAATGGTGGAAAATGTCTGCTCTCGTGAGGTAGACTCGGTTGAATCAGACGCGCTCGAAGTGACACGCTGAGCTTCTGCGACAGACGGCAAGGTGGCCATGATGCCCAGACCGTGAGCCTTCTTTAACAACTCGCGATCATATACGAGTTCTGACTTGCCAGCACGCAGGTGCATCACCTCGGTGCAATAAAGGGCATCTTCCAGCTCGGGAATATGGGTGGTAGTGTCCATGATAGCTGTTTTCCCTAGTCTCACTTCCCGCTGCAGCAATGATCGGTGATGATGGGGTTTGTACCTTTTGTCGAACAATACAACAGGGGCACCCGGATTATGTCTTCACGAGCCGCAACAACACAACATACCGCCCACGAGTCGACCTGGGGCCACGCACAATCAAATACATTTTGCCGACGCATAGGAGGGCGTGAATCATGAAACCAACAAAAGTCGGGCAATCGAGTGTGTGATCTAAGTGAACTGCAAGTAGGGGGTGTGTGGAGGACGGGACATGGGCTGGACTGGATGGGCTCATCCAAGACAAGCGGCACAGATCCGCCTCGCGATAGGCGCCATTCTCAAGATGGGACGGGAATGTCTGAGAGCGACGGCGACCAGGAGACTAGGCAGGCAAGCAGGGTCTCAGAAATAAGGAAAGCTAGGGTCAACCAGGGCTTCTGAAGGGATCGGAGCGCTGGGGCGAGCAAATTCCTAGCACTGCTCAGCCATATGAGAAAATGCCAATGACCAACAGAAGGGGGGGGTGGAGAATCGAGATGGCATCGCGAAGTGACGGCTTATTGTTTTGTATGGGGCCCAACAAGAGCACGACGTACATACGGAGTACAGAGCACGGCTTCCTTGCCTGTGTATCAGGTAGAGGAGAAGACTGCAGAATGAGTAAGAAAAGGGACTAGAACAGGGGCAATATTGCTTGTTGGCCCTGGTCGCCATGCTTTGCTCCTGAATCTGATGGCCTGATGCCAACGAAAAGAAGCAAAGTCGCATCCGGTGTTGGCAACACTTGCGTACACCAAGCACATGCAAAACGTTGGAGATGTATGCAATATTCCGCACAGGGCCAAGTGATGCGGAGTTAGCAGACCGAGTGAGGCTCATCGGGATAGAGAGACGGAGGGAGGGTCGATTGAAAGAGCGGATGTGGCGGCAACATTCAATGCTTGACATGCATCTAGATCAATCAATCATTACAATGCCGGAGGGCTGTTGGGCTTGCTGGTTAGCAGGTCACTTACACATTGATTGACTCGCACATCAATCATCGATGGCAGCTGCGAGGGTGGTGGTACCTGCCCTCTGGATTGTTTGATTACCGTAAAGTTTAATCATAATCCTTGACTGACACCGACGCACTGATGGGGTGACCGTGGAGCCGGGGAGAAGGGAAGAGGGGGGAAGCTCAGTGCTATCGTGTTAGTAGCCTCTGGCTGTAGCCCAGCTGCCAACTGCCAACTGCCAATTATTTGGCTCTTGCCAATTACGACCAACCTTTTTCACGGAAGGAGCAACTTTTTTTTTTCTCGGTCCAGCGCTGAATGATCGCGCCAACATCCAAATGTCAATCGTCTCGTCTTTCTACCACCCAGCGTGCCCATAACCCATCGTCTTCATCACCAATCGCTGTCTGATATTAATTTTCAAATCCAGAACCCGCTTAACATTGTACCTCATATGCAGTGAAGACATGGCCATTCCTTGTACTCTGTTGTACGTCGTTGCACTCGTAATACGCAGTTTACAAATATTTGTCAGGAATTTGCAGGGCTACGGGCCAACGGGAGAGGCTTGAACGAATCGTCCAAGGTCAAACTGCTGGTGTGCAAGCCCTAGCCCCCGCAGCTAGCAAGGCCAGCTAACAGTCTCTCATTACGGAGCAACCAAGTCAGGGATCTTATTAGTGGCATATCCTGTGGCAAATTGTAGTAGTGTTGTGGTCCGGGAGGTGGACAACTACGTCAATTCTCCGAGCAATGGATTGCTACCTCAGCTCGGTCCATCAGATAACTGCCGTCTTGACAACAAGGGCCACGCCACTCTCTGGCACGTACGGAGTACATACGATACATACAATATGGAGCGAGTGGCTGCCGAAGGCCGGCAAATATGTATCGACAAGCCGCTCAAAAACACAAGGCAAACACCATCTCATCTCAAAGTCAAGTAGCCTGCCTATTGCCGGCGATACTGAAGGAAAGGCCGTCGACTAGAGTCGAGTGCAGCGAGCACTTGCCATTCATTCTTGTGGGACTCCCAACTAGCCTGAGTGTCCCATCATCTTGTTGGCTTGTTAAAATACGACCAGCAGCGTCTGCCTGTTCGCCTATCCATTTTAGCGCAACCGCTGGTCGCACTGCCAGTTTCCGGGTAAATCCGCCATGTATCCACCCCAGTCCAGTGGCTGTTCATCTGGCGGAGTCTGGAGAACCAACCATCTGATCGGTCTGCCAGCCAGCAGCATCGGTCTACATCGAGAAATTAGAGTACCTACCGAGTAGGTAGTTACTACATATATATTCAAGCAGAGATGAAGCTCTCAGAAGATCCCTGGGTCATGGCTATCATCATTCTTTAAGCCACCGGTTAATTCCAATGTGAGCGAGAGAGAGAGTATGCTTAAAATTCTACCCTGCCATCGCTTTCAGGAATCGTCCTAACGATTTGATGGGGGAGTATTTGGAAATGATCAAAAGCGGCCGAGGCGGGTCAACCTGACCCACTGCGTACGGCCCAAAAAGACGGTTCATCCCTGATCCATCGAGACAATACGGAGTAATAGTGAGCGCAACGGTTGATGGTTGGCAGGCAACGCAGGGACCGGTCGACCACCTCCCTACGATTTGTCCTCTTTGCCAAACGCGACAGGTGATTAACTCCGTTCTGATTCCTGAGCTGTGACGGGCCAACAATGTTTTCGCCTGCCAAGTGTAATATTGCATTAATTATCACATCCGGGTACAGACCGTATCACAGCCGAATCAGACGAATCCACAGCAACCTAGTGACGTCTCAAGCAATTCAGAACAAAAACAAGGGCAAACGCAGGGCAGGACACTCCGTGCCACACCTTTCTCTGCTCCAAATCGTCTCCTTCTATGATTGCGCTTGGCCAATCAAGAGGGGATTAGTAGAAGAAGCAAATTTCTCCGTATTGTACTCCGTTACCTGCTCGCTCAGGGTCGATGGCACGATACATTCCGATGTCGCCTCGTCCTGCTCCCTGGGTGTGACTCTGGAATCAAGTTGCACGGAACTTCATAGATGTCAGCGCCGACATTGCTAGCATTCCCGTTACTGCACCACCTTCATCATATATTCAAAGCGCGCAATTTGCGTCCCGAGTCTGACTTCGCGCGAGCTTCAGGCCAATGCCTGTGAAACAAAAGGCTACAGTCAGTCACGGGCTTGACTTAACCAACGGCAGTTGTTCCCGCCCCGCCCAATTGGGAGCGGTGTGAGCACGACTTGAAGTCTCTGAGAAAAATGTGAGACTTGGTTCCTTAATCGCACGCCAAAGGGCTATGAATCAAGAACAAAAGAGGACAACGATGGCTGAGTTTTCAGCCCACTGCTCTCTCAGCAGGTTGAGTTAACCCAGCGCTACGGTTCAACCATGACTACGGAGTGATGGAGCAAGCATTGTCTCGACAATGGAGTTACAGAGGCCAAACTGGGGCAGTTTGCGTGTCGTTGCAGGCTTGCAATATTCATGGTCCCCTAGCAGCTTCTCAGCCTAGGTGTGTTGAAAATTTTGGTGCGCTAGCACTCTATAGCTTGACGAAGGAACATTGCAACGAAACAATTTGGCAAGCTATACTCCAGGTGGGTACCACGCTGGATTCGCGCTGGAACATGTCACGCCTTACTTCATAAGGCTCGTGATCATCTTTTTCGTGGTACACGGTGAAGATCGCTGGGGCACTTGGTGCCTTGAGATAGACACGCCAAGGCGCCTATTGCCGAAAACTAGTACATACATAGCTTCGGAGTCTTGCCATCCGGGGGTTCCCTATGTTTTATTTGCTTTTTTCAATAGGTGGGACAGTCAATGGCGCCAACTAGCCATCATCAGATGGTAGCAAATGAAAAGAAACGAGCCGGTGGCTTGAGCGGGCACGGAAAACAACTCTCCGAGAGGTATTTGTGTATGTGCGCGCATACCGAGAGACTTCCACAACTGTAGCAAGATCGAGGTCGTCGTTCGATCTTTAGTGCCGTCAACAATCGAGGCATTCTTGTGCATCCCAGACAGTGGCTGTCATGAGGTTCTTCCCTGTTTCTCGGTCGGCGTATCAAGTGAAGCGGAAGCAGACGATGGAACCCTGCATTTCCGTTTATCTTGCAAGATATGGCTGACCGCAGTGTTGACCGCCGACAGCTCGTCTGATTTGTTATTTCAAGCTTGGTCAGCCTGCCCAGTTCAAGCGCAAGGCCGTTCCCATTCACACACTGGTCGGGGATACTAGTAAGTAGTTATGTTCCCGAACTATCATGAGCTAGGCAAGGCGAGACAGTTGCCGTCCATTTCGGCGAGGTCTCGCCTGAAGCGTGCCAGACACCGAGCACCTGAGATAGCCAAGGCTCCAAAACATCAAGGGTAGAGCCTGATGTAGAGGCGTGGCATCTCATCTGAGATGGCAAACGCAACTTGCCAGGTGCTCGCTGACGTATCTGCATCATTTGAGGATGGTGGTTCTGTCAAGGCGTCTTGCTAATGTCGTGTATAAGAGCGGCGCTTAATAATATCATGGCCAGGTGGGACCAGACTTCATTTGACCGTCGATTGGTCGCTATTCTACTCCGTATCAGTGCGCAAAAACTAAGCATCTCGTTTCTTTTTCTCATCAACTACCGGGCGTCATTGAACAGGCTTATAAGGAGGCACAAGTGCAGAATAGCTGGTGGAATAATGGTAGCAATATTGTCTTGACAAAAATGAAAAGGGACAGGGGAAAAGAAAGACGTGCAAAAAAATGAAAATAAAAATAAAAATAAAATAAAATAAAAGGGGGGGTGCACGAGGACTCTACATCATGCGAATGCCAAATGCCGCGGAAACTCTGACACAATTCGAGTCGGCTTCCGGGTGTATGCCTGGGATTTTGGAAGTTGTCACTTGGAACGTATTCGTTTCTGTACACGCTATTGATGACGCCTTTTCTGTATTGCCAACGAAAATGTTGGCTGTCCTCGGTTTTCGTGGTAACGATTTGCGCTTGCTAATACTCTGCCACCATCTGTCAGCTTAGGCGTCGGGTCAATATTGATAAATCGATGGCTGTAGCAACACGGCCAGAAATATCATGATATATTTCGTTCTCTGTTGACGAGTGTTTCCTCTTGGACAAGGCCCAATGCAGCGGGGTGCAAAGTTCGACCAACTCGGACATATGAAACGAAATACATGCCGAAGCGGGCTACAGTCATTTTGGGTCATGTTGAATGTATATTCGGAGAGAGACGCATTTCAATTGACAAGGGACGTGTGTGTATGACACCAAACTCTCGCGTACTCGAACCTTCTTTCGTTTGTGCAGCTATCGATGGAACACACCTTACTATGGAACAGCAGATGTGAATGACCGGGACAATAGCAAGATGGACTGTATGTCTACATGTATGCTGGCCGAGATTGTGGCACAGTTTCGGTTCTGGTCTGGCTGCAGTTGCAACATTGAATGCTCTTGCCGTACGTGTAAGTGACTGTAACCAGTGGTACTGTGCCAAAACAACGGCATCAAGGACTTCCCAACAACACCAACCCGTGACGGGGTCGATCAGCATCATTATTATTCCTTCAGGCCAATTTCCTTCGAGACCGATCCTATCTTCAGACACATAGAGTTACGATAATGTGGTGGGCCGAGCGGCCTGAGCAGGGCTCACTTCGTGCCATTATTCAGGCACACAGTCGAAAATGCATCCTTGTCAGAGGCATTGCTTGGACTGGGACTCACCTTCGGATCTTGAATGTTCGGTTCCTGCGAGGAGATGAACAGCTAGCCAACGCGCGAAGCATGTGGCAGACTTGGCCGGGTGAGATCGCCGTGGAGGAATATCTGAGGTCTTCTCTCCGGACCGTGCAAAATACTGGGATTCGCAAGGTCCTCGAGCTACTCGATATCTATAACCTAGGGCCGGTGCAATCCACATGTCCTCGGGCACATTCACCTTCATGCTAACTTGTGTTATAGGATCAAGTCGCTTGAACTGGACTTTGACGGCCGGGTTGTTGACGTTATACATACGGATGGAATTTTTAAGAGCGACACCGGCGACTCTTGCATTGCTTACGTTAATCTAAATACAATAACCTTTCTGCGAAGAGCATACATCTGGGGGGCCCCGGGGGCCCCGGGGGCCCAGCTATCGCCATTTAACACTCCTATGATACGCCTTCGACAAAAGAAGCAGCGTCGACTTACACCTCCAGACTTGGCCGAAGATCCCTATATACTATGCGTTTTGATCGCCCTAGCTCAGAAACAACTAGAGGATCGAGACCAGACAGACGAACCCTTACGGGTGTCTTTGCTTGCCCTTCCAGGAGCGCGAGCAAGCCACCTCTACTTTTACACGGCTTGCTTCCCCTTCAGCTTTCTGAACAAGTTTACCGAGCCCTCTTTATTCCTCGAATGCCCTACTGTTTCAATTTCGTATGTGAAAATGCCATTGGACAAGCCTGAAGAGTTCCTTTGTCACCTGAAAGGCGTGCTGCTTGAGACGGATGCATTGGAGACAGAGGAAGAGTCATAGCTGAAGCTTTGAAATGGACCGTCGAGGGAGCAAACGTTGCCAAAAGCAATGCGTGTTCAAATCGCTTAGTGAGTACGAATGGTTTCAACTCGGAGAGAATGCTATCCCTGTTTGCAAGAAACGCAATGCAAGATCCATTTGTCACGACTTGGGCCGCACTCCTCGAGGCTTACAACGCTGTCTACAAAAATAAAAGAGCAGTTGGGTTCGTGGACACTTCATTTCAAACCTAAATGCCAGATGCCTCTGAATACTAATGACGGTACAGAACAGGGGTATCGTCACATGTGTTGTTTGATGGCATCTCTTTTGTTCTCCGAATGGCCACTCACTGCCTTTGTTGACGACTTTGGACGTCATTGGCAAGATAGATGCGAATTTGGAGGGTAGAGTGTCTTATCGGTGGAGATGTGGTTGGCCTATTGCTTGGAGACAATATTCAAATACTTGATGGTAATCTTATTTCACCAAGAACAGCGTGGGTGGTTGCGCCATCCTCATTAGCGTGTGAGTCGGCAAGTTGCAAGCTTGGATGAGCACAAGTTACTGATTCGCTTTGCTAGGTGCTGCAGAAACAACAGAAATAGCAATATTCATTTATTTGACCTTTTTAGCCTTGTCTGTTGCTGTGATGTATTGCGTTGAAAAGCTCGACAAGTCTTTTGCGATGTGGTGCTATAAGAAGCGCCGGCACCCGATGGTCTTTGTACACATGGACGGTCCAAAATGCATGGTTATTGTGCTTGATTCAGGACGAACAATAATGCCTTTGATGTATCTCTTTGTATTGCAAGGCAAGATTGCCGGTGGGGAGAATAGAGGTCTGGTGATGCAAGACGGGATTCTGCAGATGATATTCAGTGCCGATTACTCGGTACACACTGCGGTCGAATTCGAGAAGTGAGAATTGACAACTGACAGCTGAGGACAGGGAATCAACTTTTCATGCCACATGAAGGGCGAAACTGGCCAGATGTCGCGCCCACGTCGTTGATTAATGCGCCTGCGGTGCAACTCTGAATCCACAGCCTCCACCCAACAGCCCACACAGCAGTGACACGACGTGCTCGAGGGATACTGGCCATGCTGCATCTCTCTCGGCCGCTTGTCCAGCTCCTGTTCATGCTGATGGCCTGATGCAAGTGATAATGGCAACGACGCCGTAACTGCGCCGTAGGTACGGGCGAGTCCGTAGTGTGCGTACCGAGTGCTACTCTGGGCCCTGAGGACCCGGACAAAGCTGGCCTCCCACGTCCAGCCCCACTGTCGCCCGTCTCGGCCAGTCTCACGCACGCTCAATGTCCCGGTCATTGTCCGTCATCCATCATCCGTCATCCATCATCTACCACGGCCATCCTCTATCCTCGAATTGCTCTCGCTCAAACTCTCGCCATCGCTTGTATTTCGACCCCTGAATCCACAGACAGGATAGCATCTCACGCGGCGGGCTGCACCGCTCTCGGCTTCACCCGGCCCCAACATGGCTGGTCTGATCGACCCGACCGTCGCGGGCAAGTATCCCGTCATTCTCGGCGATGGGCTGCTGGGAAAGACGTCCAACGAAATATTCACAGGCATTAGATGTACGCATTCTACAACAACGACTCCCAATTGCCGCTCTGCTTCTTGCTAACACCCCAGCTCAGATAACCACAAACCTGTGCTATCCTCCGACGATGCTCCCAACAGTGCCCGCCTCAAGCCTTCGCTCCCCGGCAAAACAGACTCATACGACTTGTCGTTTACAGACGACGACGGCGCGTACCTATACACCGGCTCGAGAAACACCAGCAGCAGTCAATATGTCCTGCACTTCGATAGCGAGCGCAAGGCCTTTATCCTCGACAAGATCGACTCCACATTCAACATGAACGTCACCCGGCTGCCGGGGAACTCGGACTCGGCCCGTCTAAGTCGGCAGTATCCTCACCTCGACAGCAAACAAGGAGCAGAAGCGCAGCCCCAGCGAGCCGCTGCGAAAAAGACCACCGCACCCAAGGGCACATCTGCGACCTCGGCTGCAAAGTCACAACCCAAAGAACCCAAGCGCAAGGCGGAGAAGAAGCAGCAAGCCAAAGAAGTGGCTCTGTCTTTCCCCGAGCCACAAAGGGAGAAGCCCAAGCCCAAACCAAGCTCCTTTGACGAAGAGGAGGACGAGGACGAAGATGATGACGGGGGCTTGCTGATCGAGTACCCCGGTGCCGACACTACTGCTAGACAAACCGACTTTTCGCCAGCATTCCCACCCCCGAGGCGGTTTGACGACTTTATGGACCAGCGAGACTCCGAGGCCGATGATGCGGATGGGGAGAGTGACGACGAACCAGACATGGACTTCAAGCTACCTAGTCCTGTGAATCATCATCGACCGGAACCGACGGACGAAGACGCCATGGAGATGGAGCATGACGAGGGCGACGGCGACGTTGGCGATGATTTGGAGGATGTTCTAGAGAAGGAGATGGAGGAGGCGTTTGAGGATCTGGCGAATAGCCAGGAGGAAACGCCCATGGGAGGCGACGAGAGCGAGATTAGCGAAGAGGACTAATGAAATGCCAAACGGGCTCGATTTATGGCGTCTCGGGCAAAAAAGAAAAAAGCGCGAATAGAAGTGTATAGATTCCGAGTTGAAATTTCCAGCGTGGAACAGCCGGCGTTGGGGGTGTGATTTGAAAAGAAAAGACCGCCTTGGTATTATACTACACTTGAATGAAGCTTATTTGTTTTGTTTCCCAGTCTGATGCACCCCCCTCACGCGAATTGAACATGAGCTATTGTCCGTCGGTCATCCTCATGGTCAGCTCATCACGCATCCAGATCACCCGGCTAGCGAGGCTCCCTCCTCCCCAGCAGGACAACCTCGCCCTCGCCCTCGCCTTCCTCGTCGTCGTACTTGTACCTGTCCCCGGGTAAGTGGTCCGTCACGCCGTCGATCTCGGCGCCGCAGAAGAGGTGCCGCTCCGCATACGTCAGCAGGCGGCCGTGCTCGCGCAGCGCCTCCGCGTCGAAGCACCCGACGCACATGCTGATCCTGTCCGACGCCTCGTGGCGCCAGAACAGGAGCGAGCCGCAGCGGGAGCAGAACCCGCGCGCGTTCCCCGGCGACGCGCGGTACTCCGAGAGCGTCGCCGAGGACGTGTACCTCAGCGAGGAGACGGGGACCCTGTGCACCCGGAAGATGAGCGAGCCCGTCTGCTTGCGGCACTGGGAGCACTGGCACGTTGAGCACTGGGCGTGGGGACCTGTTAGCTGGGCGGCGGAAGGGGGAAGGGGGGGGAGGGGGGCCCTGTGTTGTTTACTTGCGCGGTGAAGTCGTGGTCTGCTGGGAATGTGATTGTGTAGCGGACGCCTTCGCAGAGACAGCCGCCGGAGATGGTGGTGGGAGCCATTATTGATGCTTGTTTGGGGTGTGCCTGGTGGTTCTGTCGAGGTTTGCGACAGATTGTGGTTATTTTGGCATTGAACACTGACGGTGACGAGGAATCACCGAGTTGGTAATACTCGCGGTGAGCTGAATGTGTCATTGACGCCTTTCGGCAACAGATGGTGATGGGCGGCGGCATGCGTGAAACGGCAAGACCAGCCCCCGCCGCGATTTGCATAGGCTAGAGTTGGTGTGGCGTCGGGAAGGGCATCATCTGTGGGCATCATGATGATTGGTGAGGGAAACATTTTGATGCATTTTCCTGTCTCATGGCGGGTATATCGTATACATGGTATTCTGTCCACGTCTAATATGACTATATCGCCTCCCATTTTGCTATCCAGCCGACATTCTCGCCGGCGTTTCTTACTATACATAACCGTCCTTCTTTGCTGTTTGCTTTCACGCCGGGTATTACTTTCTCGGCGGCCACACTGCCAATGGCTGCTGCTTTGCCGTCGGCAAGACAATATGAGCCGGATGTCACGAAACCGATTAGGTCCTTGGCATCGGGAACTAGGGGATGGCCGCCGATGTCGACCTGGTTTGGTGCAGGGGGTGGATGGGCGACCGGTGGTGCTGTGAGTTCCCGAGCGAGAAGCTGCATCCGGGACTCCATGTTTGTGGTTTTGGCCGTGGTTCGAGCCCGTTTAGATGAGGAATTGCATCCCTGCGGGACCTTGGAGAGCCATTGGGCGCGTAAATCGTGCGGCAAATCGGAGCTGTTGTCCTGTGCTATAGTGGATGGGACTTCGGCGTTTGAAGACGTCGGTGCTGGAACTGGTTGTTGAGGAAGTCTATAGATTCTGGCGCATGTAGTTACTGTGCCGCGTGATAAGAGTGTGATGCGAACATTCATGATGGCATTGGGTGGGAGTTTAGGCGGAGAGTCTTGAGACGTGACTGCCTTGGAAAAATCTGCGCTTGAAACTAAATTCAGTAGCTTCAATGATGGAGGGTTCGGCGACGTATTGGGTGCAGAGACTGGCTGAACATCGTCCATGGCATCTTGATCGTCGGTTTTGTCTGCTTGGACAAACTCGGGTTCGGTGGTGGTGGTTGTGGTCTTTGGAGGCGCAGGTAAGTCGAAAAGAAATTCATAATCGCAAGCTAGACCATCGCCAATTTCGCCTTTCCTGCCGGCCCCCAGGTCCAATGTTGTCCACGAGGTTCTCTTGCTCTTGGGACGCCTGTCATATGCTCGTTGCCTCTTTTGCCGCTCTTCCAACTCCCACTCAGCACCCGAATCAGTGCCCATGAAGTCCGTTGGAAACCATGATAGCCCTCGTTCAAACGCAACTTGCATTGTCTCGTTTAACCCACCAAACCGAGGATTCATACCCGATACGAGAGGGCAGTGGACCATGCTATACCACAAGGGCAGAACACATTTCCACGGCATGAGCACCACCCACGTTCCCTGGGCCTGTGTGCTTGTAGGTGAGCGAGACGCAAGTAGAATTACGGGAATAGGAGGGTCTATTTGGCCGGGCTTTAAAAACGACCCAGGGCTTATTGCACCCCTTCTCCTGTTGATGGTCTTTTGTGACGGCAAGCATGTGGCTTGGAAGCGACTGGTTCTGTCAAACAGTTTATAGGGCTCCAGTTGCTCTTCTGCCGGCCAATCTGCCAATATCTCTAAAAGCTTGCACTCAGCTTCGGAATCATCTGAAAATTCCATTTTTCGAGGTGGGTGTCTCAGACGGGGGTCTTGTATTGAGAATCCAAGAACTGAATTTGCTGGTAATGAGGCGGGATTAGTTAGACCCTTTAGGGACCTGAAAAGACTGGCGTGCTTGTTTTTGGGCCTCTCCTCTGTTGAGTAGGGTGTCATGGTGCTCAAAAGAGCTTCTGTAGACGCAGGACCGGTGAGTTCGATGCTGCCAATTTCAAACCTCAAATCTTCGACAAAAACGCCCGATCCCTTCATCTTGGACAGACGTACTAGCTCGGCGAAGACCTCCAGGAATGCTGCCGGATTTACTCTTATGTAGAGTTGCCGCTTGGCCTGGCTCCCATTTGCTGCATTTTCTGCAGCCACGGGCTCTGGATTCCATATAATCGTAGCTGGACACATGACTCTGTTCAGACCGTCCTGTGGCCGTGAAATGCAGCCCGACCATGCCTTCAACCCCATCCTCCATTTCGTGCCTTTGTCATTCCAACACGATTCTTGCATAACCCCGACGCTCTTGAGAGTCTTCTCTATGCCATCAGGGCTTCCATACACGCCAATTGTGCTCATGTAACTCATATCCCAAACCATGGTCCCCCTCTCGCCTTGGGCACGATGAGTTGGCCGATAGATCTTCTCTGTTGGCGTCAAGGGGATAGCAAAGCGCCACAGAGGATTCTTGGGATCAGTCATATGCGCTCTTTTGGCATGCCACTTGTGAGTCGGTAACCAAGTCTTATTGATCTGCCTTTTGCGAAACCTGGCCGGCGGTGTGGGAGGGCTGTTGAGCTGGTTTCTTCGAATTTTCGGTTTAGGCTGCCGTCTAGCCAACCGTTCGGCTTCGGTGGCAAGTGATTTTCCTTCACTTTGGGCAGATTTTTCTTTTTTTAGTAACCTTTTGCGCTTCCTCGCCGCCAGAACACCCTGGCGTTTTGCCGATTCCGCTCGTATTCTCGCCCTTGTTGTCTTTGGTTTTCGTTTTCTAGATTCAACCAGGGGGGTATTGTCGTCTTCCATCTCTCTTCTGGCCCTTGCTCTCAGTCTTCGCGGCACTCTTTTCGGATTATGGCTTGCTGTTCGACGTCGCAACCCTCGTGGGACTTGCTGGAATGCACGGGTCGAGCTGACAGCTTGGGAAGTGGCCATGCTCTGCTCGAGAGACCGAATCTCGAATTCACGCGCGGCAACAAAGGCCGGAAGGTCGAGTTCGCCATCTTTCAATGCTGCATCGGCTGGCTGGGCCGGGATGTGTCGCGCCGAGTGCGTTTTCGCTCTCTTTTGACGAAATGCGTCACCGCGAGCACTTGCCGAGGCATTGGCAGAGCCTGGCACAGCGTTACGCTTCCCTGTGGCAGAGGCAGATGGACCACCGGATGACGGCTTCGGAGCCATAGTCACTGGGCTATGATGGCCAAGCCTGCCGAATGCGTGCCATGTGGTCTATCGTATGCGTGTTGATGTGATTGATACGCGACTTGGCTCAGAAATTTGACACGGCCCACTGCTGCAGCTTTATCGATAGGCGGTGGCCCACTATGGTCCGGGCTTGGAAAGGGACATGAGCAATTCTTAAGGTTCATTGGAGTACCGTCACGTAGACATGCACAATTTCAGCTTGGTCAACATTTCAATGCCACCAGAACTTCTCGTAGTGTTTAGCCACAAGGTTCCCTATTAGTAGACTATCTGGGACGCAATCAAGGCAACTGGCGTTGTCGGGCCTAGCCATTTAATAGCAATAGCTGACCCCGCGTATAGAAACAAGAATTGAACCTTCATAGACCCAAGCGTATCCGTTGAGCAGCTTTGCTTCAAAATGCGTAGTATTTGGTTAACCAACTGCTGGATGAACTGATGGCCCTGAATCCTTCACTGGTGAGACTGGGGCCTCAAGGGTTAGGGTTAAGTTGTAGCTGTCTGGGTACCCAGTTTTCCTCCTGTCCATCCATTGATTGATTTTGTTCTTGCGCCTCGCTTCCCTCGTTGCCACAACAAGCGCTTTATCTCTTTCTCTTTCAGGTTGCTTAAATCGCCTCATCATTTCGCCAAATTGTCCCGCAAAAGTCCTCCATTCTGCAGTAGCGCCGCCGCTCCGGGATCGCCGGCACGTGCCTCCGTCGCTCGAGGCTGCGAGAGCCTCACTCACTCCGGCGCCCGTGCTCCGTCTCAAGCGTCTGGTCTCAAGCGTCTCAAGCGTCATCACCCACACCTGCGCACCATCAAACCCCAGCAGCCCATGACCTCTATCAGTAAGCCTAAAATTCCGAACGCCCCGTTCCCTCGTGCCTAAATAAGTGCCTGTGTCCGTCTTGTCTTTGTGTGTGAGTGGTGCATTCTGGCATGGCAGTCTAATTCTGGATTCGGTTTTTTAAATCCCCCTTCAAAACACCTCGAGACATTTTTCGCTCTAGTGTGCAAGCGCCAGCTCTTCTCAACTGCCTGCCTGTTCATGCCGGACGCCAAGGGCCACGACTTCTTTCGGAAACGCGCGCCGTTCAAGTGAACTCGGTTGGATTAAGCACGCTCATCACCCACCACTTACCACTCACCACTCACTCCTCAACCACTTGCTTGCATCGGTTGTTTCCTCATTGCATTGATGCATTGCTGCATGGAGCCTCAATTACAAAAAACACCGAATCGCTAACATGAAATTTTTGTCCACAGTGGGCAAGGCTCGCAGGGTGAGTGTCGTCTCCTTCGACATTGAGTTCTCGCAATCGAGGCCACTTTTGCTAACAATGCCTCAAGCCCAAATTCGAATTACATCTCAAGGTTGGACGGGCCCGACACTCTTTGTTGCACACCTCTCCTAGTTGTCATGTCTAATACAATCCCTCTACAGATTTATGATTTAAACAACATCCCCCTCGTGTCTGGCAGCTCATTCATCAAATGGCATCTCTCGCACTCAATGCACGCCGAGCATCGAGGGCGCACCGGGAAATGCCCCATTTCCAACCACAAAGTTGACTACGGCTACAGCAAACTGATTCCCGGAGTCCGAATCTCCATGGAGAAGAACAACAGCCTGACCGAGTGCCCCATGGAGTTTGAGATTGTCCAAGAATTTGCCGTCGCTGAAAAGATCACCCTTGGCTACGTCAAGCTCAATCTAGCCGAGTACGTGGAAGAGAGCGAGTCATTCAGCCGTGAAGCAGGGTCGCCGCCTCGAAAACGCAGCAGCATCGGCGTCAGCCCGACTCCCGCTGATGGCGGCGCCAGGCCTGAAAATCGCATCGTGGAGGAGGGCATCGTGAGGAGATATCTCATGTCAGACAGCAAGATCAACAGCACGCTCAAGATTGGCATCCTCATGGTACAAGTAGACGGAGAGCGCAACTTTGTCGCGCCAGCACTGAAAACCGCCCCCGTGTTTGGCGGCATCGCAGGATTAGTAGCACCCGAAGCTGAGGATGACACATCACGTACGCTTCTCCCCCCCCTTCCCCCTTTTCCCCCAGCCATGTCACTTGCTGCTAACGCGGCTTCAGCGATGCCCAGTATTTCAAAGCCCAGGGATGCAGCCGAGGTGCACGACCTCTACCGCCGGACCCTCGCGGCCTCCTGGTCCCGGCAGCCTAATGAGCTACCGGCCGACGAGTGCATCGAGGACATCTTCTCCGGCGGCAACGGCTGGGGCACCAAGAAGGAGGCGCACGACAATCACAACAGCGACGAGGGTGAGGCGGAGCCCTTGGCCGGCACCCTTCGGCCCAGCGACTTCCGCCGATACGCCAACCACCACAACAGCCATGACGGGAGCCACGGCCGGCATAGCCGCGACAAGAGCGCGTCTAGCGACAGGAGCGTGTCCACCGTCACCGGAGGGTCCGGCGGCAACGGCACCGGGGGCCACAGGCGCGGAGGCCGGTTCGTCAACGAGGATGGTAGGGATGCCCGCGACGACGACCTCGGCAGCAGCAGGAGTGGCAGCATGGGCAGTCTGGCGCCGACACTGGGCAGCAGTAGTGATGGCGGGAGAGGCGAGCCCGCCATGAGGAGGGCCAGGGAGGTGGACGAGTTTGAGGTGAGGGAGGACTTGGTAGCGTGGAAGTTGCCCGGCAGCGTGGAAGCTTGAACTGAACCATTGGCAATTCAGTGACACGACACGACATGTATTTTCTCGAGGTTTTGTAGCCGGCGTTTTGATAAAGTGACTCTGATACCTTGCCGCTTAGCTGGCCCTAATGGCATCTTCTCCCTTCTGCAACCCGCCCATGATTTGCTCCGTCCACCAAACACTGACACCCATCCCATCCCAACCGAATACTTTTCAAATCCATCACATTCAAGTAAACTAGTCGTATTGATCATGTATAATTACCATACACCTATTTATTTATCCCGTCTCGATATCGAGAATCACGCTGTCTAATTCCGTGGAGGCAAACCATGCTCCTTGCCACTTCCACATTTTGTCCACCAATCTATCAATAGTGTCCCCCTTTTTGGTCATGTCAAAAACAAACAAAAAAAAGACAAGACAAACGAAGCCCCATACTGAACAAAAGATAGGGTTAATCCACAAGCTCCTGTCCTCAACTCCCTTTCCGGGACAAAAATTTAAGCAGCCAAGTTACCCCTGACGCCGCCCTTTCCACCGACTTCTCTAGCAGTCACGGTGACGCCGAGATCAGCCAACACGTTGATGGTGACCTCGACTTTGCCGCCCTTCTTGACGCCCTTGATAGCAGCCTCGGCGAGCTGTTTGCCCAGCTTCCAGATCTTCTCGCGCTTCTCCTCCTCTTCCTCCTCCTCTGAATCGAAATCAGAGTCGGCGTCGGAGCCCTTGTCGCCGTTGACGGGCTCCTTAGTCTTGGGCTCGGGCTTGGTGATTTTGATGTGGGTGCCGCCTTCGACGACCTTGATGAGGACGTCGCCGCCGTCCTTGGGGGCGGCAATGTGCACGGTGCGGCGGGCAGGGGCCGCAGTCTCGGCTTGCATGATGGGGGTAAACACTTCTTCGCCGTCGGGGTTGATGGTGACGACGCCGATGGCGTTGGAGATGTGCTTGACGGTGGTGACGGCGGGGTGGGTGGACTGTTCGATGTCGTTGGCTTCGTATTCCTGGATCAGTGAGGCCTGGAGGGCGGCACCGCGGGCCTGAGCCTCGGACGGGTTGATGGCGCTGACGTTGGTGGCCGGGGCGAGGATCCTGGTGCTCTCGGGGAAGATGTTGCGCAGGTTGTTGGCGATGCGGGGCGTGTGGGATGTGCCGCCGCACATGATGACCTCGTCAATGTCGAGGACGTCCAGCTCAGCCTTCTTGACGACGCCTTCGACGAGGCGGTTGAAGCCCTCAAAGACCTTGCGGCCAATCATTTCGTATCGCAGGCGGTTAATGGTGGACGAGAAGTCGAAGCCCTCTGCCAGACTCTCGATGCTGAACTGGGCATTTGTTCCCAGGGAGAGTGCCTTCTTGGTGGCCTCAGCCTCCTGTCGGAGCTTGGCCAGACTCTTGGCGTTGGATCGGGGGTCGGTGGTGTGTTTCTTGATAAACTCCTTTGCGAAGTGGTCCATGAGCACCTGGTCAAGCTGGACACCGGCAAACTCGTAGTCATGCGCAGTAGCCAGGACAGTGTACATGCCGCCTCTTGAGGCGACAACAGCAACATCTGAGCGAGTGCCGCCCAGATCAGCAACAACGACAATCTTGTCCTCGACAACACCCTCGGGGCGAGCATCGTACGCCAGCATGGCAGCAACAGGGTCAGAAATGAGCTGCAGAACCTCGAGGTCGGCATCGTTGGCCGCCTTTATCAGGGCCTCGCGCTGCTTGTCGCTGAAGTTGGTCGGCACGGTGATGACGGCCGAGGTCACCTTCTTGCCAAGGTAGTCTGAGGCCGAGGTGACCAGGCGGCGCAGATACCGGGTGGCAGCTTCGCTGACAGAGACGGGCGAAGCTTCGCCCTCGGCGTCCTTGTCCTTGACCGAGAAGAAGACGTTGCCGGCGTTGTCCTGGGGGTGAGCAGCGGCATGGCAGTAGGTAGGGTCAATGGACTTGAAGCTATTGAAAGCACCATTGTTAGCACCGCGGCTCTTCCCGTCACGTTGCGCAGAAACACAAGGGATGCATATACGTACTCCTTGCCCAAAAACTCCCGGAAGTAAGCGATCGAATTGGAAGGATTGCGCACCAAGAACGCCTTGGCCTGGGCACCGTAGTACTCGTCACCGTCGACGTACGACAGAACAGTAGGAATTTGTCGGTCTGATGCCCAAAAGAAGGTCAGTATCACGGTGTCACATCAAACAACCACAATTCACCCTGCCAACATCCAATCCAAGCCCCCCAGTCCTACAGAGACATACCTCCGTCCTCATTGGCAATAACCTCCGCCTTGTCATCGACAGTAAACGCAATCGAACTGTTGGAGTTGCCAAAGGTGATACCAATAACCACCCGGTCCGCTGGCTCGGGACCGGGTTTGGCGCCCCTACTCTCAGACATCCGGAGCGGTTTGAGCGAGCAAATTCGTAGTCGTGCAAAGAGCGATTGAAACTCGGTAGCAGAGAAGCAAAATACGCTTCGGGTTGTTTTTCTGCCAAAAAAAAAAAAAACCGGTCGCGGCCGCGTCGAAAGAAACGTAGTTGAAGGTTTGGGGCCCTTGGCAAAATGAGTAGTGGGGGTATTATTTTTTTTGCGTCTTATCAATTCTATCCCAGAAATTTCGAGCACCTGCCCAGCTAACGAGGATGCTCACACCTTACCCCCACCGTGGGCCGCTAAACCGCTTTCGAACCCGCCTCCATTGAAATTGTCGTCCTGCAAAGGGCAAACAGCTTCACGACGCTGGAAGAACTGGCTGGCACGGAACTTCCACCGCCATTCACCAGGCATCATGTCTTCAGAACCGGTGTTCGTCCTTCCGGGCGATCACATCCCACCAGACCTTGTGCCCTCACATCCTAAGAAGCCGCTCCGATTAGGCCCCGGCCTGCGGCACGTTCCTCCGAATGATGTTGTGCCCACGCTGGCTGGCCAGTTTGTGACGGATAGACCAAAGAATGCGATTAGAGTTGAGAACTCACATGGGCGGGTAAGCCAATTACTATGCATCGACTATCTGAGCGGAAATGTGGCTAACGGCGGGTCGGGATATTGTTTACAGTACGTCCCTCGGGTGGGAGAGCTCGTCATAGGAACGATTCACAAGACCGCCGCAGATGTCTACTACGTCCATCTGTCAGATTACACCGCGCCCGTGCTACTGCCGCAATTGTCGTTCGAGTCGGCGACCAAGAAGACACGTCCTGTCTTGGCACCCGGGGCGCTGGTCTACGCGCGCGTCACTCTGGCGAATAAGCATATGGATGCAGAACTAGAGTGTGTTTCATCGTCGACGGGGAAATCGGATGGATTGGGGCCCTTGACCGGCGGTATGATGTTTGACATATCATTAGGGATGGCTAGGCGACTGATGATGCCCAAGAGCGTGCAGGAAGGCAAGATTGTTGTGTTGGAAGAGCTGGGTGCGCTGGGTTTGCAATTCGATACCGCAACGGGCCGCAACGGGCGATTCTGGGTGGACAGCGAAAATACAAAGACTGTTCTGGCTGTCGGAAGAGCAATTCAGGAGACAGACGAGAGGAGACTAGGAGTAGAAGACCAAAAGAAATTGGTCCGAAAGATAATCAAAGATTTGAGCTGAAGCTCTCGCTCTCTCTATTGAGCTCGGAAACAGTTCGCCGACCTTCCTTTTTGTTACTACATACAAAGCGCTCGCTCGCGCAACACCATACATATACCGCAACGCCCCAGAGCCGTAAAGTCTGTAATTAGCAAAGTGCTGCTCCATGCTGGTCATGATCAACCAGAAAATACTGTATCCAAACGCCTCATTGCTGCTCTAGCAAAGTCCTTATTACCTGATGCCCCAAACCCTATTTCATAGTCTCTCCATTGATGCGCAATCTCCATTTGGAAAAGATAGACAAAAGTTGGTAGATCCTTGTGAATGTAACCGAGAATAACGCAAAGCGAAAGAAAAGAAAAAAAAAAGAATTCACGATGAAGCAGGAGTGCACGTTCGCTGCAACTATCTACATGCGAAACGCCTGTTTCGAAGGTATATGTTTCTATAATGGCGTGGGTTGCTGCTGTGCAATAACCGATGTCCAAACTCTGCTGATGGTCGCAGAACCGTTGCGTTGAGTCCCGGTCGACGGTGGTTAGTGTAAACAGTATGACACTTTCTCGGTGTGTATTTTGTGCCAGCTGCAACATCATGTGCCGCCCATGTCCAGATCAACTTCGATGGGTTCTGGGAGATGTTGCTGATCCATGTTATGAATTTTGGTCATATGCCGCTTCCAGTTATCCTTGCGAGGGAATGCTTTGCCCCCGGCCTTGGAATAATCGCACTCTGGAAACGCACAGTGGAATTTCTTCTTCTTCTCATGGCGGTCATTTATATGCCGTTGTAAGTGCGTCTTAGTTCCAAAGCCCTTGCCACAGTTTTTGTAAGGGCATTTGTGTTCTTTGATGTGATAGCGCTGGTGATGTCTACTTCCCGGTTAGTTTCTGCAAATTCAACACAAGACATTGGTAGCATGGTGAATTTTGACTCCCCCTCCCCCCACTTACTTGAGCTTGTGTGGCTGGTCAAACACTTGACTGCAACCAGGCTCGTCACATCGAAATAGCCCTGTTCTTGGAGATGCTTGTCCGGGTTGCGGGGAAGCACTGTTGCGGATTTCAGAGCTATTCATTGAACCTGGAGAAGGGCTGTCGAACTGTGTCGAAGGGGTATTTTCGGTGGATGGCCCGGTCGAGTGCGGCCCGTGGTATTGAGTTGATCCGTCCGAGGTACAACTCTGATGTCGGCCATTGTCCGGGATCATGGACGGGCTCAGGTGATCGTGGCTATGCACGTCAACCATTGGCACATCATTTTCATCCATTGCCTGCAACCCCTGAACAGCGTTCTGATTCGTCGGAGTAGCTGGCCGGGCGGCATTAGCAGCATCCGAAGGAGATAGGGCGGACGTGGGCAAAGGTGTAAATGCCAAGGTCGAGAAATGCTCTTGCTCAGCAGGGTCACCGGTAGACGAAAGCCCTGGAGAGGACCCGTATGAGGTATGCAATCGATGCTCGGTTCTGTGCCATACTTCTGACTCTGTTGACGCAGGCATGATATCCATGGGATTCACAGTGCCAGGAGCGGGAAAGGTCGGCGGTGAAGGCGACGCCTGGAACGCTCGTTCCGCCGGCGGTGGTGGTGATTGGGGTGGGGTCTGAATCGTTAATTGTGGAGGAGACGCTGATGATTCCTTCGTCTCTGGTGGTTCCGTCACTCCGGGAACATAGGGTGGTGGCATTGATGTCTTGGTGGGCGAAAGCTCGGTTGGAGAGTCGGTTGCACGGCCTGTCGTGAGTATTTGGCCAAGCTCCGTCCCTGGAGGTACCTGCGACGCGGTGGCTTTGTCGTTGCTGGACAGCACCGACGCAAGAGAGTTTTCGCGGCCGCTCTGCTGGCGAAACATGTGCTTTATATGGTGCTTCAAAGAGCTGCCACGCGATAATGTCGGAGGTGGTTCGTCGGCAGGCTCTGGGGTGGTGATCATGCCAAACGCCGATGAAGGGATTGACGGGCTGTAATAATCAGCACTGGTTCCCTTGAGAACCCCTGGATTATCATCGTGTGCCGTTGCCGCAGGGGTGTTTTCAAAATAATATGGGAATGGCTCGTCGTTTGAAAAGTTGTTGCCGGTGTAATGGCTCTGTTCTTGCCGGGAACCATCACCTGTTTGCGCAGAAAACTGTCTCGACGGGCCAAAATTCCCATCCGGCTGCGTCACATGGCCATTATAAGACGGCCAGCCAAACTCCTTGTTCTGAAGGGCGCCAAAGTCCCCGCGCGCAACATCCCCATTTTGCTTGAACGAGTCTGTCGATGACAGGCGACGATGTAAATTCTGATGCTGCACCGGGCCGGTGCCAGGCTGTGGGAAAAGCCCTGCTTCGGCATCGAACTTGGGCCGTTGTGCTCGCCTTCGGCGTTTGATTTGGTGAATGACAACGGGATAGAGGCAAAAGGCTAATAGTGCGACGGCGACGACAACACCAACGACGGTTCCAGCAATGGCCCCATCGCTCATGTCTCGTTTATAAGCTCTGAGGGCAGGCTCTGTAGCGGCCGCCATGGCGACGGCAGCTCTCGAGTTCAATGATGAAAATGGTGGGATCTCGTGGACAGCACGAGAAACTGCAGCTGCTGCAACGAGATGGCTGCCCATCACCATGGACAGTCAAGCGGTGCGAGTATCAAGTGCCAAGGTGCCAACGTTGCGATGGAGCAACTGTCCACATGGGAGGCCGCCCACGATGGGGGCTCGCGCAAAGGCCCGTTGGGGCCGACTAAACAACTGCGCAGCACGCAGCGACGTTGATGAGCGGTCGGTGTCTGGATACTGTCAAGCATACATGCTTGCGAAGCGTAGTAAGAATGAGGATGTGGAAGGGGGAGAAGGAGAAATACAAATGAAACCTGCGATCGGTAATGGTTAATGGCGGTAATTAGGGTGGGCAGGTTGGACATGGAAGCTTGAGCTGAAGGGCCTGCGGCACAAGCCGGCGCGAAGGTCAAGTACAAGGATGCACACGTACCGGGTATATGCTCCGTACAGCAGCCCCGGGGTTAGGCTTTGTCGTCACGGATTGACAGCGTCGTCTCCGCGGTGGTGGTACGTGGACAATTGATACCAGATGTTGTACTCCGTACGTACTTCGCCAGGTCCCCGTGTGTGTGCCAGCTTTCCACGTTTAATACCAGACGTGAAGCCATTGGTGGCGTCAATCTAGGCGGCTCCATGCCAGCTGCCCACGCACTGCCCACTGACCGCCGCTCACAGCTGCCGCCAGACCACCAGACGCTAAACCCTCCTCATCTTAGCATTCAATGCGGCGGCGCTCTGCTTTTTCGCGGCATTGTCTACCCTGCATCTGCATCATCGTCATCATCGTCATCCTGCCCGTTCATCCTTCCAACACACACAGACCCTGTAGGCCGCCGCGAAAGTCGTCCAAATCAAGCTTGCCGTCGGTTGAATCAATCCGAAAGCCGGCTAGCGCATCTCTGTCCTGCTCCAGCCATACTCGAGTCAGGCATCCGGGGTATCATGTGTATGTATCTGTTTAATCGACCAGCTGCAGCCCAAGTCGGCTGCCATTGTCTGCTCTAGGCATGGTCATAATAACCTGCTCGAACGGGAAAGCCAAGACTTCGTAAAGTCAATATGCTTTGTCGCCAACACCAACGCCGCCAGCCTGCCTGCTCAGCTGTGGTCGAAGACAACCCCACGGCAATTGAAGTTGACTAGACCTTTTTACCACTGCCACCAGCCCCGGCCCTTGAAACTCAACACAACATCTGAACCTTGACAACCTTAACCCTTCACCCGGCACCGGACTTTGTTGGCTGGCTGCCTCCGCCTTCTTGGTCAACCGCCCTCCATGTCTGCCATCACGTCGCCCGACGTGCCCCTGTCCTCCGCATCTCTGACACCGAGAAACCTCCCCGTGTATCACAATGCAATTCTTGCCTTGCCGCTCCCAACCTCCAAGTCTATCATGACGTCTTCACCTGTATGCATGTACGTGAACCTGCCGTTCACTGCCTCCACTGAGCCCTACTAGGATAGGCGTCTTGGCGACTCGACCCCAAGTCGTGGACCCTTGCAGACAATCAATCTTCCGCAACTAAGATAGGCCAGTGACCAGACCGCTCCGCGTTTGGACTGTTCGATAGCGGTAGTGATACAATGATATCAATCTAGTTCACCCAAGAGCGTAGCAAACTAGTCCAGCATCCTGGAAGCTTACTTCTATTATCGCAATTTAGTAAACGTATGACTCCCTCTTGAATCTATGAATAGATGCACATCCCCTGCTCCAACACAGATCGGCGGTAAGACACTGTCCTGAATGCAGCGAAGCCTCACACCTGTTCTGTTCTTGCTGTTGCCGTGTACATGCCGAGTGAAAAAAAGAAACAAAGCTCCTTACAAAGCCTGTGATATCATCCATTTAAACTAAACCATTCTCATTCAAAGGCACTCTAATATCAACCAAGGGTCGTCGCGTCGCCCATGCACGTGTCTGTACTCATACTCACCCTTGTTTCCACTCATGAGTTTCTGGTAGAACTTCCTGTTGACAGGCTTTAAAGACAGACACGTCCGGAGTGTGCCGCGTCTCTTCCAGACATGGAGCCACTATATCGTTACAATCCGTTTATGTAGAAGTGTGTCGTCCCATAGCTGCGACAAATATTTGCTTCTTCCGAATCTTTTTCCAGGAACATAAGCCATTGTCCTGCGCATCAAAATAACTTCAGCTTGGCGTGCCCTCGTGATAGCAACGTTTAACCGCTTGGGGTCATCCATGAACCCGGCAGTAGTTGTTCTGACCATGTCTAGAAACACCACATCAGCCTCATTCCCCTGTGCCTTATCTACTGTTAAGACCTGAGTTCTTCTTTGCCAAGATTCTGGCCAGCTTTTCACTGCGGCGTGATACTGCTTTACTGCAGTGCTGTACGGAGTTGCAATCATGATGGTACCGCCCATTTCTCTGTCTCTGAGGCCACGGAATCTGTCATCCTGTAGTAGATGTGTGGCTTGGGCCAGAACCCATTGGTGGTGAAGGGGGTTCCAATAGCTGTCGCGATGCTTTTCTTCATTGCTGTTTTCCAAATTCACGATAATGCGATTTTCGTCGACGTCTCGGTTACCATTCAGATTTTGGAGGTAAATAGTTAGGTGGGCCACGCCGTCAGGGTATCGGGATGCCTCGTCATAGCCGGATCTCATCTGGCTTTCATAGAACATAGCAGATGGCAGCCTATGAAGGTTTCCAAATGCCCGCTTATTAATGAGTAACTTACTATTGACAGCATTGACATGGTCTGCCCTAGCCATGGTACTCATCCTCAGTTGTGCAGCAAAGGGATTAAACCTCAGTCCGCTGTGCTTCTCTCTGTCCTTTGCATCCTTCACGAACGGCTGAGTTTGTTTCACATCGCCCGTAAATATCCAAGCCTTGGGTGTAAAATATGCCAGAGGGATGAGTGTGGTGAGCTCCCTGGCATGAGAAGCTTCATCCATAAAAATGATGTCCGGTTTAAAAAACTTTGAGAATCTTCCGTACGCCGCGACCGGAGTAGTCGCGATAAAGTCTGTTCCCGCCAAAACAACACGATAAAGCCTGGAGACATGGCTTCTCAAATGCTTCCAATCATCTGTACTCAAGGCTTCGCCACTATCCATCTTGTCCAACAACTTTTGGAGGCCAAGAAACGCGTCCCTTTTGTTCTTTTCAAAGTACTCCCATGACGCCTGGTCCAAAGTCGGCACAATGCCAGGATCTCTTGACACGCTGGTCTGCTTGGAGAGGCCAGCGGTCACAAGAAATCGATTAGTAAAGTCTGGGACCGCGAAACTATCTTGATTTGTAGTTGACCGTGATCCATGAAGTTTAGCACTCTGTCGCATTTCCAGTGGCCATCCGTGCATACGGACGATACGGATCGTTACTCCGGCTTCCTGACAAAGCGAGTAGTACCTGCTAGCAGCATCGTCTACAGCTTTATTGATGTCCACCAGAAACAGGATAGGGTTTCGCCTTTTTTTGTGCCTCCTTTTTGAACACTGTATCAGGCCTGCCAGAATCATATTCCATTCTGTCTTTCCAGACCCCGGACAGCCGTTGACGAAGTAGAGTCCGTTTGGTATCTGCTTCAGGCCGTTGAAAGCGTTCGAATGATCATTGTTAAAGGCTTTAAATCGCCGTAAAATTGCGTCTGGGACTGCATGCCTACGCAGCTCTGGGTTGCTTAACTGTGGGAAGTCTTTGTGGAGATCATAAAAGTCTTTCCAACTTGAATGAAAGTTCTGAATCATACGAAATGCTCTTTGAGACTTCAACGTGGGGCCTCTATTCTGTAGACGTTTTTCTTCAGTGAAGAAATGAAGAGCGTCGAGCTCTGCCTCAAAAGTGGCTGAGTTCACATCCCACTCGATGGTCAAGAGCTGATGTTCGTGTTCCTCCAGAACGATTTTGTCCAACTCGGTTTCTCTACAAGATATCTGAAACTCTGACATCAAATCCAACTCAATGTGATCTCCTTCCGAATTCGTCCAAGACCGTGGCACGTCGACTTTGTATGCTGCAAATGTTTTGATCCTGGTATCTCGTACTGCTTCACAGGTTTCAAAGGGATTGGGAATGCGGGTAGCTGGTATGTGAGCGAGAGAATATTCATCGCCACCTCTTTTGACATTTGAAACCATGTCTATCCTGAAACGGTCTGTGGTGGTTGGGAAACCGCTCGCTTCCAGGTTGTCGGGTGGTTGAACTAGAAATAGCCATGGCTTCGTGAAGGCTGTGATTAAGTTGCTAAAAGGCGTAATAACCCAGCATCTGAATTTTTGCCGCCTTTCATTCAAGACTCGGTGCAAATGTTCCTCGTTGTACATTTCAATCTCGGTACCTTGTTCATGACGCCAGGCAAATTCTTCCTGAATCGGAAATGTGTGCAGAGGTACAAGTGCCTTCGTCAGTAGATGTTAGCCAAGATGAACGTGCTCCGTACGGGTTTGCAAAAAGGCCTCACGGTGTCTGGTATTGTCTGAAGTGACAGTGGCTGTTCAATATCAGGTCTTGTCAGCGACATTCTAAAAGCGTTGTCGAGTGGGCCTTTTGGAGAGAGGTTCAAAGAAAATTGGATGTTCCTGGTGTGCAACAGGTGATGGAAATGCGAGAAAAAGGCATGTCAATGGTGTCAATATCAGAATGGGGGAAGGAAAGGATCCAAGGCAGCCGGCAGAGTTTACGAACTGGCTGCCAGCTGACAGCAACTGCCCAGCTCTATGTACTCAAGTACCTTGGCACCAAATGGTCGACCGGTATGCTCGTATCCGGTAATGGTCACTGAGCCTGTCAAGAATTTCAACTTTCCCTAAGGCTAAGTTTCAATCCATGCTTGCTCTTTTTACCTCCGGTTCAGGACAATGGCGCCAGCTCATCCAACCACAGTAAATACAGAGTACGTAGTGCGACTATCAAACACATTCGCTATAGACAAGACTTCTTTTCTCTTCTTCTCTTCTCCCTTAATTGAATTCAGTCTAAAAGTGACCTTGATATATATCGTTAGCCGCGTGCGAAACATAGACCAAGCTCCTTACTAGTCAGGGGAGAGAACTGCACTCAAAAAAACAACAACGAAATATTCATTGTATTATCCACACCCACTTATCCCATCTATTAGTTCTGGGATTACTACTTGGTCGAAATTATCTCTCTATTCTTACAATACCTACCCAGGCACTAAGTAGGCAGGTAGCAACAGCTCTCTCGCTCCGAATGCCCCTTCAAGGCTCGTCACAATTTTTGTCCGTCATGTGCAGGAATAGCACCCAATATACCTTTCCATGATATAAACCACATCATCTCGAATCACTAGCTCCGAAACTATTTTCTTTTAAAACCGCGGCGCAGTCGTGTAGGCTCCTTTTGACGATCTCACGTGAGGTCCATGAAGGAACTGGACGTGATAATGCTTGTCTGGAGGCCAGATATGTCTTCATCGGTCAAGTCGATGACAGAGTTCATTGCTCCTGGCGAGTCTGAACCAATGCTTTCAGTATCAAGCATTTCCGCGTCAAGTATCACCACATCCTCCGCCTCGGGCTGATGTGATTGAACACGGTCCTGTTGCAGCAACCAGTTTTCCAGATGCTTGTATAAATGCTTGACACAGGTGGGCGCAAAGGCGTTCCCTATCTGAGATTTTATGCCGACTGTTGTTCCCCGAAACCTATGGGCTTTTGGAAACCCTTGCAAGCAGGCATATTCTCGCAGAGTAAAATTTCGGGTTCCGTCAGGATAGTACAGACTTCCCGATCGAGCCGTAATTGTTCCCAGCAAAGTGTCAAAATTTGAAGCGCGTCTCCTAGGGGTAAATCGGGCGACGGTGCCAAGGTTGTGCAAGTTGTCACCCTCCTGAATTCTGCTAAGAACTTGTCGAATTGTGGTATACGGACGCAAACCATTTTTGCTATTCTCATAATGGGTCGCCGCAGGAAAGCCTGGTAGCTGCTCTCCCGGACCTGCAGCAATTATTATAAGTCGTCTGCGATTTTGAGCCAACCCCCAGGTGCATAGTGCTACGATCTTCCATCGAACAGAGTACCCAAGCTCCGTGAGACCTCCGATAAGCGAGTAAAAGTGTTGTCGATGTCGATCGAACAGCAGCCCAAAGGTCTGCTCTATGGTGACCAGCCTCGGACGCAGCTTTTTCACAAGCGAAGGACAGCTACGCTGCGCTAATATGTTGTCATAGTCGTGGGCACAATCTTTTGTGTGTGCTGGAGAAAAGTATTGGCAGGGCGGAGACAAGTGAAGCACATCTACTCGAATGGACGCATCATTTGTTTGCCCAATGAACCTGTCAACGGGCCATTTGTAAAGTTTTGTCTCCGGAAAGTTAAGAGAGTATGTTCGCCACACATCTGGCGATTTATCGATGGCATGAGTAACCTTGAATCCCGCATTCTGAGCACCCCTCGAGACACCGCCAGCGCCTGAAAACGCGTCAAAAAAGGTATATTTCTGGTTACTTCCTCGGAAGTTCCCCTCTTGGATACTCGAACCATTAGCGAGATCAACGGTATGAGTACAGGAACCTTGGTCTGGAGTCCAGGAACCACCCCTGATACGGCCTCCTCTCCATCTATTGCATAGAGCCTCTTGGTCGACAAGATATTGGCGATCCAAAACTTCTTCAGCCGATATCCGTTCCAAAACTTCTTCCTTAAACTTCTGGTCCTGACTCTTATCGATAAGATATACCATCCATTTCCATCGACAGCAGAGGTTACCTGACTGTTCAATGTGACGCTTGAGGGCTTGGGTTTCGCCTCTGATGGACAGGGGGGATTGCGGACCATGCAATACAGAATGCTCTGGAAATTTTGCGTTTGTAATTATAAGGTTTCGCTTTCTCACAACACGGTCTTCTTTGATATCAACCAGTAATGCAAAGTCGTCTGGGGTGCGTCCGTTTTCTTGCTGAAAGTGCAGCATCATGCACACTTCATTCATCTTCTTGGGAAGCCGTCCTCGCATATTTCGTGTCCTGGTAAACGGGATACCTCGAAATTTTCGTCCAGATAGAGTAGCTCGGGAAATGTGCTTTACTTGGATGAAGTCTACTCGGCAATCGCCGATCATGACATTCTTGATTTCGATCACATCTCCAACCCGAATGCTTGGCTGCCCGAGAGTAGTGAGATTTTGTTGTGCTGTACGCATAGGCGTCTGCGTTTGTGCAGTATTGCCGACATTGTTGATCCAATCTATTATGCGGGCATCATTTCTTCCGTGTAATTCATCGTCTTCCAGAGCAAGCGTGCGTGATGAAGCAACGCTGGGGCTGCGCGACTCTCGAGATCCTTCTTCAAGGCATATTACAGAAGGAGGTGCCATTATCGTCATGTATATTCCGATGAACCATAGGAAGCTTAGTTTGAGCAACTTCCTGGCTATAGGAGCAGGGCGCCTTGGTATGGCATAAGCCCAGCGAGTTGAACCAAATGAGAATCAGAAACAGAAACTGTAAAGAGGGAGCCGAGTGTTGATGTTTAGACGAGGATTTTTCATGTCGTGAAGAAGACATGCATCCAGCCTTGTAATACTCGGGGCGAGAAAGATGTGAGTTTGTGTAAATTCAACTGTCCATTTGGCTCCTTGCATGTGACGAGAGCCGTTGGCCGTTTGCATAATGAGCCGACAGCAAAGCTCTGATTGAAAGAACTCTGACTCTCAGCTCAGAATGCCCTCACTTTTGGGATGGGAGTTGCGATGCCGCCTCGGCTAGTACCACTTGGGCAAGGAGAGCCAAAGTGAGCGGGATACCGTTTTGCAAATCGCCACTTAGATGTCACTATCAAATCTCCAAGGGAATGGTAGTTTCGATTTAAAGACACAGCGCCTCTGTACCTACTAGGTAGGTACAGAGTTGTTGAAATGCATGTAGTACGCGACATGATAGCGATCCCGCTCATGAGCCTGGATGCCTCTCGGAATCCAGTCTGTCAAGAATAGTCGAGTATCAGCTAGATTCTGCGGATTCTGCGGATTCTGCAGGGCTTTCTGATATGGGGTCAACAGAAGGAATCACTGAAGAATATCAACCTCCCCAGCGCCATCATCTCACATTGAAGGTGATGCGTATGCGTTTGAAAACTTCTAAAAGCCTGGCATCAAACGTCATCCTACCTACCTGAGTCAGAATATACTGACAATGTTCGATATCCAAATAGGCGAAGAACCACTGAACTAAGCATTCAAAGATGCCAATCTAATTGTCCAAGTGGACATTGATCTGGAAGAAAACATTGAAGAGCAGAACAGTGACAAGGCTGGTGTGCACGGGCCACATTAAACTTGCTCCGCTGCACCTCTAGCGGATATACTACCAGCAATCAGAGCTCCTTCTCCTTCTGCTTTCAAAACGCGCTATCTCACATGCACTTAACGCGTGCAGTTGTCCAGGTGGGCAAAAAAAAAGTTCAAGCCATTCCTGGTCCCATTTAGCTCCCTGCTTCTCCGCGCCCGCGCCTTTCAACTTCCACCACATCGCCGACGTGGCTCATCTCTCAATCCCTGACAGTCGTGATTGGGCTACCTTTATAGCGGCTGAATTGCTATACATGTTGAAGAGGGCTGCAGGGCCTGGAAGCTAGCTTGCTTCCGTCCAAACCAATTTCGATTTCTTCAGTACCTGGAACTCTCCGCCTCCCACAACCTCAGCCTCTTCCGCTGTATCCTCAATCCATCGCCTCTGTAGTCTACCTGAACACTGCGAAACACCTTTTTTCAAGGCTCCTACATCTGCCTACGAGCCTGGGTAGTGGCCTGGCGGTCCTCCACTTGCTAGGCAGATGTTTGGGGATGGGCACGAGATTCCAACGCCAACATGTCGGATCTTAACGAGGAACTGGCAAAATGGTACGAGGAACTACAGAAGCTCCCCCATGATTGCCATCTACTCTGCCCGAAGATCGACTCCGACGATCGCGAAAATTACAAAACCTTTGATGACCCTGAATCCCAAATCACCGTCGAAGACAAAAAACAGCGGATCGAAGATGGCCATCACCGCATCGAAATCACGTACTGGAATAGCCTGATATTTGGATTTGATAAAAGTGAGGCAGGGAAATGGGCAGAGGAGTTCAAAGATAGACTCGAGCATGTACTGAGGAGTTGCTCTGAATGCGTCCTCAACTGGCACATGCAACGCCAGGTCTATCTGCAAAGATTTTCTGAGTACGCTACCAATCCTTATTTTTTATAGAGAGCCTGCTGACCAAGCGCAGAAAATGGAACGAACAAGTCATCGAGCACATCGAACAAATGCTGAATCGAATCGATATCGCCAGAATTAGTTGCAATCTTCAGTGGGCGAAAGAATACATCGGCAAAATCGAGGAAAGGGGAGATGTTTTCAAAAAGACGCAGTTGGGAGAGAAGCTGCCAGAAGTTCTTATTGCTGTCTACGAGGCTCTTTGCTGCATGCCGTTCATGTCAACACCTGACCAGCGCGCCCTTTTTCAGTACGTCTTCATGCGGTTGCAGGGCAAGAGTTATCTCAAGCTGGGGCGAAGCGATCCACTCCCTGGCATGACATACTTTTTATTTGATCAAAAGAATGATGACCGTCGAAAATGGGCACAAGAAAACTGGAAATTCATCAACTCCAAATCGATGACGGAGGCCCAGTTTGACTGGGCTGTGAGCAACGGATTGACCAGTGCGATAGATGACATTGCCAGAATTCAGGTGACTCCTCAGTTCTCGGATGAAGAGCGACTGGCTATCGAGCGTTTCTGGGAAGGGTTTGAAATAATTTTGACCAAGCTGCCAGAGAACCTTATTCACAGCCGCCTCCGCAGTCTGGAACTGCGCCAAGGCTCAAGCATTTACGACCTATTATTCCGTCACATTCAGACCTGTCCCTCGGAAGGTATGCTGGTTGTGACGATCCGAGTACTGACAATCTTCTTAAAAGATTACCCAAAAGCCTTTTGGGATGTAATCGGTGATGCTCGGCCAAACGTAATTGCCGACCTGCTTTTTGCTAGTCCTGTTTACAAGGTTTTGCTTCGCCAATCTCTTGACGACTGCTGGAGTGGGTTCAGCATGGATTCGGATGTTGTGCCTTTTCCTACATCGTGGATTCAACCTTGGCTTATGTCGTTGGGTCGAGACCGTAGATATGACGCTTGTGAAGTCCTCATGCACACTCTGTTTGCGACTCTGGCAAAAGATCCATTCATTGGTGAACCGGGGCAAGCCGCGTGTATTCGTGCTGGCTTTGACGCCATAAATTTCACCCTGAAGTCCTTCCTAGATCCCGATATACAGACAGCATCCGGTACGACTCATTTATACGCGGGTGGCGCTTTTAATCTAGTGGTAAAGAACAAGGACCTCATATTGGAGAGCCTGCGGCCACCACAAGATTCACGAGAGGGCTGGACGACTTTCAGAGTCTCCGACGCGGCCATGTCAGTCCTACATGCCGCTATGAAATTGGATATGAAGATGTTTTTGGAGGAGTTCCAGGCTATTCACAACAAAAAGCAACTTCAATCAACAATTCTCCGTGAGTCAAAGACATTTTGGGAAACCATTGTCGAAACATTCGACTCTTCGGGGGATCAAGTGACGCTGGCAAAGGATGTCTTAGTGTCCCTTGGCCCTCTCATCTCAGTCGAACAAATACGGCCACGCAAAAGCATCAACAAGCTGGATGAGTCTAGCCAGCGATTCAACACATCACTCGGTAGCATTGCCGATGTGTTGGCGAGAATATTGGGTCGAGTTTCGGAAGTGGACGCCACCGATTTGAATCTCCTGTTTGCAGATCGATTGTCCTTTCAGGTTATTGTAGGGTTATCCGTCCACGACGATTCTAACCTGGCTGAAGGCTCAGCGGAGATCCTCAAAAGCTGGACCGGTGAATTATCGCGGAGTGGTGCCATAGAACACATGTCTCAACTACATCCGGAACAAACTCTATCTTCTATCGTCTGGACACTGGAGAGAGTTCTTAAACCACCATTTCCTTGGGGACCTATCCGTCCGCTGCTCAATATGAGCAGGGATGTTCTCAGGGGATTGTCCGACCCGACCTCGGGTGTCCTCAGAACAAAGACTCTCAACTCAAAATCCGTCGCTGTAGTGTTACGCTGGTGGAATGAGCAGTGGAGATTCGTTTCAAAGTCCTGTCTCAATATAGAATCTTGGTCATTTTGCATTTCAAACGCGATTATGACCGAGTTCTGTCGAGAAATTATGGAACTAGCCGAAGCTCTTATTGCAGAAGACGGCCTTCTCACTTCTGCTACTGCTTTGGGCAAAAGTGAACAGGACGTGATGCCAATCATTCTGGGCCCGGCGAAAGAGAACTTTCGGGGAATGGAAAACATGATTCGATTGAAGGATAGATGGTTAGTTGACGTTACCGTTCGAGTGCTCGGCAAGATCTTGACTAGACTTCGGGAAAATAAACTCGAAATCAATGCCGGGTCACGAAAGCTCATCACGGACGCCTGCATTCCTACTGGGACTACCGGAAAGTACCTCCGCTCAACGAATTTAACAGACCAACAACGAGCTGAATTGCTTCAAGCCCTCGGCCATGATGAAGAAGTTCAGATTTTACAACTTGGGCCTACTACCAGTGTGGTAGATCGGACAACTGCTTTAGACAAGGAAAGGTCTAAGAAGCAGAGCAAGCTGGATGCTTGGTCCAAGTCTGCCCCTCCTGGGACTCCTTCCGATAAGGTTGGGAGGTCCAATAGAGATGACGTCCTGGAATTTAGCAGATCGGCTGACAGTCCTATTCTAAAGCAGCTTGCGGCACAGCAAGCAAGGTCTAAGTCCAAGGGTCCCGACATGAAGGCTATTTTGGCACTTAAGGAGAGCAGACAGAGAGAAAGGGCTGAGAAAGCCAAGAGAGATGCTGAGGCTATTGCCAGAGCCAAGAAGATTCGTGGAGAACTTGTCCCAGGAGAAGGATCTGGAGCCCAGAGTCTTGCATCAACAGGGAAAGATAATGCAAGAAGTGAAATCATGGTTAACAGCTCTGATGAGGAATCAGACGATGATAGTGCAGATTCTGACTCGGACGAGCAGCTTGCAACATTGAGCACTGGCGGCCAGAAAGGTCTTGACGAACATGAAAAACGTCGGCAGCAGGCTCTGCGAGATCGACTGCGCAGGCCGGTCAAGAAGATTCGACAGCAGCGTTCAGTTAAGGAAATGAGAGCTCGCTTGATCCCTCCTATGGATAGACTTCACAACACCATTCTAGCATGGGACATTTTTCACCAAGGCAACGACCCTCCTAATGGTCCGGCTGCCTCCGAGGTTGCTACAAAGTATCCCGATCCGCGGTCGTATCAAGCAACGTTCTT